TCTCTTGGCACTCAGCATGTGGAACAAGATCCGGATTTTCAACACCAACGTCAAGTCAGTGCTTCTGTATGGCGCAGAGACTTGGCGCGTTACGAAAGACATTTCCAATAAACTACAGAGATTCATCAACAACTGCTTACGCTGGCTCGCTACTGAAGATCAGGTGGCCAGAAAGAATAAGCAACAAGGTGCTCTGGGAACGAACCAACCAAGAACCTATCACGCAACAAATATGCAGGAGGAAGTGGAGATGGATTGGCCATGCACTGAGAAGGCCGACTGGGGACATCACGCGTCAGGCCCTCGAGTGGAATCCCCATGGGAAGCGACGAGTTGGACGTCCGAGGGTGACATGGAGGAGGTCGTGTGAGGAGGAAATGAGAGGTTGTGGGCTGTCGTGGAACCAGGTTCCAAAGATCTCAGAGAACAGAGGTCACTGGAGACGTGCTACTGAAGCCCTATGTTCCATTAGGAACCCAAGGGTCTAATAATATAATAATAATAATTATTATTATCTTTTGAGGTTTAGAATTAAAAGATACTTTTATAATTTAATTATTATAATTGTATAGTTGTATTTCATGTGAAATCTTCGTTATAGTTTTCAACTGACTTGAATCTGTGGGTAATTCGATGAATAGTTTGTTATTTGTGTGAAAAATAAATTATGCATCATAATTAGGTCACTGTTACAAAGTGAATTATTATAGTATATTTTTGTTCTCCACGACCATGAACTGTGAATTCTATTGTTTTACGCAGAAATGTGTACGTGAAATCTATCTTAACTCTAACTATTAGTTGAGGTTGGTCAACAAAAGATTATTGGTACCTAATAACCTTCCTCTGAGGTGACTGAGACTACCAGTTATACTTAATATACTATTCTCTCTTACTGTTTGGAACAGATTTCTTGGATTTTAGAGAAACTCATTATCTGAGCATCATCATTATCAACATAGGACCAGGCATTACTGCGTAACGGTCCGAGTTGCCACACCTCATATCAGTCCATCAAGTAAAAAGGTAGTGAGGTGAAGGATGAAGATAAGTGAATGCAGTCAAAAGAAATATAAAGTACGAGAAGAAAGAAAAGAGGAGTGACAAATGGTGAGATTCGGTATAGCGTTGTTAAGATGAGGATAATGTGTGTATACATCTGCGCCACTGACATCGGTTCTGATCCATATCACCTAGGGTCTCCAACCACTGGTTCCTCTTGTCCCGAGGACCCCAACCACCTAGTCTGCATCTGAGCAACAGCCAACGAATGTATGGATACGAACTACTTATACTGATAATTGTAGGTTTCTATTCTTATCGGTTTTTAATTAACCATTTAACTAAATAGCACAAAGATGAATGTCAATTGAATCTATCAAAACACTTCTAAGCTTACATGAAGGTGATAAAATCTTTAGACAGCTTCTGTAGGGCATATTGTAAAAGACTTACTCACTGAATGTTTAGTGTCGAAAAAGTAGCTACGTTTCAGTCATGTACATGTTTTCGAAGAACGTGATATACTTTAATGATTAGTGGTACCCTTGAGCTTTAGCCTAGTAAAGTCTGTTACTGGATTTGATGTAATGATGTACTGGCAATATGTTGCATAGATTGTAGGAGGTTTCGAAACAGAGAAGACAGAAGAAATAGCAGAGATATATCAGAGACCAAAAATAACAGATAGGCAAGCATATATCAGTGTTTGGTTCAGATAGATGAAAGTAAACAACAACAAAATAGCATTTTGCTGATATATACTACTAACTAGCATGAGTAGTTATTTAACTTGTTTGACCAATCAGTAATCCTCACTAGTATAATCGGACATTCATTCGAATTGTCAAACCTCTTATCAACACTATAAGGTAGTAGTCAACTAGAGTTGAGGTAGGTGAACATCATTTCAGAGCATACCTGGCAGCCATATATGAAATTGTTTATTAGGCTATGAGCCACACTTATCTAGGGCAATAATACTAGCTGGTCTCCTTAATCTGCACAGTTGAAGCGACTTTTAACTCAGAATAACCACTGACTACAAATACAGTGCTAAAGCTGTGTGTGTGTGTGTGTGTGATGGACTAATTTAATATTATAATGGGTCTCTAATCTTAGCGCTTAGTTCCTCAATCATATTCTCTTTTATCGCTTGACAGGGGTTGTACTGGGTGAAGGGATCTCAAATTATGGTGTATGTTGATGTTTGCCTGTGTGCCTGTGTGTATATGATCTACTTTTATTACTTTGGTTGAGATGTTTATTTACCGAATAAGACTTTGTCTAGACACTGTCATCACTTCTTTGTAAAGCCCTGCTGTACTGGTGATAATATCTGGCATGACATCGAAACGTTTGCCAACTAAAGCTGCAGCTCTGGGAGAAACTCACTCTTAAAAACTACAATCTGTTTATTATTCTTACTATTGATGTTATTCCTATTGCGTCACATTCTGGTGAACATTACGCGTGTTTTCATTTGTTGGTTCATTTTATACCCGCCACCCTTCTTGTATGAAAGAATCATTGATTTTATACTTACCTGCCTGTTTCTTAATTATTCGGTGATACGTCTAATGAACTGTTTCTAAATCATAAAATGTTTTGTAATGACACTTACTTTAAGCTTTGGTTAAAGTAAGGATTATATATTGCTGCTTATGCAATTTGCCCATTTTATAATTTTTTGACAGATGTTTTCTCGTATTATATTGTGTTCATCGCCTGATTCGCCCATATATACCAAGTATTTCACCTGACTGTTATCCTGGCTTTGTTTTGTGATTCGATTGATTCTTTGAATAATTGTTGCAAGCGGTGACAGCTTGTGCACAGCTCCAAGAGTTTTTTCATATTTACTCGTGTATGTTTCAAAATCAAGCTTAATAGATTGAATATCCCCATTTAGATATTTAGAAAAAGACTGATTGAGTGAAGAAATACATTTCTTTTCAATTAGGTCTTCATCTTGGGCTCTACACTAATATGCATAGGTTTACAATATAATCAAATTACTAATCACGCGGTGATGTTTCGGAAATAATGATGTAAATAATCAATAGAGTTACTAAAATAGGAAATATGAATATTGATAGAAACAAGAAGGGGAAGAGGTGTACAAAGTAAACCTAGAAGTTACATCATGTTGACGGCCACGGTAATGAAAGTGGTTGAACAAACTTCTTTTGGATACAAAGGCTAAGTTTGTAAAGGTGGATTGCAATCGCCTCTGCTATGTGAAGTAACCGAGTGCGTAATCCATGAGGTAAATTAGTTGGAATCTGATGGATAATTTTGAAGGCTTTTCCAGTAACCACTTGATGTCCTGCGTCAACTAAGTGTGCAAGTATGGAGCTCTTTATAGTTATAATTTGTCCCTTGTTCAACCATGATGGGTGATGCTCAGAAATTCGACGATGGAACTGCCTCATTGTACGCCCAATGTAACTCGCTCCACAGGAGCAGTTGAATTGATAAATGCACATAGAAGTGGCAGAATCAGGCAGTTTGTCTTTATTTCTTGCACCTAGAATCGGGCGGTTGTAGAAGGCGGGACATAATTTAGTGGCTGGAAATGCTTTATGCAAGACTCTTTTTATGCGTTGTGTGATGATCTCACTGGCAATATCACTCTTAAATTGCAGCTTCAAAAAGATTTGTTTCTTAGGAACTGTTGGCATTGTTTTCTTAACCCTCGTAATATTCATGTGCTCAGTTACAAACTTGTCTGGGTAGCCATTCCTATTAAGCGGATCACGGATGGTGGCGCACTCTTCCTTTATAGCATCCTCTGAGCAAATAGCTGATGCACGGTATGCTAAGCATTTCACTAGGTTCCTTTTGTATTGGAGGGGTACAGCACTAAAGTGCGTATATTGACCTGTTGATGTTAGCTTTCTATAAACACTTCGCTTCAGGGTTCCATCGTGACCTTCTTACCAACAGAACATCAAGAAATGGGATAATATCATTTTTCTCCTCTTCCATTGTGAAGTTGATTGCCGGATGAACACTATTGAACTTATTCAGAACAGCATTCTTATCAGTCTCACTTTTGAGAACTATAAAGGTATCATCCATGTAACGACAATATAACTCTAAACGGCTCATAGTATCGTTCAGTGGACCATACTCAAGTTTTGTCAGAAAACATCACCGCGTGATTGGTAATTTGATTAAATTGTAAACCTATGCATATTAGTGTAGAGCCCAAGATGAAGACCTAATTGAAAAGAAATATGCTTCTTCACTCAATCAGTCTTTTTCCTAATGGATGGAATTAACCTATAAATTTCGATGAGATTGTGAATCTTTGTCGACTGAAACGGCTTGGACATGTATTTTGCATGCCGAGACCACTGCCTACCTCGACATGTCATACTAGGGGAATCTGGATTAGGTTGGAAGAGGGTTCAGTTATGCTAGACTAAAACCCGGCACCAATTAATGAGGTTTCTTACTGTTGTTCTGAGTTGTGTAGAGACACATAGACTTGCTTGTTGGGGTATGCAAAACGAAATGAGTCAGTGGTTGAGGATTCTTGGTAACATGGCTGAAATTTGGTCACGGTGGAGTAGATGTATTCACTCTTTGACATCTTCTAAAGCTTGAATATTTGCACTCACCTTTATCTTCAAATTGTTTATTCTCTCACACAACTTTGTATGCTTTGATGAATCTTTTTCTGTCTACCTGTTTTTTGTGAACTTCTGTGAAGTGTGGCAAGTTGAGGCGATGCAGTGGATTATGAGGTTCTATGGTGATTTCGTCAGTCAGTCATATCCCTTAGTTATATAAATTTCTACATTTTCTCACTTCTTTTCCAAGCGTTGGTAATGTTGAATAAACTATTATCCATTTTGTTGATAGCATAAATGTTTACTGTCGAATATCTCGACTATTAAATTCTTTACAGTCAACAGGATTAAATTAAACCCATTGGTATGATTTTACTTTAGATCTATGCTATTTAATTTTCCTTTTAAACTATTTTTCAGGTGAATTTCCTCAAGGATGTGATGCATTCCAAGCAATTTCATCAAATATTCATTCAGAAGAAAGTGGTCTAAGAACAGATTCTACTGTATTGGAAATTTCTTATACCCAGGTATGTGTAGTTTTCGATTACTTAGCGAAGTGTGTTAAAAAGCCTAATATATTTGTTGATATCTTGTAACCTTTGGGTGTTTTGCCATTGCTTTCATACGATGCATAAATTTGAAAACTAGACAAATTAATTTTATTTTATTGATTGAGACTCGTAATTTCCCATTGTTATACTGGATCAAATTGATCCATCTCTATTGGGGTATGAACTCCTATGCGGTTGCCTCCATTAGACCTAAAGATTCATTTCGTTGTTGTTTCGCTTGATGGTCGTTAAAAGTGGAATTCAGGATGCACATTTCGTCCTATTTAGGACTCGTCAGCTGGATATACCTACCTACCAGGGAGTGATAGTGTTCTCAGTGAGTCTGAAACCCAATACTCATCGCTTCAAGCACCAAAACATCATCTTTAATTTATATCTTCACCTCAGATACAAGCAGACTGGAAGTAGCATATAACTAAGGTCGAGTGAAATGGTATCATTTCCTTTTGGAACAAAACGAACATGTTCAGTGGGAATTAGGTGGGATGGGTGAGATTAGATGGTTGATGTAGATAATTTAAATGATATCCATTAAGATTTTTCATTCATAAGTAGTTGGAAGGAAAATTTTGAATTTTTGATAGATGGTGTAAAATTAATAGTTTTTCATTCACTCAGTGTCAACATGGCACCTAACATTACTGCTAAACAGTTTTAATTGCCACATTTCATATCCAGTTACAAGACAGTAAGATCAAAGGTAGGGAAACGGGGGTGAATGCTAACATTACTCAACAGGATAGATGGTGACTAGAAATGTGTAACCCAGGTCACAGTCATTTAAACTGATGAAGGTTTAAAATCTTATTCGCTTCAACTTACTTTACTCTTTTGACTAAGACTCTACTTTGACTTCTACATTACTAATCTAGCGGCTCCACAGTGGTTAAAAACCTGTAGACTTCTCATTTTCTTCATCTTTATTTGTTACGTTGTATAACCAGATGGTAGAGCAAAGTGAAACAGTAGTAATGAGTTCGGGATTAGGTAACATTCAATCTTTTTCCAATAAGCAAATGGTAGTTTGATATCTGTGGTATTTAAAAATGCTCAATTTGATACTATCTGCTTTTGAGCACATACTACTGATAAATCTCAACTAATAAAACGAAAAACCTACTCAATTTTCCTTAATTTTCAATGATTTTCTAACTGATTTCAGTTCATTATCAAAACTAAGTTTGAATGAATGGGTTCCTGACAAACTAAGTCACATAAGCTTTACAATCTGGAAACAGGTTTTCAGTACTCGCTGATGGCGATGGGCTGTTAAACTATAATGAGAATTCGCTGTCTAAGGTGAACTGACTATTCTATGAAAGAAGTTAAAGTAACGGATGGAACCGGTAGATTCTCCAGACACATCATATCAGTCACCACTCTCTCAGCCTACTCACTAAGTGACTGAATATCTGGCGCATTCTCTCTGAAACCCTCGACGGCGTTTTGGGTGCACACTGCTGAGGAGTCGCATACTGGGACGAAACACTTGTCCAGTACTTCCAGTTTTCCAATGGTTCTCCAACTGATATCATTTCGTGATGAATACTACCTTAATCATACAATACTATAGGATAGAGTGACATTTCTGAAAACTAACCTAGTTTGATTGAGGAAGAGATTGATGATCGAATCATCATTAAACTGGCATGACTCAGCACCTATTCCAAATTTCTAAAAATATTCTCCTACACTTATCACATATATGAAGAATGAACTTGAATTACATAAGCCACATCTTTTGACGAGTTGTAAAGAAGAAGGGAATATTTGTTTTTTTGTATCACTCATAACCATCTTGTAATTGCTCATCAGTCACTAGTTAAACTGTATACTCAACAGAATAGTAAATATTTCAATCTATTCCATAAATGTGAATAATGAGCGTATTATGCGCATGCATATTTTGAATATTTGCTTATGCTTTCATTATTATCAGGAGGATTTATTGACAGATTTGAATGAAGCTGCAGTAGCTTTAGAGTCAGCTGGACTATTCGAATGTATACGACCTGTTTATGCATTGATTCTACCGGTGTATGAGTATAAATGTCAATATACAAATTTAGCCCTAATCTATCATCATATTGGTCGAGCATATGAAGCAATTAGTCGTGTGGAATCGCATGGACATCGATTATTTGCATCATATTACCGCGTAACTTTTCATGGTCAAGTAAGTGAATTTGAATTCTATGCGGTACAGTAGTAAATATGAATGTTATATTTAAAGTAATTGAATCTCATAAAGGATTGTATTTAGTGTTTAATTCGAGTATCTGCTAGGTATTGATTTTATAACACGAGAGGCAGTATGTAGTTTAGAGAGACGACTTGTAAACAATGAGTTACGTGCTCGAACTCGTCTCCATCTACTGAAGTTTGGGCATCTCTGACACGATGTGCATCGCTCTTTGCCTGGTATGTATGAACGTGCACTATGGAGTTGAGAAAGCTCTTAAATTTGTGACAGAGTGGTATATCATTTAGAGCTGATGAACGTGGTTAGCCCGGTAAAAAATAAGTACTATCAACACTCTAGTAGTTTGAGAGTTGTATTAAACACCTGCAACCGAAGATATGCAAAATAAGAAAATGGTTCTCAGCTGTCAAGCATCTCCTCTGTGTGTATGCTTTTAGTGAGATATGCTACGTTAATCATTTCGAAATTGAATATGAGATCTATGATTAGGCACGTATGTTGTTATATTTGTATCCCTATCTCAACACCATACACCATCTGATGCGGTGAAAAAAAGCGTCTACATGGGTTACAATATCCAGTGAATCATATATTTACCAATAATATATGGTACCTGCCGATTAGAAGAAGGGCTACCTGGTCAAACTCCTAAAAAAAAGGGAGACCTAAGTCTTTGCAAGAACTGGCGCGGAATCATGCTGCTGTCCATCCCAAGCAAAATATTATGCCGCATTATACTGCAGAGACTGAGAAATGCTCTGGATTCAAAATTATGACCGGAACATGCTGGATTTACGAAGTACAAATCATGTGTGGACCAAATTGCAATGCTACGCTACGCATCATCAAAAAACAGAGTATAGAATGGCAGTCAACTTTCTACCTCAACTTCATCGATTTTTAAAAGTACTTCGTCAGCATCGACCGAGAAATAATTTGGCAGACAGCTGCTTCAACACTACCAAGTGCCACAAATCTTTATCAACCTCATTCAGCAGCTATATAAAGACGCTATATGCAGAGCGATCAACAATGGGAAGCTCAGTGACGCGTTTGAAGTCAAGCCAGGAGTAAGACAAGGCTGCCGTCCACTATCACGCATGATCTTCCTAACTGTGGTCGACTGGATCATGCAGCAAACCATGAGGAGTGAGAAGAGAGGAATACACTGGCTGGACCGATGAAAAGGCCCCAGAAGAAGATTTGGATTTCGCCGATGATGTTAATGTGATTTCAAAGTGGTTATAGTTTCATAGATCTGTCTACTTTTTAGTTTCTTTCAGGCATCTTTTAACAGTTTGTGATTCTACAACCACTTACCATCTATCTCCTCAGATCATTCTTTTGGTTCAAGGCATTATTTGATTCCACTTATCGTTACTGGATTTATTCCTCGTGTTTCGACAGCCTAAAGGTCTTTGATACCAAACTTCTGATCCGCTGTAATCTATTTCACTGTGAACTGGAACTTTATATTTGACCGTGGACTACATTGTAATAAGCTAACCAACCATAAGGATAGTCGAAAGTTACAGTGCTTTTTCCTTACTTATACATGACATTGTTGCAAGTCAGTCAGCAAACTGATAACTGAATCTTTGTTTATCGAATCAACACCTAATACATGCAGCAGGGATAAGTTGGTACTTGTTCCGGATATACGATAAGTCCTACTAATCATATACCAAAGTAGCCATTCAGTCAATCAGTTAGCCGATGTCAACATGAAGCCTAGTTGTACAGTCACCTTTCCTGTTTAACTTCCTTAAAGATGTACTAATGGACACAACCTTAGGTACGTCTGACTTCACAAAAATTGATCTACTCCCTGAAGGTCATCTGGTTTTCTTGGAGTATGCAGATGATATTGTCCTGCTAGGTAAAGACACTAACAAAATGCAGGGTCTTGTAAACTTGTTGATCAGCAATATGAGTATGTTTGGTTAACATGCTTCTCGGACCTGTCAATTGTAAGATGATGCTCGTATTTGGTGGGATCACTGTGTGAGTAATGTTGAGGTCAGGCGAAGGATACTAGGCAAGGTAGACGAGTGAATTGATGAGGTTGTGAACCTTATTCGACTGAAATGTGTTAGACATATACGTCGTATGCCGAGCCACCGCCTACCTCAACATGCCATGCTACGGAGAATCTGGTTTAGGTTGGAAGAGTGTTCAGTTTGGCTAGACCAAAACTTGGCACCAATCAATGAAATTACCTACTGTTGTTCTGAGTCGTATAGAGAGACACAGACTGGCGTGTTGGGGTTCGCGAAACAAAATGAATCAGTGGTTGAAATCAATCACAGTGGAATAGATGTATTCACTCCTTGACTTCTTCTAAAGTTTGAATATTGATTTATTCTCTCACACAACTTTATGCAATTTGATGCCACTCCTCTACTATCCGCCTGTTCTCTGTATACTACTATAAAGTGTGGCAACTTGAGCCGATGTAGTTGAATGTGACGTTCTACACTAATTTTTTCAGTCAGTCAATCTGACAAATAATGTTTGTTTGGGTTTCATATTTTCACCTCTTAAATTGTTATAACAGTTTTAATTATCATCGTTTGGTACAATTTTATATTATTCACACTTTTACAGTTATTTGAATCAATGGCGGGTAAATCGTTCATATATCGGTCAAATCCATGTCAAAAATTAAATGAAAAGTGTAATGAATTACTACAATTATATCGTAGTAAATATGGGGAAAATGTTGTTGAATTAATAGCTGACAACTTTATAAATCGATCTGCTTTAGATGCAAATAAAGCCTATGTACAGGTAAGGTGTTGGTTTTTGATCATAATCCCTGCCATTTTATTTGTGTTTTACTTCTTCTTCGATTCATTATGTCAAGAAGGAAATATAATTCTCAGCATATTTATTATTATCATTGTTGTTAATAATGTCTTTCCGGTTAAACGGTATTCCATCAAGTCATCCGAAAATCGCATAATTTACTAGACTGTCGACTTTGCTAATGACTATTGTTGTACGTTTGTTACATTTATTGGTGTGAAGCTCTACTGTGGTAATGGTGGTGTGGTTTCGTATCTAAGGCTGATGATATAGAGATCATGGATGCTATTTGTGTTATTTTGTTAACTGACTTGGCTTCACCACTATCCAGTAGTGTTTTCCATTTCTCTAACTCTCTAACTCCTATATTCCTTAAGGGATAAACCGTGCAATCTTGTAATAGAATAAATCGATTATCTAGCATTGTTTTACCAGTAACCTTTCAACTGATATCGACTTATGATGAAACTTTTGTTATTGGGTTGTTTAACCACTGAAAAATGAAGTTATTATATCTTCAAACAATCACCTCCCTAAGTAGGATGAAAATACTCCATGACATATGTCTCTACTCTACTCTACTACTAGAATGTATGGATTTCTATGGTTTACTATGCCAAAAGAATTATCGCTTACCACGACATTACCTACCGTTTGAAGTAGGATTAGATTCAGAGTGAAATTCTTTTATACTGAGAGAGTGTTGTTCGGCTGGTTTAGACCCCAAAATAAGAAAAAGCACTAATGATGCAACTCAATCCCCTAAACGTGGATATACTATGCTTTTAGCCATACTTCATGTGTTGGGGTTTATGATAGTATCCGATTGGTCAGTTTGAAGTAGATAGAATGAGATTTGAAACTGCATAAATTGATAAGCCAAGCTTCTATGACTACCTTAATTAAAATCACTCACAATCATGGGAATATATTCAAAGTCTTGAAGGTGGCTGATACTTCTTAGCGGCCCACACAATGAAAAGCTATCTCTTCTTTTTGTACCTGAAAAAGAAGCGTTAGTGGTTGACCGCAGAGCTAAAGGGACAACTGCTTGAGACCGACTGCCTGTTTCTTTCGAATCCATCGATAAACCCATACCACCGGTACCGGTATGCTGCAGGACAGTAGGGAGTGTCCTGTTTTGAAAGCTAACCTTATTTAACTGCCCCCCCCATTTGGAAGGCAGCAATAGCGTGGTACTGCTCTCATACTCCCATAAATCCAAGAATATGGCTTTACTTTGACCATCATCATAATGTAGCTCTTTACATCATGACGGTAACTACTTTTTTTCTTGGCACTATCCAACAAACTTTACAGGTGTAGTAGGATCTCAAAAGAACAAGCCTTCCACTGACATACTTCGTTTGGTCATTATGATGTGCATGCACGTCAGGAGATCACCTATCAGTCTCCATATATGTTCACTCTTTATCCGCCTTGAAATCAAAAGAACCCTGTTATTCTTCAGATATTGCTGTTTCATGCTGATTTTTATGTTTCCTCTTGTTTATTTGAAGAGCATTCTTCGTATTCCGATTTTCTTTTCTTTTGTACTGTTGAGAATTGAAGTGGTTTGTCTGATGCGTTATCTTCTGTGAAGTCGTTTTATTTTGCTAAGTGTTTGACTTAATCAGTATATTGGTTAGAATTCGGTAACCGATTCTTGTCGATAAATGGTATACAGATAGATCTGCCCTTTTCACATATCTTCCAAAAAGACGGAATAGTTTCGCTTGACATCCAAGACCAAGGCATATCTGTTTCTGGCTTGCCACACAGTCTTTTTAAGGGTGTCGTGTGGAAGAACCCTATTAGTGATATCAAGAAGGTATAGGACAAAGCAGACTACAGTTTCGGGGTCTGAACTTTACTAATATCTCTCCAGAGTGGAAAAATGCCACGTTTGGATCAAAAGTCACCTGAGAGGAATGCCTAACTGGTGTCACATCTTTATCCAGTTAGTAATACACCTTTACCATCAAACCCTGCAGTAGCGAGAGTTACTTACACTATGATAGTGCAGCTGTGTGTATTCTTACCGCAATCCAACAGGCGTTTCTAGGATGTTGGAACGTCAAAAACAGATACTCAGTCATCATACCCCACAGAGATGTATAAATCGTACCATTAAGTCGCTGTCAAATAATCATATCAATAATCAATACAACCCTTTGCTATTCTAATGCAGCTGGAGTTGAATTGGGACCAGAAGACCTGGCTAGGCAGGTAGTGTGATTATGATGATCGGACAGTAGATTACCACTAATTCACATGGCACCCGGGCAGAACTGTTGGTGCTTCTAATGGAATCAAGACTTGATCAGCAGCTGGGTCTTTGAGTTCAGTCAGAAGAGCGCCAGGTCGGTAACTTGAAGAACCATGATTCGAATCTGACCGCGTCCCAATGTTTCACTTTGTCTTCAATCATCATCTAGTATCAATAACACTAATCTACCAAACCACTTTTATCTAACATTGTCTCATTAGTAGTTAATGTTACAGTCAACAAGATGTATATACACAGCCCATCAGTCATATTTATTGCGCGAAAATGACTCTCGTGTTAGATAGTAGATACCTAACAGACAGAGTTTTTAATGGATGTTAACTTCATGACCCATAATTTCTTCTCCCTTCAATTTATATATTATCTCTGTGCTTTTCAGGTTACTTATGTAGAACCGTATAAAGAAAAGAAAGATTCTGATAAAAAACCGTTGACTTCATACGAAAAACACCATGATGTACGGCAGTTTATGTTTGAAACACCCTTCCTTAGACAGCCAGGCAAGTATTTTTGTATTTGCTTGTGTTTGCATCCACCTTTGTCTGTGTATGTGTGTGCGCTCTGTGTTTTATATCACATTTCAAGAAGTAGACAGTGCAGTTTATTTCCTTTTTCTTGAGCAGAACATCTGGCATTTGATATAAGTATATGCATACACACAACACACACACAGAGAACTGAGTTTGAGCAAGCTTTTAGATGGACGGTGTTTTGTTTATGGCAAATGTAAACAATTACTTCAATTACTTTCAATTAACAATATTCATTGAATTCAGAATTCTTTTCTGTGAGATAAGTATCACTCAAAGTTAATTATTGAAAATCAACTTATCCATGCATCTTGTTGTTGCTTGAGCTGTTGTAATCGATAGTTGTTAGTAATTCTCCGATTGATACTGAATTGTAATGTAACTCGACATTGACCAATCAGTGTACCTAATTCAGTCATCCAGGAGGTCAGTTGCGACCCAAATAACTCAATGGTAAAGCCACTGACCTGAAACAATGGGTAACATGGCTTTTAATCTCACAGGGGACATCACTTTCCTCGAGGTTGTTGGCGAGTGCCAACAAGAACGAGACCTAAGTTCAGGGTTTGCTGTTGATTACCTCCAAGTACTAACAGATACACACAATGCCTGATTAGGATGAACTGCCATTACTCGACTAACGTACTACAACATACCCAGTGTGTTCGAAAGACACATTCATTAAAAGAATGCAAGGAACTAGTCAAGTTATACTTTACTAGGTTATTTCTCGTGTTTGGACAACGCTGCCAAAATATATATTTTGTATTATTACCATTATTATTATTGTTATTATTATTATTATTATTACATAGTTATTTCGTTAAGCCTTTTTCCTCCTATTTGTTGATTGTTGCTGTACACTGTACCATTGAGGAGTAACATTCATTTACCTATGAAGTGTGTCAGTCATCTCTTAATCTGAATGGCTTTACTGAATAGTTATAGTTAGTTGTGTTGACGACTGGTCATTCATCATATATATAAATCTATAAGTTGTAAGTGAAAAAAAACTACATATCGTGTTGACAATACCTCATCTTGTACTCTGTCTACTAAACACTTTATGTTGTAGTGTAAATTAGAATCGAGTACGGGTAACATTTGTTATTCAAATATATAAGAAGTTTTTGTTACAGTTATCTTTCAACTTCAACGAATTAACGACAAGAGCGGCTTTAATAGCTACCGAAAATAATCACAAGATGTCAACGACTGGAGATGGTTTCACTTCTTTAGAGAGGTTTAGGCTCTCCAGCCGAGATTTTCAGGAAATACGCAGTCTCTCAGTTTAAACTCTTAGGACTGTGGTCGGAAATTGATCTTATCGCCACAAACTTATTCCTTTTTCACATTCCTCTAAGTCACGGACACTTTATTCCTCTGGTACACATTATATAGCTTTTCCAATGGCTTGAAGTAGACGAGGTAGATAATACCAACAGGGGAACTGGCATTGCCCTCTTAGTTGCTACACCTCATGTCAGCGTACCAAGCGGGAATGTTCTAAGATGAAGGACAAATATAAAGGAAAAGTTCAGATTGGTAGAAAGTTGTGAAAGGAAAGCAAGGATGGATGAGACTAGTGAAATTCAGTATTTCCATATAAGATTTGTTTATATGATTGATAAGACAAGACTGTCTACTATCACCCATGATATTCCTGATTGTGGAGGACTGGGTCATGCAGCAAACAGTGAGGAGCGAAAAGAGGGGGATTAGCTAGACCGGAGAAAACATCCTGCAAGGTTTGGATTTCGCCGATGACTTGTATCTAATGTCGCACAAACTCGAAGATCTACAGGCAAAATCCAACAAGTTGATAGAAGACGCAGCGAAGACGGGACTTCAAGTGAACGTAGAGAAGACAGAGGTGATGATGATACTTAACCAACACCACCAACAACAACAATAAGCTCCAATCACCATCAACGGGAGAAACCTAAAGGAAGTAGCCCCTTTCATCTACCCAGTCTACGCAGCACTGTTTCAACGACAGTTGGCGGCATAAGCACAGACGAGGACGTCAAAGCCAACCAGGATCGGAAAGACAGCAAGATAGGCGTTCATTAACCTGAAACCAGTATGCAGATCTTCTGCACTCAGCATAAAGCGTGAACAACATCCGGATTTTCAACACCAACCCAGTCAAGTCACTGCTTCTATTTGATGCTTGAGAGACTTGGCGCGTTACGAAAGGCATTCCCAACAAACTACACACATTCATCAACAACTGCCACCTACGCTGGCTCGTTACTGGAGATCAGATGGATTACCAGAAAGAATAAGTAACAAGGAACTCTCTCTGGTTGGCAACGAACCAACCAAGAACCTATCACTCAACAAATATACACTGGAAGGAAGTGGAGATGGATTGGACTGGACATACACTGAGAAGGCCGACTGGGGACATCACGCTCAGGCCAGTCAGTCGAGTGGAACCCAGTTGGGAAACGACGAGTTGGGCGTCCGATGTGGGGACGAAATGAGAGGTTGTGGGCTGTCGTGGAGTGAGGTTCAAAAGATTGCAGAGAAGAGAGTGGAATGGAGATGTGCTACTGAAGCTCTATGTTCCAGTAGGAGCCCAAGGGAGAAATAATAATAATGTGATTGGTAACACACAGTGATACAGTATTATTTACTTGATGACGTTTCCTGCATAAACTATCATTGCTCATAGTCGTATCAATGTAATCACCCAACCTATAGTCCTGTCACTTCATATTCTTTATTTTTATTTGTAGTAAAGTTTTCAGTATCTCTGGTGTTGCGTCATTCTTATTACACATGTGTTGGGTGTAGATTTGATGAACAAAGATTGTTATCAATCTCTCTCTCCACCTAATTATATTGGTTTTAAGTACAATACTTTTCTCTCACCCTATTGTATGGTTGTGTGTTAATACATACGTGGATTGCAATAGCCAAGTTGTTTTTCTAGATTATTGAACTTCTTGGAGTCTGTCATCCTATATTTAAGTAAATTCCTATGTTCCGCAAAATAATCTATCAAATTCTATGCGCTGACTGTTAGGTCAAGTACATAAATGAAACTAACCGGTCGGGGTCAGTTAGATTAACGGAACATAGAAATTTGGCAAACTCTAACATGTTCAATAATCTAGAAAAACTACTCGGCTGTTGCAGTCCACGCATGTATTAACACACAACCACACAATAGGGTGGGAGAAAACCACTGTACTTAAAACCAATACAATTAGGGGGATAGAGACAGATAGATTACTGAATCCTTGATCATAGAGATTTTCAAACTTAGCATCAGTATCCAATTGAGAGATTTGCGTGTATGGAACTGAAAAATTGAATCCAAGGGAAAGCACCTCTTTCTCATGAATTAAAAGTACAACAGAGGACAAATTAGTCACATATTTATCTGGGACTCATGGAAATGAGTTTGCATGAATATCATTAGAAAGGGATCTAGGCAATTTTTGCCTTGTTCTATTCTTCGTTTTACTGATTACGGAGCTACAAAAATTGATGAATTTAATGTGGCATATAAGAGAAATATCCAACAATACGAATGAAGCGTGAGTATGCATAACTTCTCATTGCAATTATCTGTGTATGATTTCATAAGCCGAACAAGATTTGAAAGGTTGGGTTATTGCGTAATAGGAGTGACGCAACATCCATACCATTCAGACCGGTAGTCAGTGACTTTATGGACTGACGGCCTGTTTTAGTCTGGGTGTCTCTTACTCTTTTCGAGCCTGAATCTACTTCAGCTGATAATGTGTGGTGAGGCAGACGGTCACCAGGCTCATTAAATATCCTTTTATTTCTTGGGATTCTTTCTTTACTATGGAACAATGTGAACCGTCACAGTTGTATACGACGACATTCAATGCTGTTTTTTCTGTCTCATCTATATCATCAGTTGAAATCTTAGAGAAGAAGGGAATAAAATGATTCAGCGATCATTTAAGCGACGAATGTGAACTGTCATCATTCAATGCTTGTACCGAAACCATAAAAATACTGGGGATAAGAATTAGATAAATTTATAACAGACTATCTAATCTTTAAATTTTGAGGGAGTTGTGGAGATTTGGAAATATTTCAAGTTGTTATTCATCGAAGACTGACATCAGTTGGAGGAACAAAGGAAACCTGGGAGCACTGGACAGCTGTTTCGTCCTAGTATGGGACTCCTCAGCAGTGCGCACTCACGACCCCACCAGCAGGGATCGAACTAATCTAATCTAATCTTTAATTGACCCACTGTTTGTGTATTTGAGTGTTTATTATCAAGCAAAATTTCTGTATTGATTAGTTGAAACTCTAATATATATTATACATACAAGCTGAAGATCAAAGGTGAAGTGTAAAACGTGATTTCCAGCATGAAACGAACTAGTGACCTCTGGATTAATGAACAAAGTGCTTTACTCCATATCATTAACAGTAATCTCTCAAACTATGGCTATCTCCGGTAGTCTCATCAACAATGGATATTACTTATATTGATGATAGATAGTAGCATTGGAATCCGGTACGTGCGTTTCGTCCTATTTGGGACTCGTCGACTGGATGTACCTGCTTTTAAATACTATACGCCAATAGAAATCGATCAATTCGACCCAAGCAACAACAGGATAATACAAGCAATAACGTTTTATATTACTGTTTTATTACTTATTTGCCTTTTATCATTATTCCTTTCAAAATAGGCTTATCTACTGAAGCGTGTCTATTAGCTCCAGGTCCAAAACGCAGTGATGATTTAACTATCCAATGGAAACGTCGTACTATATTAACTACAGAGGCAACATTTCCACATCTACGTCGTCGACTTGAAATCATTCAAGTTACGGAGACCGATTTCACCCCAATCGATTCAGCAATCGATGCTATTCAAGTAAGAATCAGTATAACCATTGATATTATTATTACGATATTTAGTCTTTCGATGCTCAAATTTCGCACTGTTAGATGATAATGATATCGAGGTATATAAGGACTTAGAGATTTTTTCAATAGCCACTGTACTGTTAAAACCATAAATAAGAATTCGGGTTAATAGAATAATTTAAAGCATCTTTCGTGTACAGAAATTCAAGTTTAGACGATGTCGATCAAGATTTTGATTTCGTATGTTCTACACATCCCTTGACTTTCTAAACTTCAGTAAATATCAGTGTATACCAAAGATAGTCAAATTTATCGCACAATATAAAATAGATCCACCCATTTTTAATATCAGGTTGACCTTTCACGAAGTCCATATATATCAGTAGAGACTGATCATTTCAGCCTAGTCAAAAAAAAAAAACAACAACGGGGAATTGCGAATACGCATAAATAACAGATTATACTTGTTGTACAACAGGTGGTTTTCGTGACCTATTAACCTATTAGATAACATTCTGATATTCTAAGTGACAGGTTCTGATTTCGAACCTCAATGAAAACACCCATCGATCATTGGAATGCAAGTACATCTAGCTGATGACTTATGAATAGAATAAAGCGCGTTTTGTGGATTTTACTGTTAGTCAGTACCAACCATAACCGTTTTGATTTCGTTCATTTTCAATCCACAGAATCCACAATCAATTGAGAAGTACGATGACGTGAACTTATGTTTTTCTGAACAACTTTTACGTCTTTTTATCTGTCTGTTCTCTTAGTTATATGCGATAAGTCGAATTCGCATAAAGATTCTGTACTCCAGTTGAGAATTACCATTATTCCCCTCCTATCGACTTGATCGATAGTAATTTTCATTAAACTACTGTCTAATGAAAGTGTTCTGTCAAGTTAATTGGATAATTTCCAGTAACTGAGGTTATTTGCGTTAAAAGGTATCCAGCGTGCTGTTACTTAACAAAAATTCATAGAAGCCATACTTGAAGTTATTCAACTGTTCAAAGATTGAGAATATTATACGGTGTAAATTCAAAAAAATCTACTCACACTGAATGAGAGTGCAAGAGGGTAGCACAACTGTTTTGAACAAATATATTATTAAATCCAATATCAATTACACATATTGGATACCAGTGAGTAAACCATGTAGGTGTCCAGTCCTTAGTGCTCAGCACTGATCGAAGTCTACCGATCAAGTTTAAGCTTCTGCCACTAAACTAATTGATGTGATACAGTGCAATGTATTTTACGGAAACAGAAAACGATTATTATTGCACTGATGATGACTAGCAAATTAAGTTAAGTGTGCTGCTACAAACGACAATTCTTCCTCTACTCCATGGTTATTTGCAAAATATTGTGTGATATACTCCATAACAGTGCGCTATGATGGGATCACCATGTGAGAAATGTTAAGGTTAAACGATGGATACTCATCATTATCAAGATCAATATAGAACAAGCCATTACTACGTAACGGTCCAAGTTGCCACATTTTATATCAGCACATCAAGTAACAAGGCAATCAAATGGAAGATGAAGAAGGAAGTAGAAAGTAGTAAAAGAGAGGAAGGAAGGAATGAGAAAAGGATGAGATTAAGTATAGCGAACAATATAAGGATAATGTGTGTATACATCTACGCCACCGACATCAGTTCTGAGCAATATCACGTAGGGTCTCCAACCACTGGTTTCTCTTGTCCCATAGATCCCAACAGGCTAGTCTACATCTCCCTATTTGACTCAAATGAACAATAAAGTACTTCATGCATCGACTCCATGTTTTGGTCTGGCCACCTTGAGCCTTTTTCCGGCATGGGCCTACTTCAACCAACATTGTGTGACGAGGCAGACGTTGGCTAAACATAGGTAACAAATGTCCCAGGCATCTCAGTTTCACAACTGCATCAACTGACTTGCCTCTCCTGCCTAAAACTCTACACCTGACTTCTGCTTTACTCATGTAGTGACACCACGAAACACGGCCTATACTACACAGGCAACGGCGGTCAAACGTCTGAAGCCTTTTTATGTCTTCTACCGTTAATGGCCATGTTTCACAGCCAAACAGTAGAAGGGAGAGGATTGCAGCACAGTACACTCGACCCTTATCAGACAATCGGTTATCGCAGTGGCACCATAGATAACGTAAGTCGGCAAAAGCCAGCCGAGCCTTTTGTATCCGTGCAGAGATTTAGTCGCCCACTAAACAGTGCACTAGGGCTAATCTGATTTCCCAGGTAGTTGAAGTGTTTGACACACGATGGGTAATAATGAAGACAGGCAGGTCAGTCGATCAGGTTGTGAACCTTCATCAACTGAGGTGGCTTGGACATGTTCTACGCATGCGAAACCACTGTTTATCTCAATGTGCCATGATAGGGAAAGCTGGATTAAATTGGAATATGGTCGTAGGTGGCCAGTCCAAGACATGGCACCAGTCGATGAAGTCCCTGATTGTTTGTTTGAGCCATGTAAGTAAGTGTAGGCCACCTGGTTGGGATCCCCGAGCAGTAGGAATCAGTGATTCGGGACTCTTGTTTATATAGCTGAAAATCGGTCACAATGGCGTAGATATATTCACTCTTTGAGGTTATCCGTAGTTTGAATCCTTTAACTAACCTTGACCTACCCTGTCTAAATGTTTATCTACTTTATATTAATTGAGGCTTTCTTTTATTCAGTAAACTTTGCCCATTGTGTACTTTATGCGATTATTATCGTTAGTATTGGATATTTCTCATCATCTTCCTTTTACAGTGTAAAAATCAAGAGTTGATGAGCCATGTCATAACATTACGTAATAATCTGGTTACATTTAATAATTCAGGTAAGACATACAAATATTCATGTTTCTGCAGTGATTTTGTTGTATCATTAAAGATAATTATTTATTTGCAACTTCATGATATATTAGTGAAACGATTTATTTTAGTTTTTATAATCTATATTAACCAGTTCCTGGAGAGTGATCAGTAATCATTTTGTTGTCTATCTACTTTTTAGTGTTAACTGAATTCTATTCATAAAGCTTGTATTGTGATCAACAAGCAGAGACTCATAGAAAATTCAGTTAGATATTCTTGGTTGTATTGTGTTCTCTGAGGAGCTGGGTTGTTTAATCGTGAAGCTTTCATCGCCTTGCTAGACGACATCATCAGCACTCACTTCAGTATGAAGTGAGCTGTCAATATCTCTCCGTGAGTGATTCAGTAGCTTGCTCTGACGATGTGGTCTGTGATTGGTTGTTTCCTTCGATTGTTGTATCATTGATTGTATAGACTTTCCTGTTGGCTGTTCCTCTGCTTCACCTCTGACCTTTCTGTCGATCATTTTTCTTATTGGTTGATAGATCGGATCTATGTCTATACATCTGTTGATTGCTGACTGACTGAGCTGAATGCCAATCTTCTAGGAATTCTCTGATATTCTTTGTGTTTCCTCTCTCCGTCCAAAATTTCTACATTGTCGAAATTGAATTCATGTCCATAATTATCTACGTGCATTGAAATGAGTGACGAAATGTCGTGACGTTTAATAGTCCATTGGTGTTCATGTAGACGAAGGCGAAGAGGACGACCACTTTGTCCCGTATACTGTTGACTACAGTTATTGCAGTTGATTTTGTAAATGATATTCGGTTTGTCTTCTTTGTTTGTTGCATGCTTTGGTCTGCATAATAGTGTTTGGAGGGAATTTGTTGGTTTATGAGCCACACCAATTCCAAGTGGTCTCAGCAATCTTGTTGTGATTTCTGATACATTCTTTATGTATGGTAGGAAGATGCGTTTGTTGATTTCTGTCGATGACTTTGTAGTTGGTGATGCACGGGATAGGCATCTTCTGGTAAAGTTTCGTGGGTAGCCGTTCTTCTTTAGGGTGGACATCAGGTAATTTTCTTCGTTTCTCCGTGAAGTTGTTGTGCTACAGTGTGTTCTCGCTCTTTTGAATAGAGTCTGCACGCAACTGATTTTGTGTGTTGTTAGGTTGTTGCTATTGTAGTTGAGGATTTGGTCAGTGTGTGTTGGCTTCCTGCACACTTGGGTTTTCAGCTTTCCGGCATTTGTCCTGCTGACTAAAACATCCAGGAATGGTAGTTGGTTGTTTGACTCTTTCTCCACTGTGAATTTGATGTCATTGAAGACGTTGTTGATCAAACTGTGAGTGTTTTCTTTTTCATTCTTTTTAATGATGACAAAAGTGTCGTCTATATAACGAATCCAAATTTTTGGTTTGATCACAGGTAGAATAATGGCTTCCAGTCTCTGCATCACTGCTTCTGCTACTAATCCGGATATCAGTAAAGTATCGATCATGGTTACAGATATATACCTTACTAACGTAATTCTAGCAAACATTACACCTACTGTGTGGACTTGTTATCGGTTGCGTCCAACTACCGAATATACTATACTTTCTTGAAGCTAAGATGTACTATGTTACCTTTCCATCTACTTAAAGTATACTTCGAACAGGGTTGTTTCAGCTTTATTGACTAACTTACTCAGAAATTGTTCACCCTGTGGGTTATGTAATCTTTGTTTTAGTATATGTTTGCAATTCGGGCGTCAATATTAACTGTTACTCAACGGATACCATCCTTCTTTATTAAGCTTTGAAAACAAGCACACAAGTTGTTTGCTAGTTTAACTCATTGTGGAGAGTTGGTTCGTCATTTTCTACCAAGTGGTATGAGGTTTCGAACTCTCGGAACTGCAGGGGCGGTAGTAATTTGCATGAAACAGCCTGGATTGCTTTCAGAAAAAAACAACGGTGTTGTCTCTGCAACTATACTGCCGTAATCCGGGATTAAGAAATCTCTTATCGTCCTATCTTATGTAAGCCTAATTATAAACTTCCGTATTGGATATGTACTTCAGATGCCGAGCCATCGCCTACCTCAACATGCCTTGCTAGGACTATGGAAAGTTGGATTAGGCTGGAAGAGGGTTCAGAGTGTCTAGACCAAGATGTGACACCAAGCAATAAAATCCCTGACTGTTGGTCTGAGCCGTGTGGAAAGGTGTAGACTATCAGCTTTGGGCCCTAGAGACAAAAGGAATCAATAGTTGAGGACTGTCAGTGACATGACTGAATATCGGTCACAATCGTGTAGGTGTATTCATTCCTTGGCATCTTCCAAATCTTCATTATTTGCCCTAACCTTGATCTTCGAATTATCTTTTCTCTCACGCAACTTTATCTACTTTGATGTCAGTCTTCTTCTATCCATCTGTTCTTTGTTTACGAATGTGAATTGTGGCTACTTGAACCGATATGGTTGTGTGTGTGTGTGAGGTTCTACGATGATTTAATATACTTGTAATTCTCCTTTGTTAAACTGGCTTGAATTGATCGATATCTCTTAGTATATGAGTTCCTATGCAAATGCCTCGACATTACCTGAATATTTATTGTTATAATTGATTTTTGTTTTAGCTAGAAGTGGAATCTAGGATGCGCGTTTTAAGTGATGGGTTCCAGGTTCAAGTTTCAGTGGGAAGAACATCACTTACCTACTGGGGTGCATATACATCCAGCTAACGAGTCTCAAATAGAACGAAACCCGCATCCTAGATCCCACTACTAGCCATGATCAAGTCAGTGCTTATCATCATGTACATAGTTTAAACTGATTTCCCACAATATTTGGCCCTGATGCTGGTTTTCACATAAGTTTTTTCTGAAGAGAATTTTAGACTGTATAGTATGCTACCGATGGACTGTTAATAAGAAATTTGACTGTTATTAACGCCAACTTATTCCTTGACTAAACAATCTAGATAAACAACCGTAGAATCTGAGAAGGAAGTTATCGCAAAGAACATTGTTTGTCTTTTGAACTATAGTGGGAATTTTTTAAGAGAGATAAAACTGTTAAATGTTTTTCAATAATTTATTTTTGTTTAGAGGAAATAGTAATAAACTGGATAAGTTGTCGTCAATAAAAGATAAATAATAAATTAACAAAGAAAACCGGTCGAATATTGATCTGATCAACTTACAGAAAGCCTGCAGGAACGGGTCAGCTAAGAAAAGCTTCTACAGCTGCGTATCTATCGATTCCAAATGAAACTTGATCATATGTTTTGCAATATGAATCTCACGTATTTATGCCTCTAGTGTCTTAAAATGTGAAATATATCTAGATAAAATCCTGATTGAAAATGGATATCCGCCTCAGAGCATACATGAAAACATCAAACCTAAGCTTCAAAGAAATCGCTTCACTTCTGCTCCAAAGAAGATTCTTTACAGGAACCTGAAACCTAAAAGTGATACCGCTACACTGACGTACTAAGGAGAAAGATTTCAAACTCTCCAAGAAGAACTTTCTTTGTAACAACGTTAAGCGTAGTTTTCACTGATCGCCCACTATTTTCTAACAACTTGAAGGATAAGGTCTCATCTTTGACCACCTCCGTGTATGTATATTGCTTCACCCATAGTTCAGTCCGAGTCCTGTTCCAAAGGATTGAAGAAAACTATCCTGCATGGTTGCGGAAAGGTGTTAGCAGTTCCATGAGGTGTGCAATAATTGAATATTTCGTTAATATTGACCATATAATCTCGAAAACCTCTACTTTCAAAGTTATCTACATGAGTAGTAGGAACCTGTTGCTGAAGCTTTATCTATTCATGTAGAAAATCTCGAACTTTGAACAAAAAAGAAATTTGTTCAACCTCTTTTCCTTTCATGGACTTAATCCTAACTTTTCAAACTACTCCTGCTTTCCACCAGATTGCGCAACCGATTATCAAAAATATGTCACTTATATCCGAATTCTGTTAAACTGTAATACGAATGTTCAATAGATGTAGCAACTTCTATTGGCTTTTGCATATGATTACTTACTCTGTTCGTTACAATGTCCTCGAAAAAAAACTAAGCACTTAAATGATCAGTCTATCGAAAATCTACATGGAATGGAAAAATGACAAACTTTAGTAGCTGGCTCCCCACCAACCGACAAAGAAATTTAATATATTCACTTTCATCTTGGGTCCAAAAAATTTGTACTCCCGACACTCTAAAAGTGACACTCAACTTCTGATATCGACGCTCGCTCAAAATGAATACTCAAAGAGATTCCCAGATGAAGATCTATATCAGAATGCAACTGTTTATCCTTCTATCACTGTAGAGAAAAAAAGCTAGTTTTGAGCTTGGAACTCAATGAATTGCAGCAGATGGAAGTACTAAAACACATAACAATAGAGGCTTTCAAGAGAAAATTCAATGCAGCCACTCTTTAAATCCCGTATACTAGTCGCTCAATGGTCAATATATGTGCGAAGGACAAACTGTTACCTCTGGCTGCTTCAATGTGGATATATCAATTCACCTGCTCCTGTGGAGCTAGGTACATAGGTTGTACCTAGAGGCAAATTGATCAACGTTGACGCCAACACTTTCCAGCATAACACAATAAAGGTCAACGGAGATCAATAAGCAGCTGTATATTAAAACAATTGGTTGACAACAGAGACAGTCCGAGAAGATTCGTTTTCACTAGTCTACAAAGTGCAATATAATCTTCCAGAGAGTGAGAAAACGTTCACTTTGAATTACTGAAGCTCTGGCAATACATGAATGAAAGTTGGAGTTGTGTATCCAGAAGAGATCTTGTAATTCCCTTCCCTTATTCTTAAGATATCCAGCTCTTAAACTTAACTAATCTTTTCATTTTCGTGTCGTTATTATATGAACAATTTTTGTTTAGTTCAGTTACAAATTTCGCATTTCTTTCCTTAGTCACTGACAACTATCTACTCACTTTTTTACGAATTCTTTACTTTGTGATTTCAATTCACATTTACTTACCTTGTCAAATACCTTCATATTTATCTTCATCTTGATAACAAGTGGTGGGATCTAGGACTCACATTTCATCCTCATTGGGACTCGTCAGCTAGATATATCCGCCTCCCAGTGAGTGATGTTGTTCTTACTACGACTCGAACTAAGGATTAATCGATTCAAACGCCATAGCGTTATCATCAATTAAGTCACTGAGTCACCATAGCCACTCCTTGTACAATGATTATAGTGTAGTCTTTGATGTCACTGATTGGACCGAATTGATCAGTGACTATTGGCATATTGACTGCTTTGCGGATCCCTCAATATTGTTAGTATTTTTTTCACATTAGTGATATTATCTTGGATTATGCTTTTATTTCTTTACGATATAAATGATTGTGAAACTACTCTTCTCTTCATTCGCGTTATTTATTCTCTACAGGTAATCCAAATGAAAGTGGAGATAATCGTGTCTCTATTAGTTTGATCGGTTTACATTCACCAGTACTAACTGCAAATACTACTGTAGTCAGTCAGAATAATAATAATAACAGTAATATTAATAGTAGTAGTAGTCATGTTGGTAATACCAGTAATATAAGAAAGCAACAATCAACTTATCAAATTCCCTTGTTAATGGATATGCAATTACAAGGTGCATTATTGCCTACAGTCAATGCTGGTCCAATGGCATATGCTCAAGCATTTTTAAAAGTTGAAAATCAGTCACTTTATCCTGCATTCAAAGTGAATCAATTGAAGGAGCTGTTCTTGTAAGTTGTTGTTTATTTGACAGTAAACTAATTTTATTGTTGATTTTTCCTTTTAAATCTTTCTTCTATTTATAAGAGGAAGTTTTAATCTTTAGTCTTAGCCTTAAACTATCAGCTGTAAAGTTGACCATTTATGAAGATCTTTTGAATCGTTTTCTTAAGTACTTTGAAGCTATTAATCTCAGGTTCCATATTTGTGCTCTAGAATCTTCATTTAATTGAGAGGATGAACCAGCCCTAGTGATCAGATAATTATTGAAACCTAAACATGTATACAAAAGGCTTGATTAACTTTTGCAAATTCATCCCGTCTGTGATATTGGGGTAAGATTCGATTATGTACTAAGGATGGAGGGTATATTAAGCATCAGTTCACTGTTTTACTGCATGGCTGTGAAAGTTGGTCATTAAAGGTGAGAAGATATGAAGCAGCTTCACATATTTGATCACTGCTGCCTTCACAGCATAGGTCATGTATCGTTGGATCATCATCAGGTCAGTAACACAGAAGTTTTTTGTACAGTTTTAGGGAGGAGAGGAAAGTTAGTTGATGGTGCTGTAAATCCTCATAGACTCACATAGCTGTGAGTGTGTTATGTATAACTAGTCATTGTCTGCCTTATCGAGCGATGTTGGCTGAAGTAGGTTCAAACTGGTAAAAAATTGTGGGCCACCAGACTAAACCGTGGCTTCGTTTTATGAAGTCTTTGACTGTTGATCTGAGCCGTGTAGGGGAATATAAACCTTCCATTTGGGGTTCAGGTGACTATCGAAATCTCTGATTGGAGACTAAAAATGATATGATGCGAGGTGTAGCAACGTGGACCGACTGATTTACTGTTATGCTTGATTACACTATACTGCAACCTGGGTTAAGACTACGAAAGGAGGAGAAGTTGGACGAACCCCATTTTTGTTTGTAATTCACCATGAACTGATATCAGTTGGAGGAATATTGGAAACCTGGGAGCACTGGATAGCTGTTTCGTCATAGTATGGGACGCCTCAACAGTGCGCACACCCATGACCCGGCCAGAGATCGAGCCCAGAACCTTCAGGTTCCATGGTTAGCACGTTACGATTAAGCCACTGGGTTGGAATCCAATGGTCCATATTTCCTACTTCTGTCAGTTCACAATATAACACTATCTACATCCCAAGTTTCCAATGTTAGTCCATGGTGAATTCCAACCTAAAATCAAATAATAAACCTCCACAAACCTCCAAAGAGAACCCCTTTTTTGTTTGAACTATCCAAAATACCTTGTCAGGATGATGAAGACTTCATTGATATATCAGCGTTTTGCTTCATATTCCCTTTCACTTTGCCAATAAGTTTGAATAAAGCATCTGGTAGCAAATGAATGTCAAATTTTTTCGATGATACACTCAGTTATCGTTCTTCTAATTGATTCATTGTTATCTCTTTACAACTATGTGGGATCGTTTTCTGAAAGTCCTTTGGATGGTACTTTCAACGAACAAACGAGATGAAAGGCTAAGAAATAGAATTAGTATAATGGAATGTCATGAAAAATAATCAGAAGAAAAAAGCGAAGGTTTAGCGAATGATGAAATATACGGCATAAGGAATAAGATAAAGACAAAGTATAAGTGCATATGGTATTTATGTGACCGATTCTGTACCACATATCTAAGAGTCTACAATCTTCAGTTTTTGTTGTTTTGTGGACTTCAACCAGAAAACCCACGTTTACTACACTGTTCAGACCATTATTCAGAAGTTTCATGGACTGATATCACCTCCACTGACAATTCATTTAATCAGTGTTTAAAATCTTATCAAATAACACCGATTCTTGGAGTCCATCTGGGAGAGACTTATCTAACTCCAATCACTGAAGCTGATTAGTAGTAATTGCTGTTGTTGTTGTTGTTGTTGCATATACCGTACTGAATTAAACTTTAAGATGTTTTATGAATAGAAATTTAAATTCTAATAACCCTTTCTCACTTCTCTTTTGTCTTTTACAATATATATAGTGATTTCTTATCGACTTGTCTGATATTGCTTACACATTATTACAATTTAATGTCCAGTGTGCATGAGGCGAAATATTGTGCTATGCGAGAAGCATTAGATCGTTATCGTATAGATTTAAGCAATCTACTAAAAGAGGAAGTAAGTTTTGAAATTTTTATCTTTTGTTTAAAATATTCTCAATTTATCCTCCTAGAAATAATGATAGGCTATGTTTTAATATATTTGAAGATGAAATGAAAACGTATATCATGTATCGTAGTATTATTGCTCGCATTTGGTGGAATCGTGTAGACAATATTGAAGTTAGGCAAAGGTACTAGATAAGAAAGGCAAGTCGATTGATAAAGTTGTGAACCTTCATCGACTGAGGTGTCTTGAACATGTATTAGTGGAACTGTGGATTATTGGTTAAGGGAGATAACTACCAACCATTGGATGATGGGTCAGAGCCCAGCTCCACCTGTTGAGGTCTGAGCACCTAGGTATTATCACTAACCAACATACAATAGGTGTTGCTCATTGCCTGCTTACCGAATATACACAGGGTAGCTAAATGTTTTTTGTGTGTGTTTTGTTGTATTGTGAAATGTACTGTGCATGACGACGTGCCATGTTAGAGGAAGCTGGATTAGGTTACACGAGGGTTCAGGGTGACCAGACCAAGACATTTCACCAGTCGATGAAGTCCCTAAATGTTTGTCTGATGCGAGTAGTGAGATGTAGACTTCCAGGTTGGGGTTTCCGAGATGAACGGAATCAGCGGTTGAGTATTCTTGACGACATAGCTGAAAATCGGTCACAATGGCGCAAATGTATTCACTCTTCGACGTGTTTTAAAGCTTAAATATTTGCTTCAGCCATTATCTTCGAATTGTCTCACACAACTTTATCTTCTTTGTGTACTACTGTAAAGTATGGCAACTTGAACTGATGTGATTGTGTGTGAGGTTGATTTTGTCAGTCCTAAGAGATAATATGAATAGATGATCAACTTCTTACTCAGTAATGTTTCACCTGAAAAAACTAATACCATCTCAAAGTTTAAAATCAGCCATACCTTTTGTTTTCAACTGTAATATCCTGGATTAGCTGTTATTATTTCGGGTTATATCTTCCTAGAATCTGTTTTGCTTGATCACTCGGTTAAATTCGGAAAACTGCTTTTTGTTATGGTTCTGTTTTGTAGACAGAGTGTACCATTAACAAGCTGATCAATATTTAGGTTAATTACGTGACCTCAGATTGGTATTCATCATGGATTGACATCAGTTGGAGAATCATTGGAAACCTGGGAGTATCTGACCGTTGTTTCGTCCCAGTATGGGACTCCTCAGCAGTTCACACGCGTGACCCCATCAACGATGAAACCCAGGACTTTCTGTGGCTAGCACGTTGTGACTGAGTCACTGGATCGGATTCAGATGGTCCATATTTCCTACTTCTGTCAGTTTACGATACAGTGTGACCTTCATCCAAAGACATCGTTGAATAAATGTCCTCATGTTCGCTTGGTTGGCTCTATTGGTCATGGCTTTACATTGAAACTTCGGGAATTAGCTTTTAAAGCCAGTCACCATTGAGCACTGAATTAATTCAATTTATTTATTTATTAATTTCAGATTGGTATTCATCATGAACTGACATCAGTCGGAGGAACATTGGAAACCTAGGACCACCAAATAACTTTTTCCTCTTAGGATGGGATTGCTAAGCAGTGCGCACCCATGACCGCTCAAGGAGTTGAACCCAAGACCTTCAGGTTCTACACCCAACACATTACCATTGGACCATTTGGATCCGACGCAGTGGCTCAATGGTAACGTACTGAGCCCGGAGCCTGAAGGTTCTGGGTCAGATCTCTGGCGGGGTCATGGGCGCTCGCTGTTGAGGAGTCCCCAAACTGGGACGAAACAGCTGCCTAGTGCTTCCAGGCTGTACGATCAACTTGTCCATACTGACTCGCGGAATAACAATAGTTTGGATTAGTGTTGAGGATTTCCCTTAGTCCGTGGATCATAGGATTCAATAGGAAATCCAAACTTGTTTTAAGATCAGAATAGCGACCAAGACACGGATCCAACAGACTGACAGATAACAAAAGACACATCACTCGACCCAAATGTCTATCGTATACTTTATCTTTAGAATGAGTAATTTTATAGAATCTCTAAATGGAAGAAAGCTGCTGTCCAACACCCATAACAGTGCTCTCTGAATTTTCATATTTTATCCTGTCATCATCAGACTTGTTGACATTCTCAGCAGTGCTCAAAGAAGACTGAACCACTATCATCTTCATCCTGAACCATAAAATAAATTCCGTCATTCCAACCTCTTGATATTTATCTATTTCGTCAAATGATTTCGATTTTTCTATGGGATGTGAAATTTTGTGGCTTTTAAAAAAATTTAGTTATTTTCTGGTAATTGTTAACGGAATAGATACATATGACCTGTTTTCTGTGTGTGTGTGTGTGTGTGTGTGTGTGTGTGTGTGTGTGTGTGTGTGTGACTAAGTGGATGTCGATACACTTGAACAAAGTTACATCACTGTGATGATTATTCGTATGCATGTGAATGTGTCGATGTTTCACCGATGGAACAGCTGTCTTATACATCCATATCAATTACTTATCTAAGTTTCAGTATCTTTTTCACTTTTTCCCTGGTATATACCCCTGATCATAGTAACTGTGAGAGATTGTATTCATTTTTCGCACAATGTTACTTCATTTGTGTATTTTTTTTATTACTTAGAAAAGCAGTTTTATTTCCTTGTTTAAGTAACAATATGTGTTAAAGCTGAACTGCGAGTGTAAAGACAGTTGACTGGAAGTAACCTAGAGGAAGCCATCAAATTAGGTTTCATGCTTGTTGGTACTTGTCAGTGAGGGAACTCATATCCCCTGCGAGATTTCAATCTTTGTCACCCAGGGTTGTAATCAGTGACGTAACCAATGAGCTATTGGGTCCCATGATCGACCTCATGTAGGACTGGATTCGACGTATTGGTTGATCACTTCAGCGTAACCAATTTCTCGTTGTCTAGTACCGATTACTCACTGAATTATATCGATCATTTTTTGAGTACTGATAAAGTTTGAGAATATCTGAATTTTGGTAAAATGAACATCAAATTCAAATTCCTATTACATATATCTCATTTGTTTTCTATGTCTCTTGATAATATGTACAGGCACATATTGAAGTGGTGACAAAAAGGGTTAAGTCTATTGATAAATCTCATCGGAATTTGATATACTACTGAACAACGTGAGTAGTTAGAAATCACTCATTCTAATATATAGATTTTAATAACCAGATCACAGTGATCGAGAAGCTGGGCAGCTGTTTGAAGCTAAACTCATCAGTGATGTTATAGGGATAGATTTAGCTAACAAACCCGAATCATTCATACCTACTGAATCTGGCTAGCAAGTTGACTTGGATGAACTGCTATTCCTTAATCAAGTCGATGAATTTGTTACTAACATGTTGGCATTTCTCACAGTTGAGTAGTTTTCCAACTGTGATATGCACTGAATTTTTGTTGGAAACCATCCAATCAAGATCATAGAGTATGATCTGTAACACAAAAGTGTCATGAACTAACGAAATATACCACTGAACTATATGAGTGGCTAGAAGTCATTCACACTGATCTATGTATTGGGAATTTAGTTCATACTGAAACAACAAATTCGCCTCTTGTTTCACACCAGGTTTCCGTTTCCGTTTGTTCAGTGACCTTGAAGTTTTTGTATTAAATCAGACTGTAGCACACTCACTTCGACGATACTCAATATTAGAGACACAGACTTGAGATGACGGTAGAATTATCCAGTTGAGATATTTGTATATCATAACTTGTTAATTAGGCCAGTACACTTGAAGTTTGGCTTTGATTGATTGCCTGCGGGAATTATGTTAATCATACATACCAGATTTTCATATAAATAAACATCTGTTGTGTGGGACCTAGTGGTACTACCTAACTGCCCTACACCAAGTTAAGTAGGTGGAGTGGTGGACAATATTTGTAGCTCAGGTGGATGGCCTTGGTTGTATTGTGTTCTTTGAGCTGGACTGTTTAGTCGTGGAGCTTTCATCGTCTTTCTAGACGACATCTTCAGCACTAACTTCAGTATGAAGTGAGTTTTCAATATCTCTCCGTGAGTGATTTAGTAGCTTATCCTGACGAACTGGTTTGTGATCGGTTGTTTCCTTTGATTGCTGTGTAATTGACTGTCTAAATTTTCTGTTGACTGTTCCTCTGCGTGACCTCTGACCTTACTGTCGTTTATTGTCTAGAAAGACGATGAAAGCTCCATGATCAAACAACCCAGCTCGGAAAACACTACAACCAAGGTGAAGTGGGTCTCGAACCCTCGTAACCTATTGGTTGAAAGTTGACTACCTAGATCAATCCACTACGGCTTCACTAGTTGTGAACTTGTTAATATTTATGGAAAATCTCCATCAAAATACACTTTCAACTGGATACCTACTTCTGACATGGGCTATCGCTCATTGGTACAGTTAGTCGATAAACAACGACTCACGAGTTAAAAATCTAATGACACCTACTGAATTTTGTGCTCCAGGTAGTATCATAGCCCTCACGCGTAGTGCGTGGCTCATCATCTAGTGTGCGAATCTGTAAACGATTGGTGAGTAACAATATATTACTATTACTTTTGATATGTTCATATCTTCTGAAGGTTGTAGAATATTTAAGCATAGAAATGTTCGGGACATTTGAAGATATTTATGCAACGACCCTTGTGACAGACAGACCAAACTTAAAGTCATGCTGGGTTACACCAGTAGTAAACGACTTTTTTGTGGAATTCTGCTAACTCATGGAATGCAAGTAATGACACACACACACACACACACACACACACACACACACACACACACACACACACACACACACATACAAATGAGACTGATCTCAATTTTACCTTAGAGAAGGAAGAAATTGATACAATCAGATTTTTAGATGTTTCTTTAGTGAAGAGGATTGATGCATCTGTAGAAGGGTCCATATTCAGAAGACGAATCAGAGTGTACTCATCCTTTGATAGATAGTCAGATATCTCACCAGTCAACGCCACAGATGACGCAAGCTGGCAAATGCCAAATAAGCCTTCAGTATCCGAGCTGAAATTTCGTCAGCAATCAGCCCATTTGGCCTGATGCAACTACTCAAGTAAGTGAAGTGGTTGAAATATCCCACCACTTGACTCCTTATAATGATACTGGGAGTTGTTGCAGACCAGTCCTTAACCACCATCTTACATTTGACAGGTGCCAGCGAAACGCATGCCAAACATACTCAGATTTCTGCTCAACGCCTTCTGAAGACCACGTATTGCTTTAGCGTCTTGACGCAGCAGGACAATATCTTCTGTGCACTCCAAGTCAACCAAAATACCTCTAGAGAGTAGGTCAACCTTTATGAAGTCAGACGTACCTAAGGTTATGTCCATTAGTACGTCTTTAACGACGTCAAATAAGAAAGGCGACAGTTGGCATTGCCTGGTAGACACTAGTTGTAATCATTTCTAATGACACCTCTCCATCAGCCCTTACGCGCCTGGATGAGTTCGAGTAGAGAGCTTTGATTGTCATTATATACTTGCTCGGTACTCCTTTCACAGTCAGACGCCGCCATAACACCTCAATGGTCGACAGAGTCATTAGCCACCCTCAGGTCAAAAAAATGGTGCGTCGGCCACCGGTAAGTGCACTTGTGTTTCACGACCTATCGAAGGGTGAAAATATGATCGATACACCGTCATCCATGTCTAAAACCCTCCTTCTAGTTGGGTGTCGGATAACTATGGATACTAAGATTTTAGATACAAATTTAGACAAACGAATTCCCCTATAGTTGTCTCAGAAGACTTCTCTTCCTTCTTATAGACTGTGATGATCAGAGAAGAATTTACCATGCTGAAAGATTAATGTTTTTTAGCACCACGAAGCCGGTACTACAACAGTGCGGCAAAGACAGAACACTTACTCTCTACACTAGTAACTGTGTAAATAAATTCGGATGTGTTTTACGAAAGCAGTAACATAGGTCGTACGGAAAATTGACTGTCTAGTCGTGTAGTTGAACACTCGCCTAAATGGTTAGGTCGTTCTGAAGTCAAAACTCAAAGAAGTTGTATAACCAAACATCTCCTTGACTTTAAGCATAGCATTAATTTTATGGAGTCATTCACAGTGTTCAGCAGATGATGGAATAAAAAACTGCTTACAATTTCAAAAGCCTATACAATTCGGGTTGATGTTCAGAAAGAAATGATGATGACTCTTAATTTGCTTTGTTAACATTTCTAATGTACTTTAAATTCGCCGATTAATCTTTGTTCAGAAATCGGTATTATTAGTTAGTTATATTTATACTTGTCTTATTTCTATATTCTTTACTAATTTTTTTCATTTAATGAGTAAATTTCACTACTAGTAGTCATTCAATAATCGCTTACTAACTATTTGATTCGCTTTGATATACTGTTATTATTTATTTGTCCTTTGGGTTCCTAGTAAAACATAGGGCTTCAGTAGCATGTCGCCATTTCACTCTATTCTCTGCAGTTTTTTCAACCTGGCTCAACGATTGACTGCCTATAAGCTTTCATTTCTTCCTCACATGATCTCTATGTCACCTTCGGACACCCAACTTGTCGTTTCCCATCAGTGAGTTTTCCATTATGAATCACCTTGGTATGTAACATCATCATATACCTGTTGAATGAAGTTGGTAAATGTTTATGGCACTCAGTAGTGTTTATTGGAGCAGCTGCCAAATTACTTCTCAGTCGATGCTATCGAAAGTCTTTTCAAAGTCGATGAATTTGAGGTAAAGAGAGTTGACTGCCATTCTATGATGATGCGTAGCGTAACGTTGCAATTTGACCCTCATATGATTTGCTTTTCCTGAAGCTAGCCACTTTGATATAAGTGAACTTTAATCCAGTAAATTTTCACAATGCTTTCACGCATCTACTTGACTATGTTAAAAAAAAAACAACCTTCATGTTGCTAAGTTTCATTCGTTACCATAGTTTGAAATGCTCATATGTATCTCACTCTGGTATGCATAATCAAGTGTATAGTGTATTCAACATTTATGAATTCACTAGATCCTGTTTTCTAAAACATTTTTGATTGCTTTATATTACTATCAAGAAAAATAATGCCTTCAATTTCATTTTGTAACTAACTGTTGAGGCTGGTCAGACTTTTGAAATCACCGATAGAACTAAAGTGATGTAACGCAAAATCAATCGCTGGATTACTGTTCCCTCCTAGAACTTTGCTTTTTGTGTCATTATCCTGAGTCTGGCTTAGCTTCTTTTATTTCTGTTTTGATGCGATACTTAATTGTTTCAGGTTCCTTGTTGCTTCTGTTTCGAACTTAATGCCTTAAAGAAGTCCCACTAATATTATGAGGTGGGGGATAAAGCAGCAAACAGTAATTATTAGATTGAGTTGCTTTTATCAACTTTGGTAGTTATTATGTTTCAAGTTGGTATTCATCGTTAACTTACATCAGTTTGAGGAACAATCGAAACCTGGGAGCACTGGACAGCTCTTTCGTCCTAGTATGGGACTCAGCAGTGCGCACCCATGACCCTGCCAGGAGTCGAACCCGCGACATTCGGGTTCCGTGGCCACCATGTTACCATTGAGCCACTGGGTTGGAAATATGGATCGTCGGATTCCGACCCAGTGGCTCAATGGTGGCTGGCCACAGAACCGGGTACGCACCGCCAAAGAGTCCCATCCAGTGCTCCCACGTTTCCATTGTTCCTCCAACTGGTGTCAATCTACGATGAATACCAACTCGAAATATCTCTAAATCCCCACAAACCTTTAAATCTAATCACTATGTTGTTTTCACTTCTTAGATCCTTCAGATTTACTACTTCCGATCTTATCGAATTTCGCTTTATCTTCTACTGTTTTATTGCTAGTGTATATATTGTGCTCAGATTTATACACCAGTTGCCTTATTTTTTCAACTTAATGCTAAGAAAAACATCTTGAGGTTTCAGTTGATTTATTGATATGTTGAAGATTAACTCTCTCTCTCTCTCTCAGGTACTTGAATTTCATTAGAATTTAATGTTCTAGTTGACACATTGATTATCCATTTCGTTCTATCGATATTTTCTTTCATCTCAATAAGATGAACATTTCTGAATTTATTGACAGCAGCTTATCTCGGTTTGCTTAATGTTTCAGCCAGGATGTCATAGTGTCATCCGGATCTAGTAGTTAGTAGAGTCTAGTTATGGTGGATGGATGAATGGATGATGGATGAAAAAAGTTTCTCAATGTGTCAACATTGAAGTTACCTTTTAAAGTATTTCTTTTTTAGTTAGCATAGAATCTGGATAAAATGTGTAAGGATACTCTCATGATAATAGTGTCAATTATATTTACACTCATTATACTATGCTTATTGTCTGTGCATTTTCTCTTCTTTGTTTTCAGGTTGTTGTTGATGAGAAGGAATTACGAATTCGACCGAAGTCATCATCTAGTCAACCTAGTAGTTAGAAGAGATGAAAAACAACAATCAATACTCATTATCTTGTTTACTACGTTCAGTTATACGAGACACATTTTTCTATGCTTCTTTTTCACCTGCCTCCCTGTTGGTTGGTTACTTGTACAGTAAAGTCAACTTGAATGAAGAAACAGTTTCATGAATTATTGAAAATTGACGATAATAACTGTTGTGTATGCATGTGTTCCTTATATACATCGACGTATCAGCAACATCAGCATTCCATTCCATGTCCAATAATGTTTGTATCATGTAAAAAGAATCTATCTACTTCTATTCTAAAGATTGATTGATATTGTATAGGAAATATATTGCGGGAAAAAAACAAATACTACTTTACTGTTTAACATACGAAAAGAATAAAGAGTTATTGTTATGATTATTATTTTTTTTTTACAATGGAAATTGGCTGAGAATGATAGAAAACTGTACTTTTACCCCGTGTAAAACAACATTTCTAATCTTATTGGCCTAATTTCTTATTGATACACTCATCGATTTGATTAATTACTGTTATCTGGATTGATTGAAGAAGGATTATGTTTTAATTCAACGACTATATTCCTTTCAATTGATTATCTTTACCTTTTAAGATCATATTTTTTCGAATTAATAATTTTGTCAATGTTACAACATTAAGTAGAGTATAGCAAGTATATACAATACATTTCAACATCAGTATTTCTTTCATCAAAAGAAAAAAAAAAGACAGCAGAAAGGGAACTTGTTGGTTTTTGAAACCACCATTCCTTTTCCCCTTCATGACCTGTTTGTTCTTCAATGCTAACCTGAACTATACAGTTGGATATAAGTTTATAATATAATATGAATATGCTTTATGTTGAACTGATTTTCTCTTTCTACTATTTTAATCGTTCATTCAAATTGTATATGTACTGTATCCTTATTGTTAACTGTCTATATTGATTAAAAGATAACTATTCAATTGTAAATGAGAAGTTACACATAACATTAATTGTAAACAATAAAAATACTAATGTGAACGATTAGTTTATCTTTTAAGGAGGATAATAGTGTTTTAAAGTTAAGAAGGGGGAGATGGGGGTGGATGGTATCACATATCTCAGTTTTGTGTTTAAACGAGATGTTATAAAAGCATGAGAAGAAATAACACAATGTTATAGTGTACAATAAGACTGTCAAGATGCTCATAAGACGACAGCCTAAATCCCTGAAGCTTTTCACAGCCGATCCTGGTTACTTTGAAGTTTAGAAAAAAGCTGCGTGAACCTTTGAGTAAATACCAGATTAGTTGAAGAAGTGAAATCAATAGAATATGATCTTCTAGATGGGCTTAGAAGTAGTTAAGATTATTGTAAATATATGTAGAAACCGTTGTATTTGTAAATATTTTGACGTTGCAATACACCTATTACTCTACCGACGCTTCCACTTACCGAGAAACAGAGCGACCATCAAGAGTGGAATCTGAAGGTTACTGTCCGAGTATCAACTCTCTATAACATATATATATATATATATATATATATATATATATATATATATATATATATATATATATATATATATATATATATGCCATTTTGATTGGTCTGCAGTCATGCCATCCAAGTGTTACTTCCCAATATCCTGAGAATCCTAGTTAGGTAGATTAGATTTCCAGTTACAGTTGAAAATAAAAGTCAACGACTTTATGCGTTATTGTTTCAATTCGGTTTGGTTACCTTCAGATTCTTTTCACTCGAACTAATCCTGCTCCACTCAGCACCCCATATAAGTTTAATCAGTATCTCAGGAAGTACAACACTTAAAGTTTATACCAATAACTTTAGGTTCACATCGTCAACCATTGACCCATATTATTGATCTATAAACCTAAAGTTCACCTTGACAAAGATAACACGATGCTTTGAAGATACCGGCAACCTCTTATCGTCTACTTCCAGTAGCTGTCTTACAGTGACACAGCCACATACAGAGGACAGCTACGCAATACACTTGTCTTCTGATATATATTCAGACCTCTCATCTCCACTATAGACGAAGGCCTTATTTATTATTATTTGTCCCTTGGGTTCCTAATGAAACATAAGGCTTCAGTAGAACGTCTCCAATGCGCTCTGTTCTCTGAAATCTTTTAAACATGGCTCCTCGACAGCCCGCAACCTCTCATTTCCTTCCCGCACGATCTCCTCCATGTCACCCTCACCTAGGACGCCCAACTCGCCGTTCCCATCTGGGTTTCACTCGACTGACTGGCCTGAGCGTGATGTCCCCGAATGGTCTTCTCAGTGCATGCCCAGTCCAATCCATCTCCACTTCCTTCCAGTGCATATTTATTTGTTGAGCGATAGGTTCTCGGTTGGTTCGTTGTCAGCCAGAGAGAGTTCCTTGTTACTTATTCTTTCTGGCAATCCATCTGATCTTCAGTAACGAGCCAGCATAGGAGGCAGTTGTTGATGAATGTGTGTAGTTTGTTGGAAATGCCTTTCGTAACGCGCCAAGTCTCTCAACCATCAAATAGAGGCACTGACTTGACTGGGTTGGTGTTGAAAATCCGGATGTTGTTCACGCTTTATGCTGAGTTCAGTGGAGTAGATCTGCATACTGGTTTCAGGTTAATGAATGCCTGTCTTGCTGTCTTTCCGATCCTGGCTGGCTTTGACGTCCTCGTCTGTGCCTCCCACTGTAGTTGAAACAGTGCTGCGTAGACTGGGTAGGTGAAAGTGGCTACTTCCTTTAGGTTTCTCCCGTTGATGGTGATTGGAGCTTGTTGTTTTTGTTGGTGTTGGTTGAGTATCATCATCACCTCTGTCTTTTCTACGTTCACTTGAAGTCCCGTCTTCGCTGCCTCTTCTGTCAACTTATTAGTTTTTGCTCGTAGATCTTCGAGTTTGTGCGAAATTAGATACAAGTCATCGGCGAAATCCAAACCTTGCAGGATGTTTTCCCCGGTCTAGGTAATCCCCCTCTTTTCGCTCCTCACTGTTTGCTGCATGAAGAAGGCCTCGGAAATGTCAAATTAGTTTACGGTATGACAGATGAAGCTTCATCATCTCCCAAACCACCTAAAGTAATGTATTCTCTAAATAGGTGAATTAGTCAGCTTGATGAAACACGTGTCCCATCGTTAAGATTTCCTGTTGTATACTAGTTTCTGAGTATAAAAATGTTGAAAAATTTGTGAAACTGAATCCTAGTCCTAATATAGACGACTGGAACTTGATTTCAATTTGCAGTGCTGTCTGCATCAACAAACCGTTAAGTGTTACCTACATCAGATTTCATGATATGCGTGAATAACAGTGAAAATATGATAGATGGATTGATTGACAAAGTCTTCTTCACCACACCAGCAACGCACAATTCAGGCGTAGAGATTTGATTAGAAGTAAACGATCAGCTGCACAAACCATTTTTCTTAGTGCCACCACTTTAGTCACATAGAAGTAAAGTATATAGCTTTCGACAGAAGGGTTAGATCAGTTAATGAGGTTAAAGACCTTCGTGGACTCGTATGATTGGGGTATGTGTTACGCATCCCTAGCCACTGTGTGCCAATGTTGCAGCATAATATTGTCTGTAGTAGGTTTAGGTTAAAAAAATGTTGAAGACATAGTCGCATCAATCAGTCCATGAAGCCTCTGATTGTTGGTCTAAGCTGTGTACGGGAGATAATGTGTGATATAGCTCTGAATCAATTTTATTGGTTCAGATGCATCCATGACTTTCAATCACTTTGAATTACTTGTTTATTTCGCTATCTCTCATTTTGATTCTTTCTACTTGATGTAACAACATGGGCTGTTAAGCTGTAATGTCAGGTTTTATGCAGACATCAATTTACTGATCTTTATACGTACAGTAAGTATGATGTAGTCTGAAATCAAGTCAGAGTAGTAACAAGCTACGAATTTGAAAGTCACTACTCTAAAACTTAAGATAATTTTAGTTTTAGAAATTGTGGCGAATATATTTGTAGTTCAGCTTCATAAGAAAGTTCTGATGTACACTGATAACGATGTCCAACATGACAGCAAAATATTTGCCAGCTAAAACCCTAGGTCAAAGAACTACTCACTCGAAATAACTTAACGTTTCTTCACCGCCTATCTTATTTCATTCATATCTATTTTCTCTTTGAAAAAAAGGAAACAAGTCTCCTGTCATGTTAACTGCCATAAATACACACATTTATGAGCAAATTATACTCGAACCTCCTAAACAACAACTAATCAATCAATCGGTAAACTGAAATCATCACACCGTCTAATAATCAAACTAGTACTACAATCGAGTCGCTGTTTAGGTTAGCTGATATGACATAAAACGTCATCCATTATAATTAATGAAATTATAACAAAACATCGATTTCATAAAAACTGATTAAAAACAGCAACAATGATCAAAGTATATTAACAGTAAAATCAGTGTTATTATTTGTGTCATTTCCAACTGTCTTTCTCAACAATAACATAATAAACATTTCAAAAACAAACAAGAATTCTGCTATGGATACTGTCGTTGTGTTGTTCCCCCACCTCATCACACACAGGCTAGGGCTAATGAGAGCTGCTTGTTTCGCCTTGAGAAAAAAAAATGAAAGAACAAAAGTAAATAACGTCGAGAAGCGATGATAATAGCATCAGACGCAGTATAGCAAGCGATATATCGCGAATGCAGAGGGAAAAACACAGTACAGCATAGAATATAATCAGTTCTTTTTGCAGAATAGAACTGTTATGCTTAATCGAAGATGACCGATTGGATTTGTTTTGTTTTATGCAATGTTTGATGAAATAAACAAGAAAAAACAAGTCCTTCTGTTCAACGACATCGGATAAACAAAGAAGAAAAATGATGGTAATAAGGGAGACTTTTTGTACGGGTCCAGCACTAGGTCGTTAGGCTTGCTCTTTTGTTGTACTTATCTGTGAAGTCCTACCGGTGGTCCCTAGTCCATTCTTTCCAGTCGGACCTCGAAAGTCATTCGAGTAAAAACACAGGCCTAAAGGTCTTGTACTAGATCCATACAAAAAATAATAGAAGAATTAAAAGCGTAAGAGAGTAACGTTAATGCTGTGTGGGTGTACATATTCACGCTGATAACTGAAGGAATAATAAACAAACTTCCAATATAAAATATACCTGAATTTGTAAGTTCAATAAAAGGTATCAAAGAGAAGAGAATGAAAACCTACACTGTCGTCAGTCAATTATTACAAATTTAGTACATAGACGCTCAGTGACACTGACCAACTGTTGGATAGTAATAATAATAATAATAATAATACAGGCAATAAAAAGAGTATATAAATGAAATCATAAGCTCATACAAAACAGCGGAAAAGGGTAATTTAAAAAGCGAGACAAGATGACTCATACTATCTCCTCAATACTATATCCCTGTAGTCCATGATAGATAGATAGATATGTGTACATGTATCTTGAGATGGCCGATTGACTTGTGTTACGATTCAATTGTTCCCTGTGAAACTTTATCCAGACGACGTTGTAACTTCTCAGCTAATTCCGCTGTAGCTAATGACTGGTTAACACTGCTACTACCCTGAGAATCCATATACTGATAATGGTGATTTGAGGAAGTATGATGATTATCCTGCATACAAATAAAGTAGAAAAAAGGAAAAAATAAAGTTGGAAAAAAAAAATTCGCTATATATTATTAGATGAGTACATTTATCTAAAATATTCTTTGGTAGACTAGTCTGTTTTAATATACAAAGATGATAACGTAGTTCAAGACAAGATTTCAACAAAGAGAAACAGCGAATTGTTTCAGGATGGATTACATGAAATTCTTATAAGAAGCTGTGATTCGTGATATCATTCGAGTCAAGAGTGAAAACTGCCAGTTACCGACAACGGGGAATGATTGATTGAGGTATATCAAAAGTTGATAGAAGTAGGAAATAGTAGACTATTAGATCCGAACTGAGTTACTGAATACCAACGTGCTCACCATAAGATCTAATGACCCTGGGCTCGACCTCTTGAGGGTATAGACTGTTGATAAGTTTCAAACTACGCAGAAAAAGTTATCTAGTACTCCTAGATTTTAAATGTTTCTTCAACCTGTAATGAAAACCACTTTGAAATCAGTCATTCAAGACTACCAAGTGAATTACATTAGCTGAACCTTGAATAAACAAAATGACATAGCCCTTGTCAACAGATTGATCTCAGTTTTCATATACAAAGGATGAGAATAATTGCAGTTGAATGATAATCTGACTCATGACAAGATTTTAAGGAAACAGTGCAATTTACTAGACGCTTCGTAGACCCAGGAGATCAGGTTGAAACCTCAAGTCCTTTAACGACAATAAATGAACAGAAAATGTCTGGATTACTGCATTTAACGGAAGTGATTACAATCAAACGCTTCTAACCTAATCTTTGTATGCAGAAGGAGAGTGTAGTTAATCTCTCACACCCATGGTGAATATGACTTGATCCTGTATCACCTTAATTACATAACTATTTATTTGTTTATGATTATTTTTTTACTTTCTTACATTTCTCACCTCTTACAATTAATTCTCTCAAAGATTATTAATGATATTGTTGTACGATTAGAGATTATTGACTTCCTAATTTTGAAGCATCTTATCTCCCAATAATTATTACTTCCAGACTGTACGCGGCTGAAGAGTATTCATGAAGCAAAAGGATATTGTTTTATTCTGCAAATTTCGTCCTTCTTGCTTTATCTTAATTTACTAAGGGATCTAAATGCAAGAAATCATTCGGTTGTAAACAAAATTTATAATTTGTACCGAATTTAAATGGATAATACAAAAACTATGATGTTGAATATAGCAAACACACAACTGAAAGCTTTTGAGATAATGCAGACCGATAACCAGGCCAGTACAAGGATGGTAATTATTTTTTTGTCCTCTAAGTTGTTACTTGTGATCACACAGGTTTTATCACTAGACTTTTTGATATCACCGGCACTTTTAACAAAGAAATCAACAGACGGTAACCGATGTAGATAGTCTAAGTACACTGACTGCGAGATCCCTGGTCGAGTTTGCAATGCGATCATCACTTGGCTAAATGGCACCACGGTTCGATGCTGTGTATTTAGGTGTGAAGAGTTAATCAATAAGAAACCCAACACCAAGTTTCGTTGCTTGTCGCTATTCATCTTGTGGACATTTCCACTCAGAATGATTATTCTTGGTACTATACGTTTCTTATTATAAGGACAACTCAGGGCATAACATTTCATGTCATATGGCCTAGGTAAGACCAATCATGATCGAATTCTATCCGATTTTCTATTATAGAGTTAAGTGTACCGCATTACAGTTTACTCTGTTCTACTACACAGCTATAAAACATAGCCGTTAGAGGGTAAACAACATTAAAAGGATTCACGTCTTTCAGCATCACTGTCTTCGTAACATAAGACGTGTGTTGTGGTGTCATTAAGTCAGTAACATAGAAGTTAAGTCAACCGATGAGATTGTCAACCTTTATCGACTCAGGTGGTCGGGATATAAATTGTGCATGACCAGTCACCTTCTGCTTTGTCGCCAAGTGTTGACTGAAGTACGTCCTGCCTGGAAAAAAAAGGTACACGTAGCCAGACTAACACATTGTTTGAGTTGATGAGGTCTTTGATTTTTGCTCTCAGCTATGTAGAGAAGTACAAACTTTTCATTTTCGGCCCACGTAACAACAAACCAGAGGTTGGGAACTTCAGGTAATATGACTTAGAAACAATCTCTTTGCTACAGATGTATGTATATACGATCTTAATGTTAGTTGTCATACTGAATTTCAGTATTGTCTCATTTCTTCTCATACTTTTTATAACTTTCTACCACTTTGGATTGCTTTCTTCTATTTTTGCTTATCTTTCATTTTGATGCATTCGTGCTTGATGGTACTGACATTATATATGGCAACTTGAAACGTTATGCAATAAACCCAAGTTTCCAATATATACTGACTAAATAATTTCGATAACACTATACAGTAAATAAACGTGTTCAATATTAGGAAGAGAGAGATAGGAAACCTATCATATTTGATCTATTTATGAGGCGTTGGTGTTGCCTACAACACAACAGTAACACTTAAAACCCCCTAAAAAAGTGTATGCACTGTCAAGCTTAAATCCGTAAACCGCTCACTCAGTGATGCAATCTGAATATTTACAACTACATCATTCGATGAAACTCCGTTAAGAGGTTAAATTAGATAAAATCCTTGAAAATAAACCATATACTCCTAATGATTCAAAGGCTACATAAAACAACATAGTCGAACTAAGCTGACGAAATCAATCAAATTTTAATTCAATCGGATTCCAATATGTCAATGTTGTTCTTTCACCGATTTTAATATGATGAAATGATTTGGTGTATATTACCCATCCACTGAGTACAGCTTTTTTTGACCATAATTTTCTTAGTAGCATCGCTCGCGTATAGTGGAATTATCATAGTACCAATATTCAAGTAAACTAAAGGGTACTAAGGAAGATAGGTAAGTCAGTCGAAGTAAGATAGCTTGGGCATGGTAGTACGCATGCCATGCAACCTCCTACCTCGATGAGATATGCTAAGGAGGAAGTTGAATAGGCTGGAAGAGGATTCAATGTGACCAGATCAAGACTTCGCACTAGTTCATGAAATCTCTAACTGTTGGTCTAAGGTGTATGGGAAAGTGTGAACTACCTGGATGGTGATATGGTTGAAAATCGATCACAATACCGCAAGTGTGTTTACTCTTCCATATCTACTGAAGCTTGAATTCTTTGATTAATCTTCATTTTCAAATCCCTTTTCCTTTCATATTCATTTGATTTGGTATCAATCTTTTTCTATCCACTCGCTATTTACATGCTACTGTCAAATGTGACAACTTGAATAGATCCACTTATGTGTAACATTCTACGTTGATTTTGTCTGTCTCTCTGTTGATTTAGTTTCATATTTGGTTCGACAGGAAATTTAAGGTTAGACAAAGAGACACATGCAGATAGACAGAATAATTCCAGTTGATTGTAAACACTTACTTCATATGAATGTCTATGACTCATTTTTACGATTCGCCTAGTATCAGCATCATTAAGTGAATGAAGTTTAAAGAAAGTCAATATCATACAAGAGGATGATTGAAACTAACAGTCTCTATGAGTGAACATCTTTATGTCACGTACAACAACTTACGAAACCCATTACAATTAGTATGATTGTTTTCATATCATACCATCGTTGATTGGACTGACTTGATGGGTCTTTATTGGCATATGGGCTCCTGTGCGGATGCCTCGATATTGCCTGCGTTCTAATTATGTTAATGATGGGTCGTGGCTAGCAGTGGAATCCAGGGAGCGTATATCGTCCTATTTGGGACTCGTCAGCTGGATGTACCTGCTTCCCAGTGAGTGTTGTTCCCACTGGGATTCGAACTCGGGAGCGATCGCTTCAAACGCCAGCCTATTATCCACAATACCAGCGAGCCATGACAGCTACTTCTTGTGCCAAATAAGACGAAATGCGCATCCTGGATTCCACTGCTAGCCACCATCCACTAACATTCATTACAACTGTTTCATTGAGAACCCAGATATCTGTATTTCTGTCACGATTTTAATTAACATCCCCTCAAAATTTATTGATATTTTAGTACTTTCGCTTTAATCTTATAACAAAAGTTATCTTAGATTGTCTAACTGCTAGAATAGGTTCAATTATGGCGCCATATTAAATGCATAAGGTTGGTATACAAACAAATGACGGGAAATAAGACCAATTAGTAATTGCAATTTATTTACCAATAAAAATACCAACCAATAGGATAAGTTCATTAAATACAACTGAATTCACCTAACTACATCGTATTCTATGGAATAAAAAGCACAGAGAATAATTTAAACAGTCAAGTTTACGTAATAGAAGGCGGCATAGACTATCTGGCATATGCACACTTAAATGCTTAAAGATAAGTGAAAATATTGACATAAGATTGACACAAATGTGAACTGAAAGACTCAAATAGTCTCATCAATCCTTAATATAAAAAAGAAATCACCTGACTATATCGAGGTATCTAAACACCACAACCTATATATGCCAACAGAGGCAAATTAATACGGTTCAGTTCAATCAATAACGGGAAATAAGTTCCAATATTCACCAATACCTGTTGCTCAAAGAATGACTATCATAATTCAGTAGTCTACAGGATAACGTACCACAGAGTTCGAAACAATGAGCGCTTGGTTTGAGTCTCAGTGAGAGAACCATCACTCACTGTAGTCTAGGTACATTCAGCTTACGAGTTCAAAATGGGACACATGTTGCATTCTGGATCCCAACTGTTAGCCACCATCTATCCCTAACATTCTAAACAGTGTTCGACCAAATGATTCTTAGACTTGATTTACAAAAAAAACAGACCCACAGAAACCGTAGTGATAAAGTTGTTTTTATCAGTCGTTGCTATTACAACTGAATTATAAGAGCTAGGATAAAATATACGAATTCAACTGGGTGACAACATGTACAAAATAAGTTAGGAGTCTTTGAGCTGAGAGCATACGACAATCTGTACGACTATTCATATGTATGACTCTTTTTCATTGGAAAAAAAAAACAGTAGATGTAACTGCTAGAGAGAATAACGGTAGAACATTACGTTTATTGGTTGCCTATAAACCTGCAGATTACTCTTCACTAACTAATCATCATTTGAAGGTCAAAGACTATGACTGTTTAACTTTGGTTATCCCTGGATTGTTTCAGCGATACTCTCGTCTTCACCTTACTGGATAATTAATATAATCAGTTTATTAGGTACACAGTTCCATCTTTTGCTTTTGTTCTATTTGAATATAGATAGTCGTCGATCTATCATTCCGAATCATTTGTATCAAAGTTACAAGCCAAAGTTCCAATCCCGGGACTAATTAGTCAGTCTAGTGAGCACTTAAACTAGACAATAGTTTCCACCCATACACTTAAGTAACTCTTATCAATAGTAACCCATTTCTGGATAATAGACAAGAATGTGGAACCGTAGAAAAAAATATCATCAGTTGTCACACTGTCAAACATCATAATAACGAAATGAAACAGAGAAACGCAAAAGAAACTTTTTCTTAAAAAAAACATTAAAATAATCACAAGTCGTGACCAATGCGGCTAACCAAATCGAAGATGAGGACAGTTATTCAACGACTTCATCAGATGGAGGACAGTCTATATCGTGAACTGACAGAAGTAGGAAATATAGATCATTGGACTCAGACCCAGTTGGCTGAATGGTAACGTATTGGTTATGGAACCTGAAGCTCATGGGATCACGGGTGCACACTGCCGAGGAACCCCACACAGGGACAAAACAGTCGTCCAGTGCTTCCAGGTTTCCGATGTTCCTCTAACTAATGTCAGCCCAAGATAAATAAAAAGCATGTTCTATCCAAACGCATCTCTGAACACGATCCTGCATAGCTGTCTAAAAGAGTACAAAGCCGTCAACGGCTCGATTCTTGAACATTGGCTATCTCCAACCAGTATGCTCCATGAGGGTCTTCTTTTAAATTCTTTGGAAATGCAAAGGTACAAGTGTGATTTCTGTGTTTAAAAGAGATACATTCAATCTCTAGTTTTACTTTGGTCGTAATCTCCCCAGATTATTTATTTCTTTGCTGATTTACTACAATCCTATGGGCAATTCTTCATGACATTGACTTGATCTTTTAGCCGTAATCACCTTGTGACTTTACCATACGTTTGTGATAACTTTGTATTGACTCATTGATGGATAGATATATTTTGTTATAACTACCCAACCAACAAAAACAAAAAGCTCCAATCACCATCAACAGGAGAAACCTAGAGGAATTAGCCTCTCCCACCTATCTAGGCAGCATCGTTCCAACTACAGACGGGGACGTCAAAGCCAACCAGGATCGGAAAGACAGCAAGACAGGTGTTCATTAACCTGAAACCAGTATGCAGATCTACTCCACTGAACTCAGCATAAAGCGTGAACAACATCCGGATTCTCAACAACAACCCAGTCAAGTCACGGCTTCTATTTGATGCTTGAGAGACTTGGCGCGTTACGAAAGTGATTTCCAACAAACTACACACATTCATCAACAACTGCCACCTACGCTGGCTCGTTACTGAAGATCAGATGGATTGCCAGAAAGAATAAGTAACAAGAAACTCTCTCTGGCTGGCAACGAACCAACAAAGCAAGAACCTATCACTCAACAAATAAATATGCACTGGAAGGAAGTGGAGATGGATTGGACTGGGCATGCACTGAGACCATTCGGGGACATCACGCTCAGGCCAGTCAGTCGAGTGAAACCCAAATGGGAACGGCGAGTTGGGCGTCCTGGGTGAGGGTGACATGGAGGAGATCGTGTGAGGAGGAAATGAGAGGTTGTGGGCTGTCGTGGAGTGAGGTTCAAAAGATTGCAGAGAACAGAGTGGAATGGGGATATGCCACTGAAGCCCTATGTTTCATTAGGAACCCAAGGGACAAATAATAATAAAATGATTACAATGTACAGCTTTTGAAATTGATTTGTCGAAAAGAAAATTTTCTACGCTGGTTTGTCTTTTATTAATCCCAAAACATTAATGAAAAGAAAAAATAAATTCAGAGAGTAGCAATTTTCAGAAATGTTAATTAAAACCGGTTCTGTAGTTATCACATTAATGTTTGGACTGATACACCTGCATTCAACTATTCTCATTTTGAACTCCATCCAATGTCCAATATGGTCCAGAAAATTTTCTTCTTCAATATCATCATGTGTAATATATATATATATATATATATATATATATATATATATATATATATATATATATATATATAATAGAATATTCACAGTTAGCCACTGTACGTCCTGACGTATAAGAAAGATCTCATATAGTGCTTTTGTTAGGTGCTAACAAAAAGCCTCATTTAAGCGCATTTCATTTGTGTCAGCATATATCTGTTAGACACACCTCAAACTTTGAGGAAGCCTATATTGTTTATTAGGATATATATAATTTCCCGTTGTTATACAGGGCCGAATTTCTTGATATCTGTTGGCAGATAGTCTTCTATGCGAATGCTTCGATACTCCTGATTTTCCATGATGTTATATCGATCTCAGTGACTAGCAATGGTATCCACGACGCGCGTTTCGTTCTATTTGGGACTTGTCAGCTGAATGTACCTGCCTGCTAGTGAGTAATGTTGTCCCCACTGAGGCTCGAACCCAGCACTCTTCGCTCTAAACGCCAGAAGGGGGTTCAGGTACATCCAGCTGATGAGTCACAGATGGGACGAGACGTGTATCCTGAATTTCTCTGCTAGTCACCAGGATCAATGTAACCTATGTTGCTTAGGCTATTTGAACCTGAATCAATTCATGATGAATTTGGAAATTTCACAACTACACTGTTCAGGTGTCACATAATACCAAACAAAGTGTACTGCAATGTCATAGTATTATTTAGCTTAATAGCTACATCGTAAACTTGTTCGGCCATCGCTTAACACTAAACATCATCATCGGTTAGTATCCAGTGACCAGCTCATTTGAACATTTCTTGTGTTTGATTTTGAAACAAAAAATGAATATCGAATCCTGAAGGGCTGTAAAGAAGCGTTAAAAGTAATCGATAGGAAGTATCATTCGACCCAACGGAAATCTTTAAGCCCATGAGTCTAATACAAAATTGATTAAAACAAACCATTTTATTCAGTTGTTTCTTTTCAATCAGTTCACGTTTCCAACTTGGTATAAGACCCCATTTCTTTAATTCTTCCTGTAAAACAAAATGATATACAAAGAGAATGAAGATGAAATTATTTGAAATTAATTTTCATCATAGATTGATAATGAATGACTCAAGCTAGCACTGAAGACCTGAGGTCAATCTATTATAAGATCATGGGTACACGCTGTTAAGCAGTGTCAAATTAGGAATGGAAAGCTTTCCAGTACACCCAACACACACACATATAGACATACATACACACTCCAAGTATTGATACTAGTCTGCCACACCCTTAATGATTGAAGGAAAATAAAAATCTGGTCAGCAGTCAGACGTCATAGCTCAGTTGGTAGAGCATCAGGCTGGTGGTTGCTGGTTCAAATTCGGCCGCTGTCCAACTTATCATTTCACACGCAAATGGTTTTTGTGGTTACATATACTTACCTGATTTAATGAATAGGAGGTTGGTATTACCTCAGAGTAGACCAGTAAAAGATAAGGAACATGCAAGGTTACTTTTGTTGTAAGAAAACTTGAATGGTATTATCAATCAACCGGTAGACAGCAAAGTTATCAAAAGTTAGTATGATCTACGCCATATGATTCAGTCTAGCAATGAATACTTGACTAACTTGTATGCGGCTAAGTCAAAATGAACTATTGTATAGTAAATAATGAGCCAAATACATTCTGTGATGGCTAGTGGTACTACCTAGCTGCCGTAAATTGCCGTAGGTAGAGCAGAATTCGAACCCGTGATCAATCGGTTGAAAATATGTCAACTGCATCCATCAATGAGCCACAGCTCCATGTTCACTTAACTAACGGGATATTATATCACTGGAAAGCAGTAGTGAGCACTTTTGATACTTTGACAGATTGAAATTCGATATCTATATGATGAAATGACTGCTATAGGATATAAAGAATATCGGCTAGAATATAGTCAATAGTTGAAGGGTATGCTTTCCTGAAAAAAATCCAAGTTGTTATTCAACGTAGATTGACATCAGTTAGAGGAACGAAAGGGACCTAGGAGCACTGGACAGCTGTTTCGTCCTAGTATGGGATTCCTCAGTAGTGCGCACCCACGACCCCGCTTCCCAGCGATCGAACCCGCGACCTTCAGGTTCCGTAGCCAGCACGTTACCATTGAGCCACTTGGTCACAATTCAATGGTCTATATTTCCAACTTCTGTTAGCTCACGATATAGCGCAACCGCGACCCATTGTCATCGCTGAGTAACTGTTCTCAAGACCATCATCAGGCTTTGCCCCCACCGGTCACGACTTCTCAATGGAACTTCGGGAATACCTCTCAAAGCTAGTCACCAATGAGCACCAGGTCAATTGAATTTTGACGGAGTTATAGAGATTTGGAAATATTTCAAGTTGTTATTCGTTGTGGACTGAAAAAGCCCCGAATGTAGACGAAACAACAATACTCCTTCATCACAGTAGCTATTCAACTAATTTCACCTTATGATGTTTGTTAACTAGGAACTCTGGGAACGAACCAACCAAGAACCTATCACGCAACAAATATGCAGGAAGAAGTGGAGATGGATTGGCCATGCACTGAGAAGGCCGACTGAGGACATCACGCGTCAGGCCAGTTGCTCGAATGGAATCCCCATGGGAAGCGACGAGTTGGACGTCCGAGGGTGACATGGAGGAGGTCGTGCGAGGAGGAAATGAGAGCTTCTGGGCTGTCGTGGAGCCAGGTTCAATAGATCTCAGAGAACAGAGGTCACTGGAGACGTGCTACTGAAGCCCTATGTTCCACTAGGAACCCAAGGGACTAATAATAATAAAAAATAATGATGTTTGTTAACTGTTACCTATCTTGAACAGAACTACACTGAGGTGACTGTCAAGTTCAACTGGGAACATGAACAATTCAAATTACCCTGTCCTACAAAATTAGACAAAAAAAATACACAAGTGGAGTAATAAACATGAACATGAACCAGTAGCAATAAAATGAGGTGTTAATAAATTCAGCATTGAAAGGGGAGAAATGGAAGATATGAATTCATAGGCATCAATGCCTATGCATTTAACAAACTTACTACAGTGGAAGAAAACAAGTCCCAAAATTCACTACACAACCAATCTATCTGATCAGAATTAATCCATTGTTCCACTGATCTAAATATTGATTCATTTTACATAAACTAATGTTGAAAGATAGAAGTCAAACAAGGTGTACTCAGATTTGCCTATTTCAGCATTTTACTGAATGAATTACGACAGTGAACTGCTTCAATCACCTAGTGTAATAGACCGTGTTATTATGTGAATGAGTGATAAGTAACTATCCATTCATCATCTTCATCATCATCATCATCATCCCTATGACAACACTAACTGATTACAGATTATATGTATATACAAAACAGCAAGTGAAATGATAAAGATAGAGAGACGGGGTAAACTCATGTCTTCTTTACTATACGTTAACACACATGATGCATTAAAGTATAATACACACTGTATACTTACTGCATACACATTAGCTGCATCACGATTCTTTCTTTCTAATCGATGTGTTTTCCAATCTGGTAAACCAAGTGGAATAGGATGATAACCAGGGATTTGGGTGGCATCAACTAAGACATGAAACAAAATGTAAACAACAACAACAACAACGACAATCAATAATAATTTATTAGACTTCATGATATTTCGATTCTATAATTCAGGATTCTTGTCTACATTCATTTCAGATTTTACTTGGTACAAGTGGAGAAAGATGATCAATATGAAAGAGATTAAACCTTCAGCAGAATTTCAAACATGTTATACAGGCAGTAAATATGATTTCTGGTATAATATGCAAGTGTAAATGATGTCAATCTTAGAATTGTCAAGACTGATTTTCAATTTTCTTAAGCGAATAGAAAATCATGTCCTTACAAATAATCACTAGTCTTTTCGAAGCACTAGCCCTAACGCGATGTGTCTGCTGTCGCACAAACTCAAAGATCTACAGGCGAAAAACTAACAAGTTGACAGAAGAGGTAGCGAAGGCGGGACTTCAAGTGAACGTAGAGAAGACAGAGGTGATGATGATACCCAACCAACACCACCACCAACAACAACAGGCTCCAATCACCATCAACAGGAGAAACCTAAAGGAAGTAGCCTCTCCCACCTATCTAGGCAGCATCGTTCCAACTACAGACGGGGACGTCAAAGCCAACTAGGATCAGAAAGACAGCAAGATAGGCGTTCATTAACCTGAAAACAGTATGCAGATCTTCTGCACTCAGCATAAAGCCTGAACAACATCCGGATTTTCAACACCAACCTAGTCAAGTCACTGCTTCTATTTAATGCTTGAGAGACTTGGCGCGTTACGAAAGTGATTCCCAACAAACTACACACATTCATCAACAACTGCCTCCTACGCTGGCTCGTTACTGAAGATCAGATGGATTGCCAGAAAGAATAAGTAACAAGGAACTCTCTCTGGCTGACAACGAACCAACCGAGAACCTATCGCTCAACAAATAAATATGCACTGGAAGGAAGTGGAGATGGATTGGACTGGGCATGCACTGAGAAGACCATTCGGGGACATCACGCTCAGGCCAGTCAGTCGAGTGAAACCCAGATGGGGACGGCGAGTTGGGCGTCCTAGGTGAGGGTGACATGGAGGAGATCGTGTGAGGAGGAAATGAGAGGTTGTGGGGTGTCGCGGAGCGAGGTTCAAAAGATTACAGAGAACAGAGTGGAATGGAGCCCTATGTTCCACTAGGAACCCAAGGGAAAAATTAAAAAAATAATAATAAAATAATAAAAGCCCTAACGCGATACAACCATCAAGTTGTTAGAATGCTGACAAGTTTACGGAGATTATAGATGTGCATCGAGTTTGAGATGACAACAGTTGCTATACGCTATGAAATAGTCACCACCTCACCCTCACCCCACCCTCAACTAATAACTGATAAAAAGCAGATTGTAAAACAATCTTAGTTTAAGTTATACAACGACCCATGTAGGTCACAATTTTAGGATAACACATATTAAGAAGCTAGATGATGTTGCTTAAAACTGACTACTCTGTCGTAGATACATTCACTAATTACATACACTTAACATAATTAGGATCCTAATTACTATCCGCACGTATTCGCTTATTTTCGTTTTGTGTTCAATTTCTATTATTTCTTTTTCCTAAGTGCTCAGAATCATTCAACAACGTGGCACACATTTAGTTGACTTGATAATGAAGTTACAGTTTGCTAACAACGGATGATCTTAGTTGATGCAGGTTTATGGTAAAAAGGAAAAAGGTACACAGACTAAAACATGACATCAGTCCATGAATTCACTAGCTGATTATTTAAGCTGTGTAAACGGAATGAGGAAATCTCGCTTAGGGTCCACGTGACAACAGAGATGTGTGGCTTTAGATTTAGACAACCAAATGAAATCATCTCAGAACTACGCACACAAGTGCGTAGTTCAAGTTGCCACACTTCACAGTAGTATACAGAGGAAAAGTGATATCAAAGTAGACAAAGTTGTGTGAGATAATAGACAATTTAAAGATAACGGTTAGTTCAAATATTCAAGCTTTGGAAGATGTCGAGGACTGAATACGTCTACCTCACTGAGACCGATCTGCAGCCATGTCACCAAGAGTCATTAATCACCGACTCCTATCATCTCCAGGACTCATGCCTAGTAGATATCACCCACACACGACTCAGACCAATAGACTTCATCTACTGCTGCCATGTCTTGGTCTGGTCACCCTGAGCCCTCTTCCAAATTAATCCAACTTTTCCTAGCCCTAGCACGGCAGGTCAAAGTAGGAGATGGTTCAGCTTGAGCAACGCAGGTCTTAGTCACCTTAATCGATGAAGGTTTACCATCTCATGAATCTACTTGCCTGTCTTGCCTAGTATTCTTCGCATGACCTCAGCATTGACTCACATAGTGATTCCATCAAACGCAAGCAATGCTACGAAGACATCCGTGATCAAAACCATTTAATCACTTTAATGTGCATGTCTAACAGCCGTACAACGAAACAGAATGGTCTGCAATTGAGCAGTATACTCGTACTTTGATAGATAGTCAGATATCTCACCAGTCAGTGCCACAGATGACGCAAGTTGGCAAGTGCTAAACCTGCCTTCTGTTCGGGCTGATGAAACTACCTAAGTAAGTGAAACGGTCGGCATACCCCACCACTTAACTTTCCATCATTAGGCTGGGAGTAATTGCAAACCAGTTTTGAAGCATCATCTTACATTTGACAAGTGCCAGCGATATGCATTCCGAACATACTCAGATTTTCGCTCAACGCGTTTGCCTGCGTCGTGACCTAGTAAAACGATGATCCCCTGCGTACTCCAAGTCAACCAGAAGACTTCGATCCCTGTGAAGTCAGAGGCACCTAAGGTTTTGTCCTTTATATTCCCGGTGATATGAATCTGAATCGATCGTAATGATGCAGATATATCCACGCATTACTTTCATTTTAATCATCATATTGAATTTCAGCATGGTCGCATTCATCCTCGTTCTACTTTTACGACTTTTCAGTAGTTTGGACTGCTTTCTACTTTATTCATTTATCTTTCATCGGGGTACATTCTCGCTCGATGAGCTTATATGAAGTGTCGCAATAAGGAACTTTACGTAATAATACCACGTCCTACGTTGATACTATCCGTCTGATTTGATACTGCCAAAAGGAGAAACAGCAGACAGTAGAGAATAACACCAACAAACAAGTGTAACGAAGTTTCAAAGGTCATCTAATTTCCCAAAATGATGTCATCTGTTTGCGGATGTTTCCTCCTTGATAACTACCACCATACATGAATCAACAAACAGGTTTTCATTACGCCTAGAAATTTGAGAAAACAATAGTGTAGTATATAAACCACAAATAGCTTCTATTCGCTTTTCTTTCCAAGATTGTCTGTATTCAATCGATAAGAGACTGAAGCAATCCCAAGTCAACACATACACTGTTATCATTTTATTCAACAGTGAGTTTCAGTGGGACGACACCAATGACTTACTACTAATTATAGTACCTTTGTATCCAGACATCATATCAATTAAACAGAAATACATATGGAATATTTCAGTTGGCTTTATGTTGAGTCAGTTGTGCTTGATAAAAACTACTACCAAGCATTGGGTCACGGGTTCGAGCTACGTTACATAAACCAAGGTTTGGATAACCAGGTAGTATCACTAACCCTCATACAAGAGGTGTAGCTCATTGTCTACTGTACGAACTTGCACAAAGTAGTTGAGTGCGTTTCGTTTGTACGGAAATATATGAGACTTGGTGAATCAAACTAATCAGTAAGTTTATTGTGAGAAGATAAGGATGAACCAATCAACAATGAACGAGGAAAGTAACAAGTTGATTGAACAGAACGATAGATAAACAAATACGTAACCTTTCAATCTGTATTACTGCTTACTAGTATCTTTAAATGGATGTAGTGCAATTAAGAAATAGGCCGTAGGTTTCTTTCGATAAGAATACACACTCATCATCCAAGCTGTAATCGAACCAAATGTCTATTGGTGATATAGAATAGGCTTCATAACGGGAATCGTGTTGGCAATTAATGCAGGAATATGAAGCAACGGTAAATACGAACAATGCACACTTGATCTGGCAAAATTTTATTTTCATTAACATTTGACTATCTGAGATAGTCATAGTTTGGCAGACTAGTATTAATACTGAGTGATGATTGAAAGTGAGATGAAAATCTGGGCCGCGGCCATATTCGAACCAGCGACCACCGGGTAACCGGCCCGGTGCTCTACCAACTGAGCTACGAGGTCTAATTGCTGACCAGAATTTTGTTTCACTCCAGTCACCAAGGGTTTTGTCCGACTACCTGACTAGGCAGCCAGTGTGAATAATATCAAACAGTAGTAACGTGTCAAGAATTCACATGGTATTCGGGCGAAACCCTTGGTGACTGAAGTGAAACAAAATTCTGGTCAGCAATCGGATCTCGTAACTCAGTTGGTAGAGCACCGGGTAGGAAACCCGGTGGTCGCTGGTTCGAATCCGGCCGCGGTTCAGATTTTCTTTCATCTCACCTTCAATCATCACTCAGCATCAAATTTTATTGTTCAATAGTACTCTAACTTTTAAAAAAACGTTATCAGGAAAGAAAACTAACCAATATTGAATTGATTGAATACAGCTAATGTATTTGAATCCAAATTCATCGACTGTACATGAATCATGGAGGTATCTACAGTTTCAGAAATTAAAACAAAAAACTGGAAGTTACTGCTTTGATTCCCAGGAATACACATATAGCAGACGGGTATTCGACTTTTAAGCAATAGACCCTGGGTTTATTGATTACTCATTGGAGGGTAACCAATTTCATTTTGTCTAGACTTGAGTGCTAACCGAATTCCATCGATCATTTTGCAATATGATCATCAAGCTAAGAGGTGCACTTGGATAGATGTTAGTTGGTTGGAGGCAACCGATAGGAAGCCCTGCTCAACCTAGGTTTAATGCTTGTTGGCACTGGTCAGCATGGCGTATTTACAACCTCGAGGGAAGTGATGTCCCCCCTCTGAGATTCGGACCCGTGTCATCCAGTGTTGCGGTCAGACAGAATAGCTCAGTGGTAACGTCACTGACTGTAATATTGAGTGACGCAGGTTCAGACTTCAAAGGGGACGCCTCTTCCCTCGAGGTTGCGGATACGCTTTACTGACGAGTACCAACAATCACAAAACTCTAATCCAGGGCTTCCTATCAATTGCCTTCAACCAACTAAAATCTTAGGTTAAAACCCCATACCATCTACTTCGGCTGAGTAACCAGGTAACCCTCATCAAATGAAAGTGTAGCCCATAGCTTAGTATATAAACCTGTACTGAGTTGAGTTGTATTGCTATTATTAATCTATAAAAAATACGTTGGTGCTTATATGGTAGATTTCAGAATGACTAGTGATATAACCTGGTTATATACATGAGAGTGGAAACTCAAACAATAACCTTTAGATTCCACCCTTGATGGTCGCTCAGTCCCCTGATAAACAGAAATGGCCGTAAGACGCTGTGTTGTCACGTCAAAATATGCACAAAGTACAACAGGTTTATATGTATTTACAATGACCAGGACTACTATTTCTAGACCTCTCTAAAAGGATACACCCTATTGATTTTTTTTTCTCTTCAACCAATCTGGTGTTTACACGTAGGCTTACATGCCTCTTCTTGAAACTAAGTGGCAAGACGATTGGGATTAAGGGCCTCCGATGAGGACCTGGGTAATCTTATCGCACACCTTAATAATTAATAATTCAGGTGGATAATTTAAGTATTTACAGAACGCTTCAAAATAAATTCACTTTTTCTATCTTATCACTACTGGCACAACTGCACACTAAATTGAGTGTTATCATCTTATTTTCGAATGCTACGATTTCAGACAAACATTTTGCACTAATTTGGTGATCATGAGCACAGTGATCACTTGATGATAAAAATATCAATAGTAAATGTTCAATTGATTCAGAAGTTTGTAATGAGGACAGTGTATATCACCATACAATTATGAAAGTTTTCGAATGAGGTGATTAAGTTGTAAGAATGGAAAATCATCAAAAAACACAATGTGAAAAAGCATAATAAATCAACGTACCAGATGAAGAATCAGATGATAATCGACGTTGTAACAAAGTACCACTAAGTTGATGAACTACATGTGAATCAAGCTGTTGTTGTTGATGGCGATGGATTTGACTGTGCGTAGAATCCTTACCACCATTAGTAGAGTGTGCATTATTATTGTTATTATTATAGTTAGTAGTAGTAGTAGTAGTAGTATTGGCACTAACATGAGTTTTTGACAGTCCATTCGACATGTTTCCTAACAGAGAATAAAATAAGGGAGAAGAAAAAGAAAAGAATAATCCAATCACAACCGAAAAAACACAGAAATTAGGTGATACTGACTGGACTTCAATAATGCATACCTCTCACTATAAGTGTAGTTAATAGTGACTGATTCAACCGATGTGTTACAGTAATGTATTGTCTCAAACTACCATTATTGAAAACGACAAAGTAAGACGTACTTAACAACAAAAAAAAAACACCATCATAATGCTCAACTTTATGAATAAAACTGTAAACATTTATCAATAACCCGAGTGATACTAAAAAATCCGCTATAAAAATAACCTGAAACCACGAAAATGTAAAGACAAACCTCCATCACTTAGTTATCTAACCTAACAATAGAAATACATTAAATTACAAGTCATCGCTATTATTTTTATCCGTGTAATTATTGGCCGAAAAGTGGGAAACATGAATCTCAGACAAGTGTATTATTCATCTTAAAAGTCATCCTACTTGTGACCTAATTGGTAACACGACTGTATAGCTTAATTTCAGAGCTTTCGATTGACCCCCCCCCCCCCATTCAGTTATGTACGTCACATAATTTGGAAAAAACCGCATGTTAATAGAAATCCTTTATTTTGCATCATCTCATTTGTTGTACTTGAAATTGGTTGTTTCATCTTTATAAATTATGATGCGTTGTCACGTTTTATATACAGATGGCTACATTGAAAAATGATCGACTGAATTCGGTCAGCCCTAAGGACTAGAAAACACGAAATAGGAGGTCGAACACAGCCCAAGTAGCCCGGTGGTAAGGTTTCTGCTGACTGCGACATTGGTTGACGCATGTTTGAGTCCTAGGAGGGACATCATTTCCCTCAATATTGCAGATACGCCTTGATGATGAGTGCCAGCAAGCACGAAACCTAGGTTGAGCAGCTCTTATCATTGACTTCCTCTAACCAACTAAGATGAATCGCATCACCTGAAATATACAGATAATAAGCAACCAGACTTTGTGTTTCGGTGTAGACAGTTAAGAGGGTTGAATTGACTAACCCATCGCGTGGGTGGATTGAGTATACGAGACCAATAAACGTGCAAAGTTAGCGTTAAGAATGAATCGACAGAATCATGTGCTTGAAACAATTACAACCTGACAAAGTTGTAACAATCGAACCACCTAGAAAAAGTAATTAGGGAGTATAAACGATAGGCAGTTTAATAAAATGTTACAAAACGATAATAAACCGGATAAATTCACATTGTATTTAATTAAGATTCGTTTGTCTTAACTGATAGATGTTCTCTCCTAGATGCACAGATAGTCTCTACAAGACAGAGGAAGAACAAGTATTTCAATAAGCATATCTTTTTCACTAGTAGTTACATTCCTGAAAATGATAAACGTAAACTTTTTTTCTTTTATAGATACATATGTGATAGGTCTAAATGACTTTTGGAATAAGTTAGCACGAAAATAGCAAGTCGATGATGTCGAATAAATAATAAAGACATTAACAGTACTGGAGATTCCTTTTGTTAAACACCACAGAAATTGGATACAAATGAAGAATTTCGAATAGTAAGCTGCACAACAATGATAAAACGGCTTGATGAAGGCACTTTTTTATTAGAAGGGAAATGATATTAGATAGAAAGTTAACAGAACATAAAGAAAGTATTCTAAAACACTGAGAATTAGGACCATAGAAAAAAGAGTTAAGTAATTCACGAAAGTTTAAAGGATACAAAGAAGATGAAAACACGTTTTCCTTGAAAAATAACTAACACCCTATGAGGAAGGGAGTTTCTGAAATTAAGTTACATTGAATTATCACAATTATCATGAAGCCATTGCTACCCTACTGTAGGTCATCGGGAATAATGTTTCGAGACCACTTTGGATAAACTGAATTATGAAGAAGCGCACAAGTGTGAAACAATGTCATTAGGACTCCTTGAAAAAAAATTATCACCAAGAAAGTACTACTCTTAATACTACTGAGAATTAGGTGTTTCTTAAAGTGTTCAATATCCTTTCCTTTGACAAAGACAAACAGAAAGACAAAATCAAAGTAGAACCTCGGACGCATAACTCCATCGGTTCCAGTTGCCACAATTCACAGTAGTAAACAGAGAAAAAGTGATACCAAAGTAGACAAAGTTGTATGAGACAATAAATAATTCGGAGATAACGGTTAGTGTACATATTCAAGCTTTAGAACACGTCAAAGAATGAATACATCTATGCCGATGTCATTAATTTTCAGCCATGCCAACAAGAGTCTCAGAAAAGTAACTGTCTTAATTCATTTTTGTCCATTGTTTTTATTCATGTCGGGTTCTTGAGTCTGAACATTCTTACAAGTATATAACCAGCTGGATAACAGTTCGGTCTTTTGATTTCATTCTGTATACGCCGTTGATAGTCATTGGTCAATCATACTGACTCACCGGTACTAAAATCGTCATTTACAGTAACTAATCTAGACATATATGCTGTAAAATCAGTTCATGTAAACATTCAAATTAGCATTACAATAGATTTCACTTTTTATTGTGGAACTCCATTAGTTTACATTTCCCCATACACCGATATAATATGGAGGTATCACAGTAGAACACACTATGTAAACCCGCAAATCACCATTAAACTGTATCATCATACAAACTGGATTTAGTCGATTGGTAGAGAGACTAAACAGCTTCTTCATAAATGCAAAAACTCATTTTATGATTGAATTTTTTAGTTTAGACAGACAAAACAACAAATTAACGTAGAATCTTGTATATAAGTGCATCGGTTGGTAGCAACACGCAAAAAAAAACAATCAGACAGAAAAAGAGTGATGTTAAGACAGGAAATGGGTATAAGATGAAAGATGATTTTTGAAAAAAAGTTACTGAAAATGTTCAATCTTTAGAAGACGTCAAAGAGTCAATGCATATGCGCCACTGTGATAGATATTCAGTCATGTTACTAAGCTTATCCAATTATTGATTCCGATGGTCACAAGGATTCACAACCAGGCACTCTACACCTCGCTACAGATCTCTGAACAACAACCAGAGACTTCCACGTCTCGACCTGACCACTCGACGCAGTCCTACTTCACGTAACATAGCATATTGAGGTAGACGGTGGTTCAAGACACACAGCACATGCCTAAACCGTTTCAGTTCACAACTTCACCAACTAACTTGCCTTCCTCGCATGCTGTCCTACGGCTAACGTCAACATCGCTCACATAGTGATTTCAGTATACGTGAGCAATGTTACAAGGACACGACTGCCGTCAAAAACCTGCAATCTCTGAAAATCTTCCTTTTTTCAGGAACCGTCTCATAGCCCTACAATATGACAGAATGGATTGAAGAATAGTATACGCGTCCTTAGATAGTTGAATATCTCACTGATACCATAAATGTCATAAGATATAAAATCCCAAAGTAGCCTTTTATATCCAAGCTGAGATTTTATGGATAATCAAGTGACGTGATCAATACATTCATCTTATGTCACTCCCTCTTATGCATCAAGAATCAAAACAGTTACTGATATGATGATGTCAGTAGTACAGAAGATAAACCGAAAAATATACCGCTCTTAATCTTAAGGAATTCAATGTGAACTTTAAAGCATCATATAGTTGCAGGATGGGTGATTTCCAACAAACAAAGCAACTTGTTGGCATTAAAACAGTAGAGTTGTAGTATTAGAAGTCTATGTCATGAAACATTGACTAGCAAGAATGGTACTGGAGTTTGCCTACAAAGAACAATCAATCTTTGTGAATTTGTTTAAATTCTACTCAGTAATAGAAATGTTGGTGTTTTTGTCATCATTATTTTTTTGGGTAATGGTTGAAGGTGAAATGAAAATCAGAGTAGCACCAGGATCTAAACCAGCGGCTTCCGGGGTTACCGACCCAGTGTACTACCAACTGAGCTACGAAAACCAGCTGCCATGTGAAATCGTGATGTGTTACTGTTCATTCATCATATTCTTTCTTGATTTGCTTTACCTTACACGTGGTTGGCTACAAGCAGCCTTTAGCAAACAACCAAATCTATTATTTATTTATTTATTGACTGATTGACTGACTGACTGACAAAATCAACGTAGAACCTCGCACACACAACTCCATCGACTCAAGTTGCCACACTTCACATCAGTACACAAAGAAGAGATGGATAGAAAAAGATTCATATCAAAGTAGAATAAGTTGTGTGAGAGAATAAACAATCTGAAAATAAAGGTTAGTGCAAATATTCAAGCTTTAAAAAATTGTCAAGGAGCGAATACATCTGCGCTATTGTCACCGATTTCCAACCATATCACAACTGATTCCTATCGTTTCGGGGACCCCAGTCAGCCAGCCTACATCTCCCCACATAGCTCTTGTACATATGCAGATAATCCAGATCACCATGATATACGGACAATTAGCACTGAATTTTGTGCCTTATTCCACGAAGTTGCTGGAGAGGATCAAGCTGAATAACTTGTCGTGTGAATGGATCAACAACATACAAGATGTGGCAAGCATGTGTGAGACAAATCACGTGGAAGATCAATGATGAGATTGAATCAGCAGAGTCAAGTGCATCAGACAATTAACACAAGTCAAAGTTATAACAAAATTCTCTTCGTACAAAAAAGCATTCCTATAACAATATTGGAATGCGAAAGAAGACTTCGTGTAATAAGCATACTACCAGTTGAGGTCATGAAACAACAAAAACGTTTATTAGATATCGCTTATAACTATTACAACTATAGTTAGACAAACTGAATGTAAAGCATCAGAGAGAGAGGAAGACAATATGTGTCAGTTAAGAAATAATTATGCTCAAATGAATAGAAGCATGGCTACTCGTAAGTCAGACCGTACGGTAGTAAACCGTTCATACTAAAATTGACACTTTCTTCATACATAACCACAATTTTAGCCTGTAACAAGTGAATTAACAAGCAATACAGTGGTCAGTTATCTACTTTCCAAAAAAGTATAACTTGAATAGATCACACTTAACAATATGGTTGAACAGCCATGCGCGTGGATAACAAGACAATAGAAATAACATTCTAGTCGAAAAATAAAACGTATTTCAGTTATTTAGCTAAAACCAGTATCCCTAACAGATACATACATCGATGCTACTGTAATTAACAAGTTACATAGATAGGTCTCACGCCCATGATTCATTCAGTGGCTGTAAAACAGTCCATTTAAGCAGAGAATCTTTTTCTATGGGTTAGCCTAAGTATTGTGAAAGCCTCTAGAAAAACGATTTTTTTTTCTTTAAAACAATGAAAATATGTTGACTGCTTTTATATTGTGTACACCTAGTACAGCCTACACTTCAACATAATATATAAAAAAGAGTAGACAATGAAATAAAAGAATCCTTAAGATGATTTCACCAAAAAGTGGAGCCAATGCATGAAGTATTTGATTGCTAGTAGTCTGTGCGGTGTAAGGAATGGTAGGATTCCTGGAGTAGGGTTGATAAAATAACCGAAAACAATTGATAAACACAAGGGTAAAAAACTAGAAGGTAAGCATTTTTGAATTTTCTTACTGTAAGCAAAATGAGTTATACTTGTTTGTGAGGGTTGATTAAAACTTTCTAATTGCCAAGAGTTCAGCAGATGATGGGAGGTTCAAGCTAAATCAGTGAGTCACTGGCTGAAAATTGACGGTCTACAGTAATGAGCTACAGTTCCAGTCACATTAACTAGTACAGAGTTTTATGTTTTGATTGTCATTAAATAATGGACCAGTGGCTGAAGACACTATAGTATATAGCTCGAAATCAATCATAATAAACGCAAACTAACGTCCCCAACTTCTCTTAAATTGTCATTGTGGTATAGCTATGTTTGTTTTGTCTGGTCTCCTTACGTTTTTTAATCTGTCCATTTTACTAGCATTCTCCTTCTGTGATGTGAACGTATTTGGTAACTTATACCGATGCACACTTGTAGGACATTGTTCTTTGTCAAACTTGGCCGTTGAAAAAAATATTATCAGATTTCATCACAGGTTCATCTTGGTGACTAGCAGTGGAATCCAGGAGGCGCACTTCGTTCTATTTGAGACTCATCAGCTGAATATACCTGTACCCTAGTGAGTGGATGATTCTATCCCCACTAGGACTCGAACTTAGTACTCATCGCTTCGAATGCTAAAGCGTTAACCACTAGACCAATGCGGTACGATAGCCACCTCTTGTCCAATGGGTATCAAGAAATACATAAATAACAAAGTGAAGCACAACCACTTCACAAATAATTACAGTGTTTATCCATCTTAGGCTTTATAAAACTTCAAGTATATGAAAACCTAAAGTCCTTGTATACAACTTAACAGAGGTATACATTTTGCTGAAGGGAACTTATATCCACTGAAATATTTCTTTGACATAAACTATTCATATAGACAGTGCAGTTAAAAATATATTAATGCGAAGTAAGAGAATCAGCAGATCAGTTGATAATGAACTAAACTATTGACTTCTATTCCAATCATTTTATATCATCAGCTGAATGTTTTGTTTCCAAAATGTTATACCCTGTAAATTGCCAGTAATCATTCTTAAGCGGCAAATTCGGTTAGAGTGATCACATAGGAGATAAAAATTATTATTAGAATACAAATATGGTTAAACAGGGGCACCAAGAAATACGCCACACAAAATAATATAATAACATTATGAAGAATTTGAAACAATTAGTCCCTTTTATGAATTTGGATAATGTAATTAGCAGAAGATAGGAGGTTCGATTCTGAGCCATATCGGATAACGTTTCAAGCTACTGAGTTATGTGATCTCTCAGATCCCATCCAGAGAATAGTAGCACACTAACAGATGCTAACTAGATACATCTATCCTTCATCCCATGGCGCCAAGTCATACACTGACCACCCCTCTACTTCTCCTATCTAGTCCTAGGGCTAGCAAATAGTGAACGGTATGGAAGCCATTGGGATGAAATGCGTAAAATATCTCCAAGCCACCGAAGCTGATGTTTTAAGATGACTTTACTTACTAAATGCCCAAACACGCTTATGTGCTGTTGGCATGAGATACGAGCAATCCTACGGAGACAACAACAACCGAACGAACAGTATCGTCGCATATTATCACCTCAGAGTGGTCAAGTTTCACAGGTGTAGAGCAGAAATACTCACATCGAAGAATTGTAAACCCGACCTTTTTATTGTCAAAGTAATCCCGTAATGGTGTAAAAGGTGGCTCAGATTTGTGTATACCAGTCTGACTTCCGATATGCGGTTAGAAATTTCATCACTCACACTTCCACCAGCACTCATACAACTAACTAAATTACACGAATCACATGGCTCTCTAATTTCTATAGGTTAGAGTCAAATAGATGGATGAGTTATGCTGAAAATGTTCGGTGTAAAACAAATGATATCAACTTATAATGAGTAAGTAAGTAAGGCACATATAAATTTAAATGCTTGCCAGAAATAATAAACAAATAGTACATGGCAATGATATTCACAGACAAAATAGTAAATATGATTGTCAATTAGTCAGTAATGCATTATCATAAAATAGTTAAATAAATTACAAGACAGCATCAATTCAATGAATATACAGATGAATTATGACTTCAACTTACCAGAAGTAAGAAATGTTGAAGTATTATTAACAGGACTTAGTGATGTTTGTGAAACAAATGAACAAGTTGATGATGTAGAACTGAAATAAAAATATACAAAAAAAGATTTTCTATATTTCTTTGAATTAAATTTATTTTTCTTTGAAATTTAATCAAAATTTGATAAATAAAAGGGTTAATGAAGTCTGCTTTATTTAGTTGTTACAATCAGAGATGATATTTTATACGAATGGATTATTACTTGGTGATTATTGTAGACATTCAGTTCAAAGTATTGACTTGAGAGGCATATTGATCATATGTTCAATTAATCCATTAAACTAGGAGACACAACCACTGTAACTGATAGAAAGTCCTGCTTGACCAACATTTCTTGCTTGTTGATCATTCATTCAGTAAGACTAACTGCAGGAAAGTTATCTTGGAGGTTCGAGAAAAACGTCCCTCAAACTCAAAGTCAAAAACTCTAACTAAGATATTTACAGATATCTTCTAAAAGGATTGGGAAAGACTGGCAGTTTCAATGATAGTAGTGATCACTAATAGGATTAGTATTGTAGAACAATGGGATGGGGAACCTAAACAACAGCATGTAACTAAGTCACTATAGACAAGATTGGGAATTAAGTTCATCAGTGATGATTATGATGTGAACTTTCTTGACTAATTGGTCGAGGCATTCAACCAATGGATCGTATATTCAAATCCCGCCCCACCAACTTAGGTCTAGGCAACTGGGCAATATAAGCCATCAGACAATTTGTGTAGTTTATGGTCCAACATATAAATATGTCCCGCACTAAATTAGATTATCTTTATTATTTTATCAACCGTTTTAATCACAATATTTGTTAAAACTTTGTCAATATGAAAAAACTTATAAAATGATAAGTTTTGTCGATGTATTTGTTTCAATTTCTGGTCAGCTACCAATATTGATCGATTATTTTTATTTAATCCTGTATAAAATCACAACCGCATACGCATGATCAGTATTACCAAAACTCTTGACAGTAGACAGATGACCACTGAATCTGGAATTTGAAAGCAGTGGAAGTGAAATTCATTACCTCTGTTACTACCTATCCTGCTCTCTACTGAATATGCTAAGAGACCCAGCAGTTAGTTAACATTGAATCATTCCAGATTACAAAAAACATTATTTACCAATCTACACATTTTTAAATCAGTTTTTGCGCCATTTTTACTGCATGACCACCCCTCTTTCCAAGGTAATTCGCTGATTGGTCAACGCTTGCTTTTACAGTTCCAAATTCTGGGCAAGGTCACATATCATGTATATATATACACGTGTTTTGGGTTATTTGACAACTTCTCAGAAGTAATAAACTCTCACGTCCAGCCCAGTCTTCTTCTCTCTATTTTCGTCTGGGGTCGGTGGCATCACGTGTACGAGTTAGCTGTTAGCTAGCATGCGTATTATATACACTCACTAAGATATGTACTAATTACGCAATGCGTTCTGATTGAAATCTCATCAAATCTGGTTTATTAAAGAGGTTAGATTAGTGAGTAACTGGTTGGTGATCAGAATACGGATACGGAGGTGGGTGATAAAAAATAAGGGTGAGACTTATAGCATAATCAGTAAAGTGTCGGGATAAGCGTTCACACTTATAACAAACAAATTTTTCTGCAACCACTATCATTGTAATCAATAATCTATACCGCCACAGAAAAAAAGCTACCAATTGAAGAAGTCATTTGTTCCCAAAGTAGAAAATAAAAAGAACTTTGTACATAAAGAGTACTTAGTCCAGTGTACTTGACACAACTCGATCCCTAAGTGGGTCGTGGGCGAATAATGCTCAGGAGTCCCATATTAGGAAAAAACAGCTGTCCAGTGCTCCTAGATTTTCAATGAATCTGCAATTGATGTCAATCCGTGATGAATGCTACGTTAAATATAAAATCCCTATTAATCTCAGGATACATTACTGTATAGTGCTCAATGGTGACATGCTTCCGGAAGGATATCTCGAAGTTCCAGTGAGAAGTCGTGACCTGTGAATCAACCAGTCGGAAGTGGATCCTAACCGAAGACCTTGCTGCGTAGTCACGGCATATCACGAAAAGACAGAAGTAGGAGACTGTGAACCATTAAATTCCCACCCAGTCGCTGAATGGCTAAAGCGTTCGCCGTGCAACCTGAAGGTCATGAGTTCGACCCCGAGCGTAGACGAGGGCAAATACTGTTGGGGAGTTCCATACTAGGGCAAAATGGCTGTCTAGTGCTCTCAGGTTTCCAACAGTTCTCTAAATGATATCTGTCCGTGATGAACACTACCTTAATATAGTCCAGTCTGCATAGTATAAATGAGATGAATAATTTAATGAAATTATAACCATGAATACAGGTTAAAAGAGGTATCTCATTGCATAGAATGCTAACAGGTAGGTAATTAGGAGAATTATTCATATAACTAGGCATTAAATTTCATGACAGACAGGTCTGTTTATAATGCAGTCATAAACACTTGATAAAGAGAACTAGAAAAATGGAATCTATCAACAACAACAGAAGTATTCTTCAATCGATCAATACAAACTTAAAGAAAGATTTAGTTCTAATTCTTGTCTTCTAGGAATAAAGATGTGGGATATATACTACTTAATCACTGATAATGAGTAGTTGTTGAGGAGACTAATTATACCAACCAGTATACACTCATACAGACAAGTTAACATAGAACCCTACACACAGAATCGCATCAGTTTACAATGTCACACTTTATAGCAGTGTGCAAAGAAAAAGAAGTTATAAAACGAATGATACAAGACCGGACAAAAGTTCGTGAGAGGAGAGAGCATACACAGATGGAGGTTAATAAAAATATTGAAAACCTCAAAGACAAGAATTACAAAAATCTGGACCATTGTGACCGACTCCAAACTGTATTACCCAGCAAATGACATCCACTGATTCCAACCGACCTGAAGAACCCAAACAGGCAGTTTATAGCTTTCGACAGCAGCGCTAACCATTGATGATCCTGACTTTAAATCAGTAAAACGTCTGTTCAATAAGCACTGCTAATCGGTATGTACAGTTAATAATTACTCATATCGGCCTGGTGACACCACCAGGAGGTATCAAACCATTGATTTCTATAGCCTTGAGAACCCAAAACAGGTAGTCTACACCTCCTCCACACGGCTCAGACTGACAATCAGAAACATCATGGATCAGTGTTATGCCATGGTCTGACCACCCTGAGACCTCTTCCAACCCAATCCAATTTCCGCTAACATTGCACATCTAGGTAGGCGGTGGCTCGGCATGAATAACACATGTTCAGGCCACCTCAGTTGATGAAGGTCCCCAACTTCATCAACTAACCTGCCTTGCCTATTATCTTACGTCTAATCTCGATGTCGCTCACATGGTGGTTGCACCATGTTATCTCTTTACATTTACGGTTAACGGTACAGCCGTATAAAAGGAGACTGACTCCTCCACCCTCTTTCTTATAGGGAAGGCAGTATCAGCGTAAACGGACGGTCATCCCAGGGAAACACCTTATTGCTGTCACACTCCCATCCAGCTAGCAGTAGTACAACTTCACCTTCAAACCAGCATAATAGTGTAGCTGATTACACTATAATAGTAACTTCTTTTCGTCTTACAACTATCCGAAAGACCTTTCTGGTGTGATAAGACCTTAAAGCAACAACTGTTCCTACGACCATAGCTCCTTTATGTCATTTTTATATGCAAGCCCTACTACTACGCCAATGGGGGAAGCTCTTGGTCGGGAAACGGTGAATTTATAAGAATAAAGTATGTTATGCTAACAATTGTATATCCTAACACTTATTAACACTAGTCTACGGTAATAACTACAGAACTCCATAAATAAATACTGAATAAATACGTAAACTATGGCTATCTAAGAGAGTCAAATGATAACAGAATAAATACTTCCAGACAAGATAATATCTGCAGTAGATGGTTAGACTGAAACAATGGAATCGAACCGTTAATCATTTAACTGTTGGTTTCAGTTGTGTAGGTGAACGTTGACTATTTAGTTAAGGGACAGGGCTTAATATTGCTAGAAACCAATACCTATAGTTAGATCTTTTTGATTGGTTCAATAATCCTATCTGGTCAACAAACACTGTAATAATAATAATAATAATAATAATAATAATAATAATAATAATAATAGGTAAACAAGAGGGTAGGATAGTGAAAACAATCATCTGAATAGAAATGATACTACTACTTAATAATTTCCCTGGGTAGGGGTCATTTAATTCCTGCATTTTCCAACCATATATAGAAGTGTCGCCTCTGAAAGGTATGACACTAAGTACTTTCCCTAACTACGAGAGGTCAATCAAAGCCATAATCTGCCAAGTAATAGATGTACTTCACAGTAATTTTAAGACGAAGGATAAGATGTGATATCATTAAAACGTATTATACAACTGGGCTTATCGTAGTTGGGAAAACTGAACACATGTTGCAACAAAGACCTCATCATTGTATAAACCGATTGTATCACATCTCACTGTGTGTATCAGTTTATATGTATGTGTGTGAACACAGATATAGGGAGGACTAATCAAGATATGCACACTAGGGTGGTGGAACATGCAACAAAGCGACAAATTAATCAATCAATCATCACTAAAGCAATGTATACTATTCCAGCATATCTTTCATGATGAATAGAAAAGTGAACACAAAACATTCACTTAAAATATGCTGACTCACTATGCAATATCATTTCCAATTTTCCGGTTGGTACACATTGGATTAGAAGGGAGAGAGGGAGAAAAGGTGAATAGAGGTGATGGATTATTCATCTGTCCAAATCGATTAGCCTCAGGAGAAAACTATAGAGAATAATAATAATAATAATAATAGTATATTAGCAATGAATAAATATTGAAGGATGACTGAAAAAGACTTCCTAAATATCAAAAAGAAGCGATTTATAACCTACGTTACATGCTATTTTAAGATTGATTACATTAAGGTAAGTCTACTAGTCTTAGGAACTACATACCTCGCCAGAGATTCAAGACAGTTTCATTAAGTGCTGCAACCATCAAAGAAGTCACAACTGAATGTGGCATGCATGTCACGATTTCTTCAGTTATGAAATCACTTTGCTGATAAGTACCAACAGGCATAAAACCTATTGACTGACATACCATCATTAAATTATGTTAAAGCATCGACTTTTTTCCGAGATAGGAAATAGAATGAAGAATGTAAATGTAAAACAAAATCATACTTTTTACCAATGTGAAAGAAAAGAATGTATATCAAGGTTATGAGGTGTACTACTAAAACTACACTTGAACATCTCTGCTTACAAATGTTTTCAAAGATGGAAGTAAATCAAATATAGAGACGTAAATTGTTACTTTCATCAATGACTAAACTTAACGAAACAAAACTAGAGAATAGTAATGATGGATAGTAAACAGGAGGGATATTTTATGCTCTTTGGACTCGTTAGCTGGATGCACCTGTCTCTTAGTGAGTCATGTTGTTCCAACGAATCGCCTCAAATGTCAGAGCGCTACCCATATAAAAACTAAGGAATGTGCTCTCAGGCATACTTGAATAAAGTGTCTTGGCAAATAACTAATACTTTAATTTATTTTTTAAGATGAATGGGGATTTTCAATCTAGAAGTATTATTTATCATGGACTGACATCAGTTGGAGGATCGTTGAAAATCTGCGAGCACTGGACAGCTGTTTCGTCCTAGTATGGGACTCCTCAGCAGTGCTCTCAGATTTTCAATGGTTCCCCAACTGACGTCAGTCCATGATGAATACTACTTCTAAATTAAAAATCCCCATTCATCTCAAAAATACATTACTGTATAGTGCTCATTAGTGACTTGCTTCCAGATGGATATCAGGAAGCTCTAATGAGAAGCCGTGACCTGTGCGGTCAACCAGTCGGAAGTGAAGTGGATCCCAACCAAAGACCTTGAGTGACAGTCACGCTATGTTGTGAATTGACAGAAGTTGGAAATTGTGAACCACTGGAAACCGACCCAGTGGCTGAATGGTTAACGCGTTCGCCGTGAAACCCGAAGGTCCTGAGTTCCATCCCTAGCCAAGTCGTGGGTGCGTACTGCTGAGGAGTCCCGTACTAGAACGAAACAGCTGTCCAGTGCTCTTGGATTCTCAATGGTCCCCCAACTGATGTCAGTCCATGATAAATACTACTTCTAATACTTTAATTACCTAATTTCAATTACTTGTCATTTTCTATCGACCATCCAACTCGTTCATTATTATTTTACAAAGCCTCAACTTCGTATTTGTAGTCAATGTTAAAAAATGATAAATACAATCAGTTAGTATCTTTATATAACATCAATTAATTGAATTATTTTTCGTTAAGAAAAAAGCACTCACATTACTATTTTGATTTGAATGTATCATTGATGATGTGTGTGTTTGTGTTGATTCTTGTATTGAATAATTCTGTGAAGCTAAGACAATCGGCGTAGCTACACCTGTAAAATGTCCTAATTTATTAGATGAATTACCATTATCAATAGAAGGAGTAGAAGAAGAACTGTAATGTGAGTTGACATGAAATGCTGGTTGACTATATTTATGTATAATCGATGGTTTTGCAGTTTTATCGGTCTGAGGAATATGATTACTAGGAGTGTTGTGTAGATAGTCATTTGTTGAACACGGTCGTATTGTAGATGATATTGTATGCGGTGAATAAGTAGATGCTGTTTTATCAACGACAACAACAACAAAATAAAGAAAATATGTAGAAAAGGTGGGGTGGGGAAGTTAAAGTGCTTTACTGATATAGTTTTTTTTACAATAGAAATCGTTGGAATGGTATTGATTAGCCCATATGCTACTATGATGTATGGACTGTTTTCAAACTCCACACTAAGTAACAGGGCCCGAAAACTTGTTGATCAAACAAAAGATCTAAGACAAGAAACTAGATACATTAAGGATATCTTACTCAACAACAAGTACCCTCCCACATTAATTGTATTACCATACAAAGAAGGCATCACGTAAGATCCTCAATATGGGTGGGATTAAAGTGACATTTAAACCAACAAACTCACTTAGAAATATGCTTTATAGGTTGAAACATCCTATTGATCCAATTGAGCAGAGTAACTTAGTTTACCGAATCCCTTGCAATGATTGCGAGGTTAAATACATAGCTCATAGTAGTTGACGAGGCTCGAAAGTGGTCAAAATTGCTAGATCCTAGTATAGATGAGGAATTTTGAAAAAAGCTGAGTTATGCATACAATTACACACAACCACACAATAGGATGAGACAGGGTGGAAATCCTTAAAACTAACATAGCATCGAGGTGGAGAGAGAGATTGTTGACTGAATCTTTGTTTATCGAATCAATACCTAGTACATGCAACAGGAATGATTCAGCTCATGTTCCGAATATATGGAAAACCTTACTACCTATATCACAAGAGAGGTGAAGAATTAGGGTGACTTTAAAGGCCACCTAAGCAACTTATGGGGTACCCAATCATAATCCTTTATATTATAGGAAAGTACTTTTCCAGACGAAATACCGAAGTCTGACTGGTCATTTCGGTAGTTGCCAGGGTGGCCTTTAAAGTCATTCGGAAATTAGGCCTTTGTAGGGAATATCTCAAAGTTGTGTGGTAATCTTGATATGACTATGAACAATAAATGATGTCCAAAACGTAATCTAGTAAATAATACTGTTACATTGTATGATAATCTAATATATCAACTACAAATGGAATTACATCCCACCACAGTGCTCCACTTTTCAAACCATTCAGCAAACATATCCTCTACAATGTTAAAATACATAATCTAATTATGAAAATAAGAAAAATGGAAAAAGCAAACACTTTTTCAGGCTTGACGCAGAGTAGTATGTTGGTCAAGCCTTTATCCTTCGGCATACTGTAAAACATAGGTATTCGTGCTAGCGCATTATTTTAGTTTTACCCAACAAGTATGGTCGATCATGAAGAATTTCTTCCCGAAGTTATCACCACAAAGCACAGCACCTTGTTCAAGGCTTTCAACATAGGTTCATGCACTTGTTATCTGAGTTGTCAACATATTGTATTCTTTCCGAATGTATCGTCTTTTCTCAGAATATCTGAGATTTGATCTCGTACACGAATGAAAATTAGTAGACTCCACTATAGTATTATTATTTTTATTATTTGTCCCTTGGGTTTCTAGTGGAACATAGGGCTTCAGTAGCACATCTCCATTCCACTCTGTTCTCTGCAAACTTTTGAACCTCACTCCACGACAGCCCACAACCTCCCATTTCATCCTTACACGATCTCCTCCATGTCACCCTGGCCTCGAAAGCCTAATTCGTCGTTTCCCATCCGGGCTCCACTCGAGTGACTGGCCTGAGCGTGATGTCCCCGAATGGTCTTCTCAGTGCATGCCCAGTCCAATCCATCGCCACTTCCTTCCAGTGCATATTTATTTGTTGAGCGATAGGTTCTCGGTTGGTTCGTTGCCAGCCAGAGAGAGTTTCTTGTTACTTATTCTTTCTGGCAATCCATCTGATCTTCAGTAACGAGCCAGAGTAGGAGGCAGTTGTTGATGAATGTGTGTAGTTTGTTGGAAATCACTTTCGTAACGCGCCAAGTCTCTCAACCATCAAATAGAAGCACTGACTTGACTGGGCTGGTGTTGAAAATCCGGATGTTGTTCACGCTTTATGCTGAGTGCAGAAGATCTGCATACTGGTTTCAGGTTAATGAATGCCTGTCTTGCTGTCTTTCCGATCCTGGTTGGCTTTGACGTCCCCGTCTGTAGTTGGAACGATGCTGCTTAGATAGGTGAAAGAGGCTAATTCCTCTAGGTTTCTCCCGTTGATGGTGATTGGAGCTTGTTGTTGTTGTTGGTGTTGGTTGAGTATCATCATCACCTCTGTCTTCTCTACGTTCATTTGAAGTCCCGTCTTCGCTGCCTCTTCTGTCAACTTGTTAGTTTTTGCCTGACTGTTGTAGTATACGACAACTAATTGCACATGTTCAGTGGAAACTCAAATATGTTTAGTGTAATATTGATCAAAATAGGATTCAATATGAAAAAGACCAAAGGGTAGTCAGATCAAGACATAGCACCAGTTGATGAAGTTTTTGTATCTTAGTTTGAGCTGTATTAGAAAGTGTAGACTATCCAGGCAGATGTCATCCAGATATCATGAATCAATGGTTGCAAACTCAAAATCAGTTGCAATGGAGTAAATGCATACACTCTTTTTCATCTTCAAAGTCATGAATATTTTCATTAACCTCCATTTATTTATTCTCTCTCTTCTCATATACTTTAACTTGTTTTATTTCACTAGTCTTCTACCATCTTTTCGTTGTATCAGCTGCTCCTTTATAGTGTGGCAACTTGAACTGATATGCTTCTATGTCAGGTTCTAAGTTCATCTTTCTGTCTGAATATACTTAAAAATAACTTTTATTCTTCAAAGAGCTAAGTGTATTTACGTAAATGATTTACAAAAATTTCTAATTTAAGATTGTAAACACGTGTACTGATAGGGTGTTCATGATTGCCTTATTTGATGGGTGAATTTATTCAACCATGATATGACGTTGACTGAAAAAATGTCGCTATTTCATTAATTGTTTATTGAATCATAAGATAATCATCAAGTAATATAACCGAGTTTTATCGATTGAATGGTCTTATATTCAGTTCATTACTCAGTTGTTATCGTTATACGGTCTAAGCATTTATAAATCTTGAAAAATAGGTTAAATTCAAATGAAAATCACATATCATAACCGTTGACCTTGAATTAGTGACTTTGATTTCAGGTTTTCATATAAAGCATAGACAGTCCCACTAAGATAACCGTGTTAAGCATCTCACGTTCATCATAAGACTTTGCATGTTTGTGTGTGTATGACATAATACAGGTACAATATTTTTATATTTCTTTCCACTGTAATTATCTTGTTGTTATTGTTCACGATAGAGAAGGTATACAAGCGTTATACTCAAGTCTTGTTTCGTATACAAATCTTATCCAATCAATTTGTGAATGATGCAGAACAAAAATTAAACATGTAAAACGGTCCTTATATCTCCAAAGGTATGCTATGGTTTATGGCTTGTACATTCGACTTTCAGCCAGTTAGTAGACTTAAAATTATTCACTTAGCATGACAGAAGACTCTTTCATAATCCTAGACGTTAAAACATATTAAACAACAGTTGGACATAAGGATCAATGCAGAACTTTACACAAAAGTGCATCATTTCAAATTCCTACACTTGTAAATACCACACAACACGGAAATGAACAGGAATAACATAAGATTAAAATAAACAAAGAGGATACGAGAGTAAAAACAAAAGGTTAATAAAATGTTCAGTATTCGGATGATAATGAAAGTATATGCGCTACTGTGAATAATTTTGACCCTTTTTATCAAGAATCTCCAACCACTGATTCTCAACAAGCCAGGCAACCTAAACCTTGATACAAACTTGAAACCAATAGGAAAACGATTTATAGATTGTTGTCATATGTTAGTTGGTTGGAGGCAATCGCCAGGAAAATCTACTCAACCTACATTTTGTGCTTATTGGCACATGTTAGCCGGGTATATATCTGTAACCTTGAGAGAAGTGGTATCCCCTCTGCTGGGATTAAAACCCACGTTACCCAGTGTTGCTACTGAACTAATCAGACCGCGATCGACCTCCCGTAGAACTGGATTCGATACATTGACTGCTGTTTAAACTATAACGTAATAGGTAATCATCAATTAAACTTGGATAGCAAAACGCTGAAAACTTTAACAGATCAAACCAGAATAACTTCGTTAGTTTCCTTTTCTTCATGCGTATAAAATAAAACGCTAAGTGAAATAAATAAGTGAATGTCACGTAGTAGAACTCAGCAAATGCAGTGAATTGATCTACATAGCAAAAACAAAAGTGACTTTTTCGTCTCTTTAACATAGAGCTAATCAGCGATGTGTTAATACGATCGAATAAAAATCATAGTAATAATAATGATGTATAGAGGCTAATGGGGATTTCATGTTTAAGGCGGCATTCATTACAAGCATAAAATCCCCATTAACCTCAAAGTGCATTACTGTACAGTGCTCAATACTGACGGGCTTCCAGATGGATATACTGAAGTTCTAGTGAGAAGTCGTGACCTGAGTGAAGCGGATCACAACTGAAGATTTTGCTGGATAGTAGCGGTATATTACGAATTGACAGGAGTAAGAAACTGCGGATCACTGGAATTTGACTCAGTCGCTGAATGGTTGATGCGTTTACCATGAAACCAAAAGGTTATGAGTTCGACCCCTGGATGGGTCGCCGATAAGTACCGCTGAAGAGTTCCGTACTAGGAAGAAATAGCTGTCCAGCACTCTTAGGTCTTCAGTGGTTCTCAAACTGATGTTAGTCCATGATGCATGCTACCTTGAGAATAATAATAACAATAATAATAATAATAAGGAGGAAAATATTTAAGCTTACTGTTGCATTGATTTGATACTTTCGCATTACTGACAAGTAGATTACCAAATTTACGTATTATATCTTGTACAGGTAATGTGGTACGCTCAATTGAGTCATTTTCTTCTGCCTTCACTGATGACTCCATAGAAGTGAAAACATCTGATTTACAATATTCTGTCTAAATATAATCAGTTTAAAATGATATAAAAGATTAATGAGGAAAATGTTAGTAAAAACAAAGGTGATCAACAAACAATAATATAACCAATAACCAATAATATAACCATTGAAATCGCCTCATCTCAAAACAGACAAAAAGTTCATCACAAATGAACCAGAAGGATAAGTATAGACATGAAATAGATAGGTTGAATGACACAGTAATGATAGTTACACATTTTGTCCTACAAATATCCGATAGATGTTTCTGGTATGCTAAGCCCTTACGGGAACAAGCGCTCTCATCAGTAGAGCTCGTTTCATTATTGTAATATTCAAGCTTGACCATCACATCGTCAATAAGGTTTACCCATATGGCTCATTTTAAAGCATACCATCCAAAGGATTGTCACCATTCATTTATAGCATTTTAAGCATTCTAGACAAATGAAAGAAAACTGTAATTTTCCTAGATGACATAAATCAACAGTCTATGACTTTATGAATTGATCCCGCCTGTTGGCCTGGCGGTCATCTTCAACTCTTTTTTAAACAATCAACATGGTTTTTTAGTCTGCACTACTCTTCAAATTCTTATATGATTACTGTCTAACCTATTCAGAGTGGCGCAACCTATTCAATTTGAACATCCACTTTTATCTTTTGTATTACCATCTAACTTGTAAAAAGTATTCACTTCTATGCTGTTACACCTAAATCGATATCAGTCTACGTTACGTACAACGTATATATGTTATCTTGCATTGCTTAATGGTACATATAATTAAGCATGTACAGTAACCAGCTGACGAGTTCTACCGAAATTCATGAATTCATTCAATCCTGATACTTTCACATTCGTTGCTTGCTTCAAATTTGTTTCATTCTTTAACTTCGCCCGGTCCGTTCCAAATATTTAACAACAGCACTGTGAGTGTAGAAGATAACAAGAGATGAGACAACGAAATAAGAGATAATCTTATCAAAATTCAAAAAATAAAGTTATATAACACCAGAATTTGTAAGATTTGGACAACTATAAGGTTTGGATGTATCTGTGCTACTACGACCGATTCTATGCGCTGTATCACCTACAGTTTCCAATCATCGATTTCAGTTACTTAGAAGATGTCAGTTAGAGAAATCTACATTCCTCTACCTGGTTGATAAGCCTTACCTTTTTCAATCTCATTCCACAGAGCATCGGAACAGACGATTGTTTGTGAAGTGTAACACGTTTATTAACAACCTGTGTCTATGAAAGTTCAAAACAGTAATAACTGACTGGAGATAGGACCGATTCATTGGTCTACGAACACTTAAATTTCAAGCAGTGGATCCCAGCTTTCGAACCCTGAACAGGTAATATTCTAAGCCCCTACACACAATAAATGAGATTCAGCCTAGTACCTGAATGTCTATACTGTATATTTATAAATGATTTACCTCTTCTACTTTACACCATACAGGAACAATATTTCCTTTTTTTATTATGTAGGCTTCGGAAATAGTCTGTTCTCATTGAGTTCCAAACAAAAATTGGAACAGAATATTACGAAGTGCTTTAGACTAAAATAGACAATATATAAGTACTTTTGCTCATATAAAGGGTATACTTACCTTCAGATTACTTGCTTCGTTATTTCCAAAAGATGCATTAGGGTATTTTACAGTCTCAACAATAGGTGTGTCCGAATCCTGTTTAGACCAGTTTGAGACACTTGTCAGTCGAGTAGATGGAGCTCTTTGTGGAATTAATGGTCTGGATGATGATGATGATGATTTAGGTGCTGATATATTAGGAGGTTGTGAATAACGTCTGCTTGTAAATGACGAGTCGATACTTGCTTCTAGTTCATGTCTAGCCTGATTTTAAAGGCATAAAAACGTTTCAATTTTGTCAAATATGATGATTTTATTAGAAGACATTTACGTAAATATATTCTTAATCCTAAAAGCTAGAAATCTTGTACTGGACGGAAGAAAATGTTATTTAAATCCTAGTTGATATCAAATTATAGCACTTGATAAGAAAAAAACCTTGTAACGTAGTGCTTTAACTACTCAGTTATCATTTACTAGGTGATGACCATATTCAGACCATGTTCAGATAAGTAGCATTATTTACTCTCAACTAATCGATATAGTTTAATGACCAATATATGAACCAGTTTATTTGAATAACTCAACTATACTTATTAACTGAGAGTTTATGAAAGTGAAAGTAGGTGGGGACATTTGGTTTTAGGATTCATTGTTTAAAATTCAACTGTTTCAATTAATGAACTATTCCAAAAACGTTTCGTAGAGTTTGCTGACTTTCCTTCTGTTTTAAAATGTTACAAGTCGAATCACTACATCGTCCTATACAGGTTCTACATTGATAACATCTGTTTGCATAAAGTTCAAAGTTTAGCTTAATGAAACTGAAAATGATTAGTGACGTAAACTTACTTGAGTGATTGTAGAAAAAGAAGAATAGCACTAAACGTGTGACATAGGCTTGGTGCTTTTTTTTTGATAGTCCACAGCGAGATATTTCATCAACCTCATTATTTTTTTCCTCTTGAGTTCCTAGTGGAACATAGGGCTTCAATAGCACGACTTCATTGTACTTTGTTATCTGAAGTCTTTTGAACCTCAGTAACCTTAGGGAGACTTGAATTCTCTAGCAGATCCAAACCTACATCACTCAGTATTAAAGTTCGAGACTTTACCACTAAGCCAATCAGGATACAAATGATCTCAAGTAGAACTGATTGACTTATGCATAGGAGTTGATTATATAACAGTAACCGATGTGATGCTCAATTCCTTTAGTGTCGATAGAAGTCTGTCGACCAGTTTCGCAATAAGGTAATTACGCTAGATGAAATAACATTGGATTGCACTGCATTCGGCGTTAGATATTAAAATAGATAGAATCTGATCAGTATTTGGAAACTAACCTTCATACACACTATTACACAGTAAATGATTCGTATAAATGAACAAATTTGATATACGCAACATAAGTCTCAATCATTGCTTCATTGAGATCAAGGTACCACTTGACCACGATGAAAGATGTAGAAAACTATAGACCGATACTACATGAAGATAAAATTATAATATCCTGTCATCATGACTATTCACTTTGAACAGTGTAGCTAAGTGTAGACTACTTTGTTAAGAGTCCTCGAGATCATAGGAATCAGTTGTTGAGGGCCCATGGTGATATGGTTGAAAATCGGTCACAATAGTATATATGTATTCACTCTTTGATGTCTTCTAAGGTTTGAATATTTCCACCAACCTAAATTTTCAAATTCCCTAACCTCCTATACACTTTAGTCTACTCTGATATCAATCGCTTTCGTTCCACGTGTTCCTTCTATCCTATACTATAAAGTGTGAAGAAAAACTGATGCACTTGTGTGCAAAGTTCTACGTTGATCTTGTTTTTCTGCCTGTCTATAACCATTTACCAAGTTTCTTTGCATATGGTTACACTACTCTGTGTGCTTTCAACGCTTTCAAAAATAATGAGAACTTTTATTAGGGCAGTCTTCTCACAAAAGGCAATACCAATTTAAAAAAATACCTATAAGCAGCAAATCTTTCCCATTCTCTAGTATATGAACTAAATTATAAATTATAAATTATAAATCTTGGGTTTGTTGGAAACACAGCATGTGGCTAATTATTCTCAACAGTTATATAGATGGTCTTGTTTTTCCAACCTTCTGGTTTATTTTTTCAGTGACATATGAGTTTTGCCTATCACTAACTCCATCAAAAGTGATCTTTTCTAACGACATTCACATTGACAAAGGCTACTTCACACATTCAAAGTTTTAATGGACTGAAATGATCCATTCCTGTTGATCTATTCCTCTGTAGATACTTTGATATTGCCTGAAGACTCATTAATGTGTAACATCTTTGGTGATGGTTCGTAGTCGAATCCTAGCGGAGGCTAGTGCATAGAGTACTAGGTTCAAGTTTCGGTGGGAAAACATTGCTGACTGAGATCCAGATACATCCAGTTGGTGCATCCCAGATTCCATTACAAGCCAACACCAACAACATAATCGTAGTGTGTTTAGAAAATCAAACGATGTGGCAAAATACACGTTTATTTTCCAGCTCATTTATTAAAAAAGAATTTATTACACTGTAACGATTTACTTATTTGTTGTTATATGAATCGAGCACTGATAGCAGTTTAGTTATCCATATATATGAACAGAGAGTGTAACCATTTACAATAACCTACATTAGTACAGTGCTGAAAAATAGAGTTGTGAAGCTTTCGAAAAATTTCATGTTGTACATGTGTTAGTAGCTTCGTACTTTTATTTTAACATGTAGAAATATGCAATTTCATGAATTGGATTTGTTGCGATTTAATAAAATGAATTAATTTTATCTTCAAAAGAAATAAACTAAACATTTCATAGAAAAACAGTTGTACATTCACTGATGGGCTTAAGATACAAGCTGGTCGATCAGGTCAAAATATATCGAGAGAGATTTTCGAACTCTGAACTCTTTGATAGAAGGTCAAGTGCTTCACTTAATGATTTACAGCTCCATGACCTTTATATCATTTTTGATAGATAACCGACTATATGATACACATAGCAGCAGGACCAGATGGAATTCCTTCAGAAGCAGTGAAAACAGACGCAGAGACACCAGCGGATATGCTCACACCACTATTGCAGAAGGTTTGGAAGGAAGGGAAGATACCTGCCGATTGGAGGAAGGGCTAGCTTGTCAAACTCCCAACCAACAATAACAACAAGTATCAGTCACCATCAACGGGAGAAACCTAAAGGAAATAGTACCTTTCACCTACCTATGCAGCATCATTTCAACTACAGGTGGCACAGATGATGTCAAAGCCAGGATCGGAAAGACAGCAAGACAGGCTTTCATTAATCTGAAATCAGTGTGGAGATCTGCTGAACTGCACTCAGCATAAAGAAGAAGATCCAGATTTTCAACACCAATATTAAGTCAGTGCTTCTATGTGACGGTTGAGAGACTTGGCACGTCACAAAAAGCATTTCCAACAAACTACAGACATTCATTAACAGCTGCCGCTTACGCTCACTCGATACTGAAGATCAGATGGCCAGAAAGAATAAGCAACAAGGAACTCACTCTGGCTGGCAACGAACCAACCAGAAGACCATCGCCCAACATACACTGAGAAGACCATTTGGCGACATCACGCGTCAGGTTAGGCTCTCGAGTGGAACCCGAAGGAGAAACGACGAGTTGAATGTCCAAGGGTGATATGGAGATCGTGTGAGGAAGAAATGAAAGCTTATGGGCAGACGCCGAGCCAGGTTCAAAAGACTGCAGAGAACAGAGTGAAGTGGTGATGTGCTACTGAAGTCCTATGTTCCACTAGGAACCCAAAGGACAAATAATAATAATAGTCAGCTAGCAAAGGATTCTTATTTTGATGTTCATTGAGTTGTGGTTAAGAAGAGTCACTTCACAGGCACCAAGAGTTAGCAGGCACTACAGTCGAAAACAAATAGCCGCTGAATCAGGTAAAAATTTCATAGTGCGTACACTGACAATCAGTTAATGAGATCGACAGTCAATTAGAGTTGATTTACAATGTGACGTGAACATCGCCCAATAAAATATTATATCAGGAAATTATAAATAATTTCCAGTGAGATAAGTGGAAAACTGTATCAAGTGTATCGCAAAGTTGTATTAGTAGCGACTGAAAAGCAACGACTTACCAAATAACCTTGAATAATCCATCAAGGATGTTTGCGTATCATTGAATTCGATACTGGCTAATAACGCGGTTTAGTGCTTTTTATATTCAACTTGTTTATTTTAACTATAAACAACCTCTGAAACTAACGCTTGGCCTAAAAACAACTTTTACATAGCTCTAAATGCTCTTCTTACCTTTGTAACTGGCTTCTACCACTTTACGACTTTGATCGGTTCTTCAGGGTCATTCGGTAAATGAATGCCTTTTGACTGTTATTCCTTACCTTCATCATGAAATGATTCAGATGCAATTTAGCATTTCACATCTTTCATCATTGAGATAACAAGTTCATCATTTTATAGTTTAACTGATACAATGGTGTTTTAAATAATCCTATGGGTAAAATCACAGGCAAACAATTTCCCTTCACAATAAAGTATAAAGTGTACAACTGAGTATTTTACTGGTCATGATCACTTCGAAATAAATCGAACACATTATATCTTACATGGTTAGTCGGATCAGTTGATCATTTTATAGCTGTATCAAAGATACTTTCAAATACTCCATACGAAATTATCAGATCATAGTGTTTCAGTTACATTAATTTGTGCTAATTGAATGGAAGCAACCGGTAGGAAGCCCTGTTCAACCTAGGTTTCCTACGTTTTGGCGCTCATCAGCAAAGCATATCTGCAACCTCGACATGAGTAATGTCTTGCTTGAGTTCGAACCCATTCCAGCCAGTGACGCAGTCAGAGACGTTACCACTGAGCTATTCGTGCAGCGAATGACTTCATGTATAACTGGATTGTGTACACTGATTGGTTTCTTGAAGGTAACCAGCTTCATGTCTAATCTTATTTTGTGCTAAACAGACATACTACTTATCAAAAGAATGAAATGATGAATAAGCTAAACAGAAAGTAAATGACAGTTATAATGTTAATAGTGGGGATAATAAAGACGGTAAATCATCTTATTTCAACCGAAGAACAGCTAGGAAAAAATAAGCAACCCGTAGCACACACATACACATTCTTTCCTATAGTACATCAATGATGATGGAGAGGTGTAATATTTCCGGAAGACATCTAAACACATACCAAACGGATAGATAGACAGATACGCACATACACACAACTTGAGAATGCTTACACTTATCTGTAGACTTGAACACTATCAGAACAATAACGACATTATTTTCACATTAGATGCTACACAAAAGTATAAAAAAAATAAGCAAGAGATATGAACTGATATGTCAAGAGATGACCAACTTGGCACCCAATTTCGATGAACAGACAGTTAACTAACTTAACTAATCGTTAATCAATAAGAAACATCAAACCCAAAGAAGAAACATTCGCAGAGATAGTGACCGAGAGGAAAGAAAAGTAGATCACAGTTTTCTTTACGATAAAAGTGAAGCAGAAAGCAGATACAAAACAGTTTAGAGGTGAAATTACTCTTCTATTTTCTTAAAAATGTCTACTGTCTTCTGAATGAAATGACACTTTTAAACGATAAAGATGAATGAAGAAAGGAGGCAACTGTAATATTTGCTGATTTTTAAGTAAGTTTTATGACTGAAGCCTTTGCATTTTATTTTTCGGGTTACCAATGCGAAAGAGTAATACCAGTCTTTGACTGATGTTCGATGGATGGAAGAAATCAATAGGAATGATGGATAGTGATTAGCAATGGAATCCAGGACGCGAGTTTCGTCCTATTTAGGACTCGTCATCTGCCTTACAGTGAGTGATGTTATCCCAGTGAGACCAATGTAAAAACAATAACGTAAGCGATACACTATTGGCTTTTTCACGTGTATAAATATTTAAAAGAATATATGAGCCTGAAGAAACTGACTACCACAAAAAAATCAACACTGATGTAGAGGTGGATAGAATAAGAGTGATATAAAAGAATACAGAGTTGTGTGAGAGAATAAGCAGTTTGGAGATGAAGGTTAGTGTAAATATTGAAGCTTTACAAGATGTCAAGGAGTGAATATGTATTTGCCACTGCGACCGCTTTCCAGCTACGTCACCAAGAATTCTCAACCACTGATTCCTATCGTTTCAAGGACCCCAGCCTAGTAGTCTACACTTCCCCTACACGGCTAAGACCAACAGTCAGAGACTTCATTGACTGGTGCCACGTCTTGATCTGGTCACTCTGAACCCTCTTCCAACCTAATCAACTTCTCCTAGCACGACTCACCAAGGTAGATAGTGGCTCGGCAGGTGCAGTACATGCCCAGGCCATTTCAGTTGGTGAAGGTTTACAACGTCATCAATCGACTTGTCTGTCTTCCCTAGTACCCTTCGCCTAACGTCAATATTGTTCACATGGTGATTCAACTAAACGCGACCAATGGTACAAAGATACCTGTGAAATAAAGTTCCAACTAGTGATTTACTGGATGAGATTTGAATGTTTAAATCAACAAGTCACATCTCCACACATTAAAACACTTCTTTTTTTTAATGATTCATTCAGTGGAAGTAGGAATTCATTCTAAATGCCGTCTAAACAACTACTAACATAATGTAATTAGAAGACGTAGATTATCTGAAAAATGTGATGTATTAGCGCTATACATTTCGAACAATCTGATCATACATTTACTTGTTAAGGCATTATATATGAAAACTGGAAGTGGGGGAAGGACACGTATGCATAAAGGAATTCAATAATAAGAAAGATAATGAGAGGAATAAAAGATAAGACTTGAAGACAATCTTGGTAACACGATAAAATAAGCATTACCAAGGTAGGCTTAATGTAAAGACAAACTGTTTTTGCACACACAATGGGGGGTTAAATTTATTTATGGCTAGCACCTCAACAAACTTAAGTATACGCCCCTGGCAGTTTCTGTACAAAATTGTAAAGGCTGTCTTGGTATCAATTCTGTGACTCTTACCAATGATATGTTTCGCAATGGATGATGATGGTTGTCTGCCATCTGCGCTTATCAATGTTTGTGAATCCAACTGCTTTCGTAGCCACTTTGGAACATGTTCCCCTACCCTCAAGTGCATATCACGATTCGTCCTCCCTATGTATGTTTGTCCACACACACATGTGAATTTATAAACGCAGTGGGATGTGACACAATCGTTTATACAGCGTTGAGGTCTAGGTAGCAGCAGGTGTTTGGTCTTCTCAACTATGATAAGCTTAGCTGCATAGTACGTTTTGCTAACAGCAGACCTTAACCTTCGTCTTAATATTATGCTATTAGATTCTCCTCTGTATGGTAACGCGATGTAAACGCGTTTCTTCGAAACAGAGTACAGATCAGGTTTGAATCCTCGCTGATTTTTGCAGTGGTTTATGAACTTCAATGGATATCCATTTTCCACTAATGTTTCCGTTAGTATTTTGACATCATCATCCATTGAGTCCTCCGTACAAATACGCTCGATCCTTTTAAATAGACAAGTTACCAAACCTCGCTTGTATTGGGTTGGACAAGAGCTATGGAAACTTAAATACTGACCTGTCCAAGTAGGTTTCCTGTAGATCGACCGCTGGTGGTTCAATGGTTCAATAAAACGGTCGATCTACAGGAAACCTACTTGGACAGGTCAATGATACAGATATCACCAGTGAATAATTCAGCTTACATTCACCGGATGAATCTATTAAATGACGGTGAATCATCGTCACATTCCAATGCTTAACAGTTTTCATGAAAATAATTATACATACATAAAATAACAGTGTTTCCAAGTACATAATAATAAATACATAGAAGCAGTAATCGACTTACGTTAGAAACTTGTATATCTGAATGTCCATTGAAAGGGAACTTTAACTGAGCTGCTGGTGTAAACGATGGAGAACAATTTGATGATGATGATGACGGTGGTAGTGGTGGTGGTGGTGGAAGTGGGAAATTTTCTGAAGCACACAGATCAGGTGGAGGCGGTAATGGAGGTGAGGAGTCTACAGATAAAGTGTGAACAATGAACCAGTTTAAACTAGTGAATGACACATGAATAACAGATTGAATGAAAATTCGAATCTCTCATCTTTTAAGAAGAAAGGCAATGGTAAACATAAACTTGATAATTAAACCTGAAGGGTAAAACATCAACCAAGATATAAGAATTCAATGTGAAAAAACAAAATAAAAACATTTTCAATAACCCTAATTCATATCAGTGGGCTATCATTTAGTGTAATGCAACCCAGCAAACATATACAGATTTTTGCATAAGACTATGAGCCAAATATTAATTATTTGAAGTTAAATGATGAACTATCGGATCGCCTTATACTTAATAAGTAGAATCGAGTTCGACTCTCTAACTCATTTATGTTGTTGCTCTTATTATCCCATCGTTGATTGGACCGAATTGATCCATCTCTCTTAACATATCAGCTCCTATGCGAATGCCTCGACATTGCCTGTCGTTTCACTATTATAAGTAGTGATAGAAAGTGATTAGCAATAGAATTCAGGATAAATTTTAGCGGAAACAATATTACCAACTGGGAGACAGTTACATCCAGCTGACGAGTCCCAAATTAGATGAAACGTGCCTCCTCTATTCCACTACTAAACCGTATCCATCATTACTATAAAATTCTCTAACTAGTTTACACCGAATGCGATAGTATACAACTAAGGGATGATTAAGCTTAATAACCATTATTATCATTCATTTCCTAACAGCCTTCTAATCATATTATATGGACAATTCAGTGGTGAAAAAGTCTTATCTGTATATCAGAAAAAATCACAGACAGAAGCTTTAAAAATGAGTGATCACATCATATACGACAATATGTTTTACGAAACAAGAATACAATACAATATTTTTTGGCTCCCATGTCTTTTAGCAATGAATTTGTGCTGAGCACAAAGAAATAACTCATACGTTCTTTTTTAGATGAATGAGGATTTTTAAAAATTAATTGAAAAATTAAAAATCCCCACTCCATCTCAAAAAAAACATCACTGTATAGTGCTCATTACTCACTTGCTTTCAGATGGATATCACGAAGATCTAATGAGCCATGACCTGTGGGGTTAATCAGTCGGAAGGGAAGTAGATGCAAACCGAAGACCTAGGGTGGTAGTCGCGCTATATCGTGGATTGACAGATGTAAACTGTGAACCACTGGAAACTGACCCAAAGGTTGAATGGTTAACGCGTTCGCCGTGAAACCTGAAGGTCCGGAGTTCGATCCCTAGCCAGCTCGTGGGTGCATACTACTGAGGAGTCCTATACTGGGATGAAACAGCTGTCCGGTGCTCCCGGGTTTTCAATGGTGTCAGTCCGTGATGAATACTATTTTTAAATAACTCATATGTTGACTGAAATCAAGCACTATTCGTCAATATACTGTTGAAATCCACTGATCCAAGAATACAATATGATATTATATCATGTTAGTTATGCTACAAGCTGAGTGAATATTAAAGTTGCTAATGTTCTGTTCCCGAAACTCCTTATTATTACCTAGATAATAGCATACTTGTGAAATATGAATACAAAAATGCAGAACAATGCACAATTAACTAGTTCCAGTCACTGTACTCTACAACACAAATAAGCAAAAGAACAGGTGAAGTAGAAAGACATCAAAGTACACAAAAATAAAAGGATGAATAGAAAGACTCAGATAAATCAAACGAGTGGTAGGACAGTTATGATGTTTTCGGGAAGATAAGCTGTGAAGATATTTACACCAGTGTGCTAGATCGACCCCAGACTTTTGATTTCTTACATCTTGAGGATGCCAAGTATTCCACTTACTTTCAAGTCAAAAAACAATGAGTAACTGAATTGGTGCGACATCCTCACCTTACCATTTTCAACCATTTTTAAAACCAATCCTACACTTTGATTGGTAAAGGCCTCATTTATTTCCTCTCAGAATTAAAAGTACCTCAACTAATACACAGATAAATACTAAAAACATTAATCATACACTGGATTTCTGGAAGTGTGTAACGATGATTGTCATGAGAACACTAAAATGTACATTCTCAGACTTTAAGGTTTGATTCCACAAATTCACAGTTCCAGTAGTGAATATGTAATGATACTTTACGAAAATCAGAAGTTACAGAAACTATATCTTTTTCTGGCTACGCAGCCTTCTTTTCACCTAGTCCTACTCCAAATAACACTGTTCATTATGTAGAGAACGGTAGGTTGTGTAACACATGTCTCAGACACCTCAACTGATGACAATATTTTAACCCTATCAACTGATGTATCTACCTTACTTAGTACCCCACTTCCAACCTTCATATTACCCGCTCTGCACTTTCACCAAAAGCCAGCGATCGTACGAAGAAAACAGCTATTCAATGCCTGAAACATTTTTAAGTCTTTCATCTTTAATATACATGCTTTACAACTGTACAGTAGGCAAGAACATAAGACAGCCAATCCTTTTGTATCTATATAGAGATCCTATTGGCCACCAAACCAACAGGGCTGATGAAACCTTACATGAAAGTAAAGAGGTCAACACACGGAGCCACTTTGAGTCTAATTATCAAAAGCGGTACCGATATAGACTGGTACTAAAGTTACAACTTGCATGTATTTAAGAAGCAAGAGATAAATCCCAGACATCCTCAAACTGTTATACAAAGTCTCCAGAAAACTTTTCATTTGATTAGCTACGTCTCTTGATTATCGTTAATCATACATGCTCACTTTCTTTAATATCATTTCCTTTAAAATGAGGAGCTAATTTGTACGTTACATCAATAATTGAAAAGAATCGCTAGTGTTTATGAGGAAGCTTGACAACATGCCTTTAGTTTCATAACCATTGGATTAGTTTCATACTGAAGTGTAGGTTAGCAAGTTATATCCTTGAAGTGAGCAATAAGTATATTGAGCAGTAATGGAAAATATTTGCAGCCCAGGTGCATGATCTTGGTTGCGTTGCATGAAGTAGACGATTTAGTCATTAAACTTCCATTGCCTTTCTAGACGACATCCCCAACATTAGCTTCAATATGAAGTGAGCTATAGGGATCTCTCTTTGAGTGATACAGCACCCTACCCTGAAGAAGTAGTGTGTGATTGGTAGTTTCTTTTGATTGTTGTATCACTGACCATACAAATATTCATGTTGTCCGCTTCTCTACCTAACCTTTGACCTTGTAGTTGCCTACCATTTTTCTTGTTGTTTGGTGAATTGGGTCAATATCTATCCATCTACTGATTGTTTATTAACCTGATTACCAAGCTTCTAGAGAGTCTCTGACATATTTTGCGTTTTCTCTGTCCAATAGCTCTGAATTTACAAAACCAAATTCACATTCATAGTTATCCACGTGCATCCTTTGATCTGCATATGTCTTGAAGCAAATTTTTTGGTATCATTCAACACTGCTAAAACCTTTCATGTTTCTCTGCAATTATCGATTTGATGAGGCCTGTAAACTGGCTTCTCTCATGTTAACTTCATAACTTGAGAATACAGATATTTATTTATTTATTTATTCCAAATGCCTTCATGTAGAGCTGTAGGTTATGGTTTAGGGGGATGACTATCAACCAGTGAGTCACGGGTTCGAACCACATCCCACCTACTGAGGTTTGGGCAGCCATGTAGTATCACTAGACCTCATCCCCTACCGTACGGAGTGCACAAGGTGGCTGAGTGCGTTTCTTTTGTTATAGTCTCTGATATTCTGTAGTTGAGGATTTGATTAGTGTGTGTTGGCTTCATGTACACATATGACTCTTAAATTTTCCATAAGGGAAGGATACTGAATCCCTCATAGAGAAATTCTGACAGCTCAATTCATCATATTGATGTTGTCAGGAAGAAATGAAAAATTAACAATTAAACTACTCAGCTTAGAGAACATAACCAACAGAATGAGATATTGGTATGGTATTCCCTGTGATACATGGATAATTAGCTCCTGGTATGGAACTTATAAAACGTTAATTATCGATACACTTGTCTTACCCGTCATTACTTTTCCACCATTGTTCTCATAAGATGGGGCTAAATGAAATCTGGTAAACAACTGCTTTAAACTATTAGCTGATTAGACTTCGTGTTACAATACCATTTGCAGTCAACCCAGTGGCTAAATGGCAACGTGCTGGCTACGGAACCTGAAGGTCGTGGGTCCGATCCCTGGCGGGATCATGAGTGCACACTGCTGAGGAGTCCCATACTAGGATGAAATAGCTGTCCAGTGCTCCTAGGTTTCCAATGCTCCTCCGACTGATGTCAATTCATGATGAATGCCAACTTGAAAAACCACTAAATCCCCACAAACGCTCAAATTAAAAAAGTCGTATTATGGTTTTAGCACTTATACCTGATATATAAAAGTGTAAACAAACTAGTATATCATTAACACGCCTACTGAGGACCAAGATTTTAGAAATTTCACTTCAAACAGTTATGCTAGAAATAAGAACTTGGGATTTTGTTTGCCTATTGTTGGTGAAATGATAAATAAGCATGTTGAAGTGCAGCTTTGTACTTTCGGAAACAATATTCACAAATGCTATAGTTTACTTAATTTAAGGTAGTATTCATCACGGGCTAACATTAGTTGGAGAATCATTGAAAACCTAGAAGCATTGAACAGCTCTTTGGTCCCGGGAGTCCTAATACTAGGACTAAACGGTTCCCAGGTTTTCAATGGTTCTCCAACTGACTTCAGTTCGTGATCACTACTGCCTTATTGTTAAAATGACCATTAACCTCAAAATACATTATTGTATAGTGTTCATCAGTGACATCCTTTGAGACGGGTATCCCGAAGTTCTGATGAGGCCGTGACCTATGGGGTCAACCAGTAGGAAGTGAAGTGGATGCAAACTGAGGACCTTGGACGAAAGTCGAGCTATATTGCGAACTGACAGAAGTAGGAAACCATGGACCATTGAACGCTGATTCAGTGACTGAATGGTTAACACGTTAGCCATGAAACCTGAATGTTTTGAGTTCGATCCGTAGCGGAGTGAGGTCGTTGGTGCGTACTTCCAATGAGTCCCATACTAGGACGAAAAGGATGTCCAGTGCTCCCGGGTTTTCAATGGTTCTCCAAATGACGTCAGTTCGTGATGAATACTACCTTAAAGTTAAAATCCCCATCAACCCTCCTGAAATAGTTTAATAATTATCACCAGATAGCGTTTATTTACTTAAAAAGTATTCAGTAAGCAGTGTCTTGCATCAACATAAAGTTTACTCACTGCACATTTTAAACGGTCAGAAGATATCTACGAATATCTAGATTAATAAATGGATTCATTTCATGAAACCGTTTACCACAGACGTGACATGTGCAAGTTAAACTTAGTCCGAGTAGGGACTTCAAGTACTAGGGTATGAACTACACTTACAGCATGAGGGTTTTATGGCACTACCCAGTTGTACAGGTCGAGGCAGAACTTCAACCCGCAACTCACTGAGATGTAATGAACCAATGAATAAAGAGAAGTGATATAGCACAGTTCTCTAAGACTATGAAATTATTGAATATTTGAGGAATGCATACTTAGCTCGTTGTCTGTTATGTTCATCATTTACACCATTTTGAATAACCTTCATCTTTATTTCTGAAAACCAGTTATATATTGAGTTATTAACACACACATGCATACATGTATGACTTAAATACTCATTATTATGAGGACAACGAGTATTATTTTGTCCTCCACTGACCTCAGGTTGTAAGGGGGAACAGGTGATTAAGCCATGCGTGGATCATGTAAAGAGAAGGAAAACACATGCAAAATTAATTGTGCTCGAATAGGTTTGTAGGCAAGTCTAGGTTACAGGTTACAAACAATTATCCATCAATAAACAAATAAAACAGTGAAAAGCTATTTAGTCACTACAAAAAAGTGTTTCAACAAAATGTTGGAAAAATATTAGGCGCAATTTTCGACTTTACAATGTAGGAGTGTAAGTGACTCTAAAGGTCATCCTAGGGAAACGACAGGAACAACCAAATCGGTTTACTCGGCGGCTAGCAATAGAATCTAGCACGCATGCTTTGTCCTATCCCACACTCGTCAGCTGGATGTCTCAGTGAGTGACAGTGTTTCGACCGACACTACAACCGAGTGTGCATCGCTTCAAACACCAAAGCATTATCCACCAGGCCACTGAGGCACAACAGCCATCTCTTGTGTATAATGAATATTCAGGCAGTATCGAAGCATCCGCATAGAAGTCCACCTGTCAACAGACGTCAAGCAATTCAATCCTACAGGAGGTTAAGCCCAGCCCCGATAAATCAGTGGTAACATCTCTGACTGTAGTACTGGGTGACACAGGTTTGAATCTCATTTCCATCGAGGTTGTAGATATACCTTTCTGGTGAATGCCAACAAATATGAAACCTAAGTTCAACGGCTTGCAGCTAATCACCTCCAAGCAACTAACATCTATCTAGGTGTACCGCAGTGCTTAGTCTCTTTGCCTGGTGGTCATAATGAAAAACTGATCCACAGGATTCGATCAGCACTCACGACTAAATAACATGAAATTGATTACTCTCCAGTGACCAATCAATGAATGAGGAAATTTGATAGTGTCAATGAAATTGCAATAGGGTGTATTAACCTTATTCAACTAGGTGACATTACCGGGAATCTATTCACTTGAAGTTTACATCGTGGACAGAAAAGTAAACAATTATCATTCAGAAAAGCAGTGAGAAATGAGTCTGAGTTTAAAAAACGCTTACACAATCCGAGATGAAAATCAAAAGGGCGTTACCTAGGATTAAAAATAAAAATTTGAATCGAAAAGTTACTTTTGGATATACGATTATGATTTCCATTTTCTTTTGCTGCCAAATTTTTAGCAATGCAAAGTAGGTTACTATAAGACCTTCTTGAAGATTCTGTTGTATTTTGTAGAATGGTGTCCGCTTCAAAGGGAACAACTGGAATAACTGTTTGTTGACCTGCATTTACATTAGTTCAACCATGATGGGAGATGTTGGCGATGAAGCTGAACAATCTTTCTTGACACACTTGTTTCACAGGAGCAGATTAATTGTTTTATGCATACATCCTTCATTTCAACTCACTCATATTTTATAACAGTTACTCATTTATACTATAAGGTATCTTAATACTTTTTTACGTAGATCATTTCTATATTATATTGTTGACAAAAAGTTATTATTTTGCAAAACATGTTGCTCTAGATGTGCACACTAATTATACACTAAACAGCTTTAGTGAAGGATACTACTGAAAATAAATCTGTCCGCTGAAATTATTGTCTTACAACTCAGTGAACATATTCCAACTACTAGACTAAACTCTCTATCTCTATCTCAACAAATATGCATATTTATCCACCACATTTATTGTCTGAGAACTAATCATATCTAGGTAGGTGGAACACGATTCGAATGCCAACTAACCACATCTTCACATTAGAGAATGATAAACAACTTATTGATGCGAATAAAACCCAGCATGTTCTAACCCTGTGAGCCATAGATACTCACAGCTACTAATTCCATAATATATTCTCCGTAAAACCCAGAGGTTCCATATTCAACACAATCTAAAAGTCAATAATGTGTAACTATTAACTTATTCAAAAGTAGGTTACAATAATTTATCAGTTTTTTTCCATTTTATTTGCATCAACTCATAAGTGGACAAAAAAAACCTTTCAAAATAATTGATCATAGAGATTTTCTCATCAAAAAAAATAAGGTAAAATCAAACAACTACTTAGTAATAATAAACAGAAAAAAAATGCTTAAAAATGATGACGAGTTTATTTCAATGACCTTAAACAATCAAGATTGAAACTTTCAGACTGTTTCATTTGTCTAATTCTCTCCTTCTCTCTTTTACTTCATATAAAATTAAAGAAAGAAAAGACATTAAAGAGGAGTAAAATTGTTTCTTTTTTCGCTTCTTCTCCTCCTAAGAAATTATTATCGTTGTTACTCTATACATATATATATATATATATATATATATATATATATATATATGACATGACCTTAAGATTATGAAGGTGAAAAGAGAAATAATTAATTGTCTTTATCTAAAGAAAACTTTCTCAAAACAAAACAAAACGGAAATCAGTTGAGATTATTGACAAAACTTACTATAAATCAAGGAGTTATTACTATATGAATGGTTATAACATATCTTTTTTAAAAAAATCTCATTTCTAAAGTTTATATTGTTAGCCAAATGGAAGTATTTCACTATAAATAATAAAACAAACTTCAATGTTTCTGTAGTATACAATCATAAGGGTTAATGATGTTAGCTGATTTGTCAAAAGTTCCGTAATGATGAAGTAAGTTTCAAATCCGTGATCCACAGGGTAGAAAGTAAATTGCCTAGATTAATAATCAATCCTTTTATGTGTAAACAGCATTAGTAAACATAAATATAGAGGGACCTAACTCATAGCACATCTGGCTGCATAGAATAACTCGATACTATTTGCAGTAACCTCTAGAAAACTTCATATACTCTTAATATCCAAGCTTATTCATTTAGTACCAGAGATGGAAAAGCATTAACAATAAAGGACTTGGCATAAGTGAGTACCAGTGGCTTAAACCAAAATGAAGAAAGATAAATGAGGGAAAATAATATTGAACGCCGAAAAATGTTATAAGACAAAGGGAATAAAGATGTTTGACATTACAATGAAAATGAACCATGAACGCATTCATCACACGATGATTAACTTGATTACCTACGGCTTTCAATTATCTCCTTTGGGTTCTCTTGTCAACGCTAATCAAGATAAACACTTTTCTATACAGCTAAGAATAACAGTCATACATAAAACTTCGTAAACAAGTGCATTGGTTAAAGCTACCATACTTCACAACAGTATACAAAGAACAAATGAATAGAGAAAAAGTTATATAAAAGTAGACAAAGGTGTGTGAAAGAAAGAAAGGATTTGAGAATCAAGGTAAGTGAGAATACTCAAACTTTAAAAGACGTCAAAGAGTGGATACATCTATGTCATTATGACCAATTTTCAACCACATTACAAGCATCTCCAACTGTTGATTTCTATTGTCTCGAGCATTCAAGAAACTCTATAGATTACAGTTGTGTTCCAAATTAGTAAGGCATAGCTATTTCTAACCAAATCCAACTTAGTTCAGTGCTGCAGGTTAAGATGTTATTATTGAATTTATTTCTAAGAAGATATGTTCTCTTGTAAATAATGCAAACAACCTGTTAATAGATGCTCTTTCTCTGTTAATTTATTAATAGTTGAACCAATCTGCCTGTACAATCATTTGATATAATGACATATATGTGCATTTCAAATTCTACATGTTTCACTTGACTTGCTGTTCACTAACCCTGAGTTCGATTGATGAAAGCTTTAAGCAACAGCTTAAACATCCTCTTGAGTAATGCTTCATTAGGGTGTGACAGATAACATAACATCTAGACTAATATTCACACTATACCTTGGAGTAATTAAAGCTTAGACAAAGTAACGAAAATAACAACTGTTCGATATACTTAGATCTCTCAAAAATTACCGTAATTATTAATTTAACTATTCATATTCTGTTGCAACCGAAAAACCAAAAAAAATATCAAAGTATCATAAGTACATTCGGATTATAGAACTTTATAGCCAAAAAGATTAATGGATTATCAATTAGACTCGATTATTAACTATACATATATTGACAATAACTTACCAGTTTTATTCGAGTATTTTGTTAGAGTGCAAGATGATGGTAATGATGAATTTAGTTCAATTGGTGCATTATTCACATGTATTTGATCAGTAGGCAGTTTTCTCATCTCATATACACGATCGAAACTGCGACTATTATCATTATTATTATTATTTGTACTAGATGACTCTAAGTGTATGATTTTTGTGGCTCCTATTGTTGTTGCTGTTGACTGAGATGGTTGACTTATAAAAGATGATAATTCATCATTTGTATGAAGTGTAGAAAGTCTATTAGAAAATAATAACGATGATGAGACTGACGCTGCTGTTGCTGATGATGAATGAATAAAAGTTGAACAATTTGTGTATTCTCTCGATGTAGTAACAGTAGAAGGAAAGGTTAATAAATGTCGTCTAGAATCATCATAATCATCATATGTAGCGATTACAGCATCCAATTCATCTAATGAACAGCGAACTTCTTCACTGCTGTTTAATAAATAAAGTAAAAAGATTGTATACTACTTAAAATACAGTGAAAACAGATTAAATCAGTTAAGTAGATGGTTGTTTTGAAAAACGCTAAATGGTAGAAAATATCAACTATTATATACGGGTGAAAAAAAATTCTCAATCATCAAATTTAGGTGTATGAGCAAAGTAACTAGTCAAATTTATAGTGTGACACTTGTGAAACTACTTGAATGCATAAACTTCAATAGGTATAGTGGGTTTTTGCATCCAAGACACACTACTTGAAGGTCAACTGCAAACATCAATGGATCATAGCTTCACTGAAGGCAAAAAGATTGATTTCAACACTACTGGTTATGAAGAATAAAATCCACAACATAGACAATGTATACCTAACTGAAAAAATCTTGGAACTGATATAGAACGCTCGATATGTATTTATGTTAGGACCGATAAAATATCTATCTGATCATCATAGGCAACACACTAATGCTTTTTATCCTATCAAAATAACTGAAACCACTGAAAGTGTCTAAACTTTTCAAATACTTGACTATTAGTGAGTTTAAAGCATTGTCTATATTATTTTTTCTGCAAACAGTGAATGAGTAATACAACTATTACATGTTTTGCGTGTTAGAAACAAAAAGCGTATTAGTTGATAATTTTTTGCACTGACTTAAGTGGTAATAAAAACCACAGAGCATATCCAATTACCATCTGCTTTAATTAGTGTTGTTTACACATACTCTGCGTTCACATTTGATTTATTTAAGAAAGTGTTGATGAATTGAAGTGAAATAAAAATTTGCTCATTAGTTGGATCTCGTAGTTTAGTTGGCAAAGTATCGGGCCGGAAACCCAGTGGTCGCTGGTCCGAGTCCAGGCGTAGTCCAGATTTTAATTTCACCTTTAATCATTACCCAATATAAATACTAGTCTGCCAAACTACGGCTATCTCAGATAGTCAAAATGACAATCAATATGATGCTCCCCCTCTCTCTAATTCAGTTACATTTGAACTAGGATGAGAAGTCTTGACTAGGTAGCCAGTGTGGGTATGATCAAGCGATAGTGACGCGTCACGAATTCACATAATGGTCGGGTAAAACCCTTGGTGATTGAAGTGAAATAAAACTATGGTCAGAAGTTGGACCTCGTAGCCCAGTTAGTAGAGCATCGACCCAGGAACCCGGTGGTCGCTGGTTCGAATCCGGCGGCGGTCCAAATTTCCATCTCACCTTCAATTATCACCCAGTGTGAATTGACGTCAAGAGGTTATAATTACTAGATAGTAATACTCAAAACTGACCACAGTGGATAAATATATTCAGCTCCTATCTTTCTCAAATCCTGGAATATTTAATTACTGTACACTTATTTCGATATTCCAATGAAGCAAACTGAACCAACACGTATGTTTATGACGCTTATAACTTTATCTGAATGATGATAGTTGTCGATAAATTCAACGATTTCACTTTCTATTCTTAAACTTAACCTTTGTACAGACCACATCTAAATCATAGTTACAGCCTAAGAGTATTTAAAAACCACAATTTCATACAACGTGAAAATTAAGATAACCATATGGCTGGAGTGATCCAAATTTTCAATGGGTTTAATTGAGACATGACACTGCAAACCATTAAGTCAGACTTTTATCTATATCTTAGTATCTTATTTAACAAATCATGAGACCCTACGTAGTTCAGCAGGCTAATTATTCAGTTTTCATTCATAGACATAATCTCTTTTCAATTGCTTCAATTCGAACCATCTGGTGTTGTGCTTATATTCCCTTCACAGTAAATATACTTTACCAATGAATAGATCAAGCTTTACATGATTATGAAGTTGAATGAAATTTATGACAGAAAAAAGTCATAAACATGCAAAGTTATGATTGAAAATATAATCACACACAAACGGGAATCTTCAAAGCAAAAGATAGACAAGGCATAATCTACCACTGATGAGCAACTACTACACTTAAAAATCTAATATTTTCTAAACATACTACTGAATCTAAAGCATAGTTTTCTCCGCAATAATGATAATAATAATAATAAAGTTACTTAGTTTGTCTTCATGCATAAAGCTGAGCATGACATATTAAATGATAATTACTGATAGTAGACGGCTTATACTAACTGTTCTAGGTGGACTGCAGTCCGGATTCATAATCAAATAACTGAAAGTAAACGAATATAAAACACCTAAATGTTACCTATCTGCTTAAAACTTGGTAGGTAAGGATGGACTCGAACCTGTAGCTCATAGATTGGAAATCAAGTGCTCACATCAATTGACCATAGTTTCCATTACATTATTATATTATTATCATATTGTTATATAGATTATTGTAAAACATACCACGCTATTATTTTACCACTTGTAGTCAAAAGGTTTAGCATCTGGTAAAACCGACCCAAGTCAGTTAAAGGAATATATATATATATATATATATATATATATATGCACTAATAGACATTATAGACTAACTTACGATGATAGTGACACATGCGTATCTCCAGTGGAACAATAAACAAAAATCAACTTAATACAATGACACTAATAGTTTACCCTACTTTCTAGTATGTAGTAGTAACATTGTCTGCTTCATCGACGACATTCCTCATCATCATAACTATAACTATACTTGGTTGTATTTATATTCGAAAAGCAAATCAAATCAAATCTATGCATGTATGCGTGTTAAACACATTTCTTTCAAAACTATTCTTATATGAAATGAAATATATAAAATATGAACAGATAGACATAATTTGATTCATTTTTTTTCCACTTTGTTTTATATAAACTAAAAAGTATAATGTTTCTTCTCTTTTAATGCTTTGTGTTGTTGTGTTCACTAGTGTTTGTCTAAAAGTTTCTTATTGTATATATAAAGGTATAATAAATAAAAATACACAAAAAACTATCTCTCTAAATAAGGACATAATTGGAAGTTATTTAATACACGATAAACACTTTGAATGTACTCAATTTACGTTTACTGAAAAGATTGTACCGGTTGGCATTATACGGCTTGCTGTTATTTATATATTCTGAATTTAATTGTTATTTATGACTGTTTAACCAATCCAAGTTAACTCTACCTTTTCAAAAAAAAGGTTGCAGATGAAGTAAATATCTTGATCTTTGATATACATAGTTTTTGATGATTTGCTTGGTTGCGACTAGCAGAGGAATTCAAGAAGCGCATTTCGTCTTATTTGAGACTCGTCAGCCGGATGTACCTGCAACTCAAAGGGTGATATATATTGTTGTCCCCACTGAGACTCAAACCTCGTGCCCATCGCTTCAAACGCAAAAGCGTTATCCATTATGCCACGGAGGCACGATAGCCACTTCTTGTACAACGGGTACTAGTTATTATTACTTATTGATATACATATATACTTTTTACTTCATTTTTCTCTTACTAATACTGTTCACTTGATATTATATGAAACGCTGAGAATTCTGTACAGTAATCCCGAAACGTCTTTCAGAATAAAGCCATTATTATTATTATTATTATTATTATTATTATTATTCAGTGAGGTCTAAACATCTCTTTGTGAATCATGATTATAAAGAAGTTGACAATACATCAGAGACAATGGTGACTATAACGTTGAGGTAATAAGTCAGTAACACAATGGATACATTAAACACTTCTCATGAAATGAAGCCTGGTAAAACATGAAAAGATGCAACTGAAAGAAACATAATACACCCAATAAACTCCGGTACAAAAACTTTACTCAATTATGAATTTTTATGCAGTTTGTAACATACAGTCTCAAGGTCACGCCCTTATATAAGTATTAAGATCACCAAACTATGACTAACTTACCCTTTAGGTGTTATTCATAAAAATTTATTGCAACATTCATCTAGACTAAGATATGTTGCACAAGACTGATCCTGAGTTTATCAATAAAAACAGTACACTTAACAGAGAAAGCCATTCAGAGACATCACGCGCCAGGCACTCGAGTGGAATCCAAATGGAAAACGACGAGTTGGGCATCCGAGGGTGACATGGAGGAAATCATGTAAGGAAGAAATGAAAGCTTTTGGGCAGTTGTGGAGACAGGTTCAAAAGACTGCAGAGAACAGAGTGCAATGGAGGCGTGCTACTGAAGCCCTATGTTCCACTAGGAACCCGAGGGACAAATAATAATAACTGAGTTGGTCAACTGGAAACTTGATATAATTGCGCACTTGAAATCAGTATGCTGAGGAGAAATTAACTAAAGTGAATAAAATGGAAATGATAATCTGGGCATTGATAAACAAACTGCAGATAGACAACGGGAATTCCAGAAAGGGAATAAAAAATGTAAAACAGCTGAGTCATCAGAATTTAGAGGAAGGTAAAATATTAATGCGATTAAGCTAGAGCGATTAATTCTAAGTTAAACTATCCAAATTCTAGAAGCATAGAATTTCTCTATCACATGAATCACAGCTGGGAAACAAACAGTTTCTGACAAACTCAAGTTCACAGTCAACGAATTCAACAACTTGTGCGACATTTTTGTTGAACTACTCTAAAGCTGTTTCCATTTCACTTCAGTTAAAATTACGCACTGATGGAGCCACTGGGTTGGTATGCCTAAAATACTACAACTGAAGTTAAGAAGGTTCATAAAATCATTTTAGCTAACTTCCTTATATAGCGCACTGAATATCACTGCATAGAGATTTCACCACATTTCGGTTATGTTAGTTAGTGGGTATAATTTTACGTACATCCGATTTTACAGGGTTTGAATCATTCTCAAACGACATTTAGTTGGCTTGGAGTACGCAAACGATATAATCCTGTCGGACGAAGATGCTGCAGAAATACAGTCTTCTAAACAATTTGAGCAAAAATCTGAGTGAGCTTAACATGTGTTTTACACCTGTTAAATGTATGATGCTTCAGCACTAGTGTGCACAGACACTACTAGGTAAAAGATAAGGAGTAGAACTTTCTGAATGTGTTGACTACTACATTTACTTCAAGAGCTGAATCAATCCATAACGGCTGGTTGCTAACAAAATTTCTGTGAGGCATTTACAAAATTACTACTCACCAGAGAGTAAGAACACTGCATGGCATTTTGCTCAGTCTTATTATACAACTGTGACATGAGGCCATTGAAAGTAGATAGTATGAAGAGGTTACAAGTTTGTGACCACAAATATCTTCGCATCACCGCTTACGTGTGGTGGAATCTCTTTGCTACAAATGTCGAAGCCAGGCGAAGAGTACTACGCAGGGAAAGTTAGGTCAGCTAATATCAAAAAGGGAACCGGAATTAATGTGTAGCAGTCCACGTTGTCACACTCCATATCAGCACATCAAGCGAGAATGAATCGAGATGGAAGATAAGGAAATATGAAAAAAGCAGTCCAAAGTGGAAGAAATCCATGAAGAGAAGGCGAGGAGGACAATAAAGAAATTCAATATGACAATTGAGATGAAGACAACATGGGGATACACCCGTGCCCTTGCGACCGATTCTAAGCCATATCACGTAGAGTCTCCAACTACCGATATCTGTTGTTACACGGACTTCACCCGAGAAGCCTACACTACCCTACACAGTTCAGGCTAAAAGTCACTGACTTAATGAACTGATTCCGTGTTTCAATACAGTCGCCTTTAACTACTTAAACTAGGAATGCATGAAGAGGTGGACAGTAACCAGACACGCGTAACATGTCCCAGCCATCCGAATCAGCCGGGGTTCACAACCTCAGCAATCAACTATCCTCCTTTGTTCAAATCTCTACGCCTGAATTCAACTTTACTGACAGTGGTTCCACGACATGGCCTGTAGTGCGAAGACAATGACGATCAAACACCTTACGTCCTCTACTCTTAATTACATTGTTTCACAGCCATATATTACAACAGCGAACTGCTGCATAGTAAACTCAACCCTTAGTAGGCAATCGGATATCACGGCAGATTCATAAATAGCGAAAAATAAGTGAGCCACTTGTATCTATGCCGACATTCCGTCAGTTACGGACCCCCGACAGTTGATCGAACTTCCCACGTAAGTGGTGGTTCACGCGCTCAACCATGTCACTACTTACTGCTAGACAGGATACCAGTGAGGACCAATCCTGGCGCAAATATTTGCATTAGGATGAGGAGAAACGAATCGCTGAACCTAGTCAGAGTCTTCACCAAACTGGACTGTCATCTGAGCACTCTGCATTTATTAAATGGTCTCCTGTGACAAAGTTAATCCATGTAAAGTCAGAAGACGAGAGACAGACCGCCATAATTAAGTCTATAATGAAATTGAATAAAAATGGACGTCTTTGACGGACGCAAATCAGCGTACACAACCCGCCTGATGCTTCGCTATAGGGATTCACATACCCATGAATGTTCAAGCAGATAGACTCTAACAAGGTGATGTGCTTAACCGGTACCGTTTCCAGTGAGAGGTACTGTCATAAGACCTCTCAGAAGATGGCGCTGAATGCCGCCTCCACGTCAAAAAACACAGGTGGTGTCGGGCTCCGGTAAGTATCCCAGAGTACCAGAATGGACATCGAGTACTGAAAACCTGGCCGGTGCGCTTACGATGGGTTCGAGATCTGCCTGTTTTTCCTGGGTTTGCTGTTTTCGAGCTTCACTTTCCAAGACTCTAAGACAATATGTTCGTTAGGCTGATTCCCCTAAGGTTACCATGAAAGGACTTTTCACCTTTCTTGAAGACTGGGAGGATGAGTGGTTGAAACCAGTCAGAGGGGATCATATTTAATTGCAATGCACTAGTTAACAATCAAGTTAATTTGGCCAATAATCCTCAACCAGTCTTTAAATACCTGTGTCGCTAGTTCATCTAGCCTTCCTCCTCTTTCTCGTCCCACGCTACCTGAAGCTTTATCGAATTCTGCAAGTGATGTAAGCCCTACACCAATGATGCATTCAGGGACTGACTGGTTAGCGGACAGCCAAATAGTAGTTGAAGGTCAACTGGACAGTTTCCCAAAACCTGCTACCCATCGTTCCAGTCGTCCACTCTGTATGTGAATCGCAGCTCTGACTGAATCGCGGCTACAGTCTCCTTAAATATTGACCTTCTCTCCCTAGTTTCCTCGATAAACCTAAACATCAGTCCTCTTTTACGTATCGCTGCTGCCTTTCCCATATCTTTATCCTTTGCTTCCCACCACTTTTCACGGTCATTGCGTACAGTTTTAGTCCATCTACATTTGAGTTGCTTCCGCTCCTCATTGCGCTCAGAAACTATAAGGATGCTTTCGCGTACGTCCATCAATTCAGAAGAAGCTGCTGAAATCCACTGGTCTTTTTCAAACTTTTCCAGAGTTAGCTACAGCCTTTAAAGTTGCCTTTACAGAAGACTGGAGATGGCGCCAGACTTCTTCGAAATGAGTGAAGCTGTTCAATTCCGATAACTGTTTATCCAGAATGATATGTACACCCTTCATTTAAACAGGTGAATATACATTGGCTTTCAGGAAAACCGAATACGCATCTAGGTTTTTTAAAACCAAGAAAGTATACAGTACCATCCTATGATCTAACCGGTTTTTCGCTGGAAGCAATATTATTTTTCTCAACGTCAAGTTGCACTCGCAATGGTCTTATTGCTGTAGTTTTTCGATATTTATTTAGGTGCAGGCATACGCATCCTGGAATCAAGGCGTCTTCACTGCTTAAGCACATACTGCAAAAGGTGTGACAATCTTCCACCGACCCTCTCCAACGATAACTGGTAACAACAACGTATTTCTGCGTTCAGTGTTGAATGAGGATCAGTGGATGCTGAAAATGATACCCAAGTGCCCTTCTGCCTGGCTTGGTCTACTCCTCCTGTGCAGTGAAATCACATACTATGAAAACAACATCTGAAATTGGACAGTTTTCTATGGAACTCGCCCTTCACTTCAACTGAACTGGAGTCAGTAGGTGAATCAGCAGATATTACAAAGACATAACAATGAGTTTCACGATTCTATTTAGTCTTCACTGTGCTGTTCAGCTGGACAGTACACAAGCGGCTGTCATATGGGATCCAGTCAGGCAGTGAACTTCCTGCCTTAGCACTGAATGGTGTATCCACACTTACAATAGCACGAGAGCTAGCGATTAAATCTCCAGAAATACAAACTGAATTTTGCGTATTCACCAGATTGGCTGGGTGAGGTTTAAGGAATAATGACACTTGGGTCCTGTCTCGCAAACAGAGAATATGCTCATGATCCAAGATGCCAGAGTTTTGACTAACAACACTTGTTTGGCTTGCTGAGAATACATTCATTAGTGGTTAAAGTCAGACATTTTATTCGAACATCACAACTATTGCTTAATACCTGACTTCCTATTCTTACCATCCCTTCTGAAAACATTTTGCCTAATGGTCCACAATGGTATTCACGTATCAACATCAACCACCTGTAGTACTACTTTTAACACGAATTTCACCTGTAATGCGTTTTACCTAGGTATACCTAGGTATAAATAAAATATCTAAGTTTGAGGCTTCAATACCAAGTTAATTCTGCTCCAATCGCAACAACGATGTATGCGCTATTAAACCAAAAGCAATATTTCTGCATACCAATGATTGTAATGCTTACCCAAACGATCCCAAAGAGGGGTGGGGTGAGTGGCCTTGATCATCTTTATTAACACCACGACGATATCCCGATGGTGGTACACCAACAGAATTGTAATCTTCCTCAAACGCTAAGTGACCTATGTCATGCGAAACTTCTGATCTCGTCATTGCTGTTTTAACCAATATTGTCGCACCAGCGAAAGTTCATTAGCTCCAGTAGTGACCTACAGACATTAGAAACCGCGCTCAAACTCGATGTCCTAAAGACGAGGTACTACAAAGAAACAGAATTCTCCAAACTTCAAACTTCGTGTTGTAGAATTAGTGAACTGTGGTTCCTTGGGTTCCACGTCTGTCTTATTGAAATACATTCTGAGTTTGGGATGGCCACAATTAGCTTCCCGGTTCTGAAAAACCTGAAAGGATAGGGACGTGACCAATTGGTTAATCTGGTCTCAAGGTAGTATTACTGCATCTGATCTGGGGAAAGCTTCTCGAGTATAGCCCAACGGTACCATAGGACTCGAGGTATGTATCTAGCCTCCTTTTAAAAGTATCAGGGGATGGGGCTATAAAAACTGCTGAAGGGAGGGAATTCCACAGTTTACAGACTCTAACTGCAAATGAGTTAGCATGGATCTTTGTGCGTGCTCTCTGATGCTTTATTCTCAACGGGTGACCCTTCAAGTCGCGTTTCCGACCAAAGCTTAGAAGGGATCTGTTGGGATGGAGGAGATTATGGGCGATCTGGTACATATCTAAGCTTGCTACCAACATTAAAAATTGATCTCACAAGTAAATTAAACTACAGAAACGGGCATTGGCGTTGCAATCCAGTAACAAAATTCTGTAGTCTCTGAAATGGCTATTACCAAATCAGCTTTCATTGGTTACGAATGGCTGTTGATGCGATGGAAGTTTCCTCCTAACTGGCTCTCGTGTCTAGAAGAAGTGGACCACTGTTTCCCGTTTCTCAGAACCTAGAAATGGAGATAAAGAACAGAAAAGTAGATGAACGAATAAACGAAGGTGACCAAGTTATTAGTGGCTCAATCAGTGGGCTCATAATGTGACCTTAAGCGAATGTCTGTTTTACGCTTGGAGGACTGCTGATGCTACCTGAAAGTCTATGAATAAGTTAGGGAAAACCTGAGCACTGTAGTAGGGCTTAATTACATATTCGGTGGTTTATTTGATAAAGCACACAGAGACGTGGCATGATTTACTCGGTGACGTTTCCAGGAGAAATTCTTGCCCACATCATCATTAAAGTAATCATGCATCTTTTAATCTTCCTCTCTATAGTCCAAAAGTTTTTCACTTGTTTGTTGTAGTGGTATTAACATTTTCCAGATGCCCACAATATAGCGGGGCGCAGGGGAAAATTGTTCATAGAATCTCTGTTCAGGAAATCGATACCTATCAGTAGTGATGGGAGTGATTCGCCAAACATAGTGCATGCATGGAAGTTTTCACTACGATTAAAATCAGCAACTGAGAAACTGTCGGGATTCGAATGACTATTTAGGTGGTCATAGTCAAATGCTGACCTTGGGTGCAGACAGGTTCATGGCAACGTTTTTGGTCATTTGCTTGGTTGGTAGGGCGAATCACAGGAACCCTCCGGCATTTCTGGACTTCCTGTATTTGATGCCATTGAGGTCTCAGCAGCAACTACATTGGTTGTGTATCTTTAGTGTCACATACTTCCTCAGGATCAATAGCTTAGGGTTCGACGAGATTCGACATTGATACTGAACCTTATAGTCTTATCGAACTCGCCAAGCTTAAGACATACGGTCAAGCATCCACGCTGTTCGGCACTCTGTCGTGTTGCGTTGCACTACTCGTGATTGACCCTCTAGCTATTTAGTCGAGAGGCATCGGTATTTTGGCACGATCTTGCAAATTTACCACTCGATCTGACTGCGCAATTGTGTTCTTCCTCGGCCTCACATTCGTGGGTATATTACAAGCGTGAACAGTTAGTGACTGGTCTCTGCGTCTGTCAAGTTTGCACTGGAACACTTCTTAGATATCTGAATTTCAAGGGGACTGAAACAAAGCAGCACTTGCATTATCGGAAGTTGGATCTCAGCACAATAGTAAGTATGACTAGTGCTTGACTGGGTCAGATTCCTCCTTCTGGCCCGACTGTCAGTGTCTAACAAAGTGAAGGTGCACACGCAAAAGGCTGGTGATGCGCCGGAATTTAGGAGCTACTCAGTGGCGACATGCATAACTTGTGTTTATACACAGAAATAGGATTCCGCTCATGCAATAACTTTTTGTGGGTTATGTGAGAGTGGAAGTAGTGCTCAGTGGGAATCAGCAAAACAGTCACTTGAAGTGTGACGACTCTGATGAAGTGAGTTACTTTTCAGTAGTGTGATTCCAACTGCGATGCCAGGTTGAGCTGCGTAAAACGTTTGGTGAACTCGCTTGCATTGACCCATCGTGAAGCGTCAATCACGTAATGTAACTATCAATGTTTGCAGGTATAGCACCCACGCTTTTCTCCGCTCCAGTTTGTGAAAACCGGTGACTTTGAGGGAGACCAATCAGGTTTGTTTGCGATAAATAGGTATTCGAACCGTTTGAACGCCTTATGGGTGGCGTCTCAAGTGGGAGGATATTCCTCATAAACTGTACACAGAGCGGAATATTCGATGTTCATGGCACGCGTGTGAGCGCGTACGGTTGACTGAGTACATTTGATCTGTTTTCAGGTTTTCATGAGTCGTAAGGTTATACACAATGCAGAACTCTGGCTACCAGATTCGAAATCCAACCGCCAGCCGTATGTGTATCACCGTCAGAAGACGGCGAGTGTCAACGGGTAAGGAATCGTCCGATAATGTTACAGTTTCACCACTCTCTGAAGATTAAATCTATGAGGGATACAGGAACAGGCGTGTCTTATGAGATATTATTCACCAAAGAAATATCCGTGGCTCAATGCTTTGAAAGGAGATGTTGCCATATCCAAGAACAACATAAGAAATCCAGTCAGGTCCTCCGGTAAGCAGCTGAGAAGTCAACATGGAAGTAACGACCCTCTTCACATCAGCATACCAAAAAATGCGGTGATTTATTAGGTTCATGAGAAAGGTGGATCATAGAATGCACTGCTTGTCTCAGCCAACGCTGAGAAAACCAGGCATTACCGTCACCCTCAGTTGCACTGGCCTCGCTAACACCAGTTGAGCAGAGATACGTAATGAATAAAGATGAAAGGAAGGGGGAATTCTCTCTTCTCCGAATTGGATTGGGTAGTAATTTCCTTTTCCATATCTGCTGGTGATTCTTCTTTCCTTTCCCACTTGCAGCAACAGCTCCATGTCGACATTTGATGCTAAACTTCAATTTGAACATAATTACTCACTGCAAATAATACCTGCTCATTGACGCCAATAACTATTCGACTGCTCCCACTCTTCCGCGAATTCTAGACCATCTTCGCGATTAACTCACCTACTGGTCTCGTTTTTTTGCGGCGAACCGTTTAAACTTCCCAAAGGTGTTGGTAGCAGAGGGATTCTGAACAGATGATCAAACCAGCGACCAAGTTGCATATTGGCTCGGAACGCGACTTACAAACAGTAGCTCCATACTACATGTATTTTAGCACTCTGCATCAGGTGATCTTTTCATGCGAAAGTTACCATGCATTAAATGATGCTGCCTACTCTAATACAAAAGATACCTGAAGTCTATGTATAAATACAGCCATTTGGACCACTGACTATTTTGACGTCTAGTTCCGTCCAGTACAACAAACACTCATGGTGGGATTCATCTATATTACCTTCAAACGCAATATGGTGACCTAGAAACGCTTTGATTTCGGCACTCACCTCTGTTATATAACTGTGGATACTTTGCTGATACTCCAGAAAGCATACGTGGGCCTTTTGCGGTTAGCAAAGCTAGGGACTGAAGAAAATTTTCAGAAATAGACGGCTATGTTACTAAATGACCTGTCTCGCTCCATTGAGAGGTTTCAAAAAATTGCAACTCAACGGTAATCCATATAAAACTCCCAATGCAGGTAGAAGGTTGCGCAAAATCTCAACAAGATAAAACAGACATCACGACTTCGATGCACTTCGGTTGATCATTAGTATTCTTAACTCTGTCTCGCATAACGGCATATAAACGCTACATCGTGCCCCACCCAACACAATAATCAAAAACAGAAATTCTACACTGCATGGCGGCAGGAAATTCATATTTTTAGATACTCTATAGAATAAGGATATACAATGAAAGCCATAGCAAGGGAAGTTAAATAGGGAGAAAGGTGAACATAGAAAACACTCTCCTTGTTGGAATTCCTGCTTTCTCCGCCCTCTGCTCTGTCTGTTTTTTTCTCGTTGTAGAAAAGTAATTCAATTCTAAACGTTGGCTTTGTTGCCATTGAGAAGTAATTACTCAGGGGACAGACCACGGCTGAAATTACCTTTCATGGAGGGTAACCAGTTTTACCACGTTCAGAATATCTAACTACAACAAGCAGAAATAAAAAATGTTCACTGGACTACAACTTCATAATTATCAAAATCTAGGACTGACTCATTATAATAGTGACCAGCAAAGTCCAACACTTGCCAACCGCAAGGCCGTCACAACCCCTGAAAACGGCGGACAAGATGTTCTGGAAGTCCATTTGGTGCATTCAAACAAGTCTATTGCTTCCGGGTGCCGGAGTTGGAAAAGTGAGGACATTTGGCTTTCAGTTATAGTATTCATGAAGATTATGAATCCTTGTTGTGAAATGGTGTCAACATGGATGAATTATGCAGTCCTGGAATCATCAATGAGGTACAATATGTAAACAATTCGTGTATACATCCCCTCATAAACTCTTCATCGTTATCTCAAGCAAAAAGTACAAACTGTTATAATTGAAGTATTAGCTTCAAGCTTTATTTTCCTCTAGGTAATGCCTGTAGTGTCCAGATACAAACCTGGTTCTTTTGTTAATGCGAAGACAATACTCCCACTTGTTCGGCTTGTAAGCTTTCTTCACACTTATTCTGTTGTTATGTTCCATTGTACGAACATGCAGCACCTATATCTTCTAGTGACAACGGGCGGGGATTCAGATTACCTTCCATGACGATGAAAGTAATTTGTATATAAACTTATTCATGCCCGTGAAAGTGGTGTGTCCGTATATTCAGGAGTAGTAATAATAATTATCACTATTAATAAGACCTCCGCAGTGTTTGTGCATGGGATGTCAAGTTTG